TCCAGAAAATTTCTTAAAATCCTCACTACATACAAGTCTTCAATTCAATCTACGACTCAAGTTAATTCTTACGAGATACGATATACAAATATATAGCATACGATATTCAACATTCACTCCTCAAAGATTCAATATCTTCCCAACCACCTTGAACCGCCTAGGTATCCTATCTATCCTATCACTCCAATACTCCGAATTGTCTCTCTTCAATTGCGACTCGCGAATCGCGAATCTTGCCCGCTTTCTATCTTCAGTCCTAAATTAGGAAAAATCCCCGCCGCCACTCAAAATAGAATAGACGATAAGTAATCAGAGCAAGCAATTACGTCGATCAAATCGATTAGGATGGATTCACGTCCGCCATCAACTAGAATGCCTACTGGGCTGGCTGAAGTTTTAAATGAAGTCGGCCCTGAAGAGCGTATGAGAGACTCTGCTTATTATTCAAATCTAGATTCGTCATCGAAGCGTGAGTCTTGGGGCATATTCTTTAACATGCGCTTCTAACAGCTTGCTAACGAATACCTCCCAATTTAGATAACTCGCAACAATTGTCGAACGGCGAAGTCATCATGGCACCTTCGCCAACTGGTTATAATTCCTCCAGCGCCGATATAAGCCCCTCGCCTGCAGCAAATCACATTGCCAATCAACAGCTCACCTCTCCAACTTCTAATGGCATGAGCGTCGCATCTATGGTCTCTCCATCTTACGAACATTCCATGGCGAATTCACTACTGTCCATGGGCCAGTCAAATAGACAATCATATGGATCTGGACTGGGAGCTTTTTCAATGAACGGAGATTCCCGTCGAGAGAGTGTCGATTCAAGATTGGGTTTCCAAGAGTTGCGACTCAACTCCCCATACGCCAGCAATAATCAATCGACCACTTCTATCCAAAGCACTTTACAACAGCAGCGCAACCCTGGGAATGCCGCCGATCGCTTGTCGAACCCTCGATTCTCGAACAGCTATCAACCTCAGCGTCTGCCAGAGCCAACATCCCCCAGAAGTACAGTCCCAAAGACTGCTCCCAAAATCACTGGCCCTGCCATGTCTAGTATCGCTCGAGCTGCCGAGCCAACTAGGGGAGAAGCCTGGGCGTTTCCTGAGGAGCCAATCAGAGTATCAAACTCACACGATCGCCATGCCGAGGATAGCCAGAGTATAAGCAGAGTCGGTACCTCGTTCTTAAATCTTGACTCGAGACGTAGTAGCATGGCAGACTCGGTCGCAAGCAGCCAATACACCACAGAATCTCGTCTGCCAGCTGGACAGAGAAGATTAGAAGAGGGGGTGTCGGCAGATTTCAGATCATCGCGAGCATCATCTGAGTTTCAAAATGTATCACATCACCATCATTCTCTACAAAACCGCCAAGTATCTGATCTACAAGCTGAAGATGCTGATTCTCCAAACAATGGCCAACCTTACAGCCGCACACCTGAACTTCGTGTCAGCCACAAACTTGCGGAGAGAAAGCGTCGAACTGAAATGAAGGAATTGTTTGAAACCTTGAGGGATCTGATGCCTCAAGAACGCGGTAATAAAGCTAGCAAGTGGGAGATATTGACAAAAGGTATTTAATTCAAATGCTATACATTGACTATGTACTAAGAAAATTACTATAGCTATCGCCGAACACCATACACAAACGAAGGAAATTCAAGATTTGAAATCGAGACTTCACAACTCGCAACTGGAGAATGAGAGTCTTCGCCGTGAGAACAATGTTATCCGCTTGGAGAACTCACAGCTTCGTAATGAAGTAAATCAAGGCGGCTCCAACAGTCACCAGTCTGTGATGAACGGCTTCACTCCAATACCACAGAATGGCGGTCAACACGTCAACATGAATGCATACCAACAAGAAAATTATGCTCCAAGAGGCTCCTATCAACGCGAGGAACAATTGCCACCACTTCGTGGAATATCACAGCCTGAATCCATGAGTGGAGTTCAATATCAATCTGATTTAAACCGCAATGGTTATCGTGATCCTCGATTCTAGATCAAGTTCACATTATTCGAACGATGTACGATATGCTTTCTCGATAACGTTTGCGACAAACTTTTCAATTCAAAAGGGTTTGACCTTTATCATAATTCACCTTCAATTGTCTCTTCTATAAGAGTCTAGCCTCCGAAAATTCACTTCTCCGGTCACGAATATCTCTTTTTAGCGATATTATATCGTAAGTGTTATAAAAATCCGATTGAGACCAAACTTCGCTCTCTGTTACTTAATAGCTTTTCTCGAGCATACCTATTCTTCCCTGCGTCTCGTCTATCTATCCATGAGGCATGTGTTCTATTAGAAAACCGGTTGGCGTTTTACCTTTTACTTCACAGTATCTTATTATTTCCTCTTCTTCTTGGACCCGTCAATTCTTTGACATATTTTCAATATCTTATTACATTGAATAAATACAGTGACCTATATGGCACTCATCTCTTTTATACAAAAAGTGGAGCGTACATTTCTTGTGCGTCGAGGAGTTAACAGGGGTTTTTTGGCATTTCTGGAATGGAGCGGATGGGAAACTGCAATATCCAGGTGAAAAACCCAAATTCGGATTTTATGGGTGGGCGATGATATGCAATATGGGAGATACTGATTCTTCGAAAGAGTGGAAGAAGGCGTTACTTGATTATACCCGCTCTCATCTTGGGATTTCTATTACTATCTCGCCTTTTTGAAAACCATTTCTAATTTCAATGTTCGATCGTCCTTGATTGAGTCAATTGGGAATGGAAAACTGGAAAGTTGGATAGACAAAAATCTTGTATGGACAGGATGAGATAGCACAAATTACTTGGGCGCTGCGGTTTTTGGACTTTTGGGCCTACTAAATTACTTGGATTTTGGAACGTATGAAAGGGTGGCAGGTCTGCGGATGTATGGATGGATGGATAGGAAGACGAATGGTTGGTTGGGGATGAACTGTCAAGATAATGAATGTCGCCAGTCAAGACAGTAATAGAGTGGATGACATTTGTCTGAACAATTTCAGTCACTGTCATGTTTTAATTGCTGCTTCTGAATGTCTGACTTGCGAAGTGCGAAGTGTGAAATTGTGTTCTCTTATAGTATGAATGTTCTAGTTGGTATGTATAGTTCTTCTTGCTCCAAAGGGATGAGGGTTGACATACTTCAGGCAACTGGATAGTCCTGAGGATTCTTGTATTTGATACGTCGTAAGCCTCTAAGAATTTCTTTATGGATCCCACCGCATAGCTCAAGTGGGTAACAGGCGGGTTTCTAAGGAAGGGACGAGAGGGAAAATGGGAAAGGTTGTGATGAGTGATTGCGATCTTGAATAGATTGTATGAATCAAGAGAATGATGATACTCGGTAAAGAGAAGGAAAGGTAGGTGGGATATGGCAGTTGAATTGAGAAGGTAGGGGAAAGATGGGAGGAGGAGAGGAGGAGAAATGAGGGGGTGAGTGAGTGGTAGAGGAGGGATGAGAACAAGGGAAATAGTGGTATGTGGGAGACATGAAATGATACTATATTTATATAGGACGGAAAATCGAAGATGAAAGGGGGAAAGATGTGATGCCCTGTTATATCGTGGGAGAATAGTGCAATGTGAAGTCGTGGTTCGCTTTTATCTTTTTGTTTTCTTGGAGGGAAAAGGGGGAGGAGTAGCATCTGAAGTTTTGAGATGATGGAGGTATTAAGGTTTGGAGAGATGGATTTGATAATGAAGTCATTGTTCATTGTTTATTGCTAATATGGATGTGGATGTGGATATAGATGTCATGATTCAGATCTCTGGTTTCATATTTATCTGATGTTGAGAGTTGGGATGCGTGGTGGATTTACATAGGTAGGTATGACGGACATGGTATTTGGATGGAAGCATAGACGCATGGACTCGCTTTTTGCATTGGCTTTGGTGAGGATAGGATCTTTGGGATTGGGAACGCGGATGGGGATGGAAGATTGTTATCTGAATACCTTGGGTAACGTATAATGTATGATGTTGATGAAAACGCCAGACTTGGATTTTTCTCGGCGCGGTGGATAGATTATGGCGAGAGTTGGGATTGGATAGGTTGTGCATAGGTACTGAGGAGTCTTTCTTTTTGTTGTCGTTTTATTTTTAGGAGCGCGTGGTGGAATTATTTGCATGGTGAAACGCGATGGGTGGATGGGGTTGCGATGCGAGGTTTGAGGTTTGGGATTTGGGATTTTGGAAGCTAGCAGGTTGTGACGTCAATTTTCTTTTTGCAGTTTCACCGATTGATGGATGTCGAGTATAATGCAGAGAGGGGAAATAATAGTGTCGTCTGATCATTAGGGCGGTGATAGTCTTGGATGAATTTCTAAGTGGACATGTGTCTGGAAATGGAGATGAAGGTTTCTTTCGTCATTCGATCGTGCTTGGATTGTTAGATGAATTGGGGTTTGCGAGGCTAGAGGGAGAAGGGGGGGGGGGAAGTGTGTTTTTTGCTGTGGGTGATCATCTGGGCTCTATGGTATGGTATGTATGGTATGTATGGTATGCATGATATGATATCATGTTCTGGGCTTTTTGTACTGCGAGTAAGGAAGTGAGTAGGTTTGTTGGGCATTGTGCATTGTGCATTGTGCATTGTGCATTGTCCATTGTCCATTGTCCATTGTCCATTGTCCATTGTCATGACTTCAATGTGGAGCTGAGAGAGAGCGGGAAGGAGGGGGAGATGTATGCGCGAGGAATGGCGGCTCGGGAGACAATGATTGATGGATATTTGTACTTGTATGTGTATGAGTATATATATCATGAGGAATTCCTAACTTATAGGAGGTTCATTCTTTCACATCATATCAGATTATCAGTAAAGAATTTCTCTTCTCTTCTCCTTCTTCTCTTACATACTTTACAAACACAAGATACAAGATAAAATATCTTCATATCAAATTTCAATTACATCAAACAACATCTTTAATCACCCTTCTCCGAACTCTATCTATACCATAAGTTCATCACCACTCAACCAATTCCAAAATGTATACCCAAACCTCTCAACTCACAACCGCTCTCGCTATCCTCTTCACTCTCACCACCGCACTCCCTGCTCCTCTAGACACAAATACAAAAACAGCTTCTTGCTCTACCGCCACGGTTGATTCCACATGTATCGATACCTACAACACCTGCATGACGGCCGCATCTGGAGATAATGACGCGATCGCAACGTGGTAAGTGTGCTCCTATTTCCACAATGACGATACCAATAAGAAGAAATCGAGAACTAACCGATAACTTAATAGCGCACTCACCCTCTCCACCTGCACAAGCGCAACCGCGAAGAGAGATGCGGAGACCCCGGAGAAAAGAGTAGCAACCGTGTGTACGAATGGTGCGTGGGGAAGCGTGGCCTGTGTAGGCGCGTTTGGAATGTGTATGAAGACGGCGGATGGGGCGGGGGAGATCACAAGTTGTGCGTTGGCGTTGAGTGCGTGCGAGGTGGGGGTTAATACGAAGTAAGGGGAAGAGAGGAATAGGGGGATGAGGGAAAGAGATGGGGTAGATGATGAGATTGATTGGGAAGAAGCGAGGAGAGAGGAGAGGGAAATGTAAGGACGATTGATATGTATTATTTTGTAATTCATCTGGATTTTAATTTGACTTTCAAGGACATGGATGAATGACTGTACGGATAATTTCATTGTGTATGTATTTATGTATTCAAATCAACCCCATTCATATGCAACCAAATTCCACCTCGTCAATCTCGCTACTTTACTTCAGAAGTTCATATCATGTCAAAAATTTGCCGCGCTTTTCCAAAGATAATCAACTCGAAGTATGAAACTGAATCCTGATTACCGCCTCTCTTCTCTCTTCTCACTTCTCGTATCCCATACTCACTGGATTCCATAACGATCAATTTAAGAAATAAAAAAACTAATAAGGAACCTCAAAATAACTAAAGTAATCTGTGGGGTCTCCCCCTTCGGTCAATCCTCCACCGGGAACGTAGATTCGGTTTCCGACGGCTACTGCGGATGTGCCGTGCTAGAGGGGGAAAGTGGATGTTATTGGGATTGTTATTGTGGGATTGAGGGTTGAGGGTTGAGATTGAGTACAATTTTCAGGAAAACAAAGAATGGAATAGGGGAAGAGGGAGAAGAGAAAGGGAGGGTTTGACAGGATCTAAAAAGAGATGCAAATTCAGAACAAAAATGCAAGAACGAGATTTCCCCAGAACCAACCACAAAAAACAAAAAAACAAAAAAAAGAACACACAAACATACCCTCGGAACATCCATCGGTGCATATCTCCTCCACTGATTCCTCCCTGTATCATACGCCTCATTCTCTTCAAAAACTCCACTCCCACTCTCCGGATTTCCCTCCCCGCCAATAACAAAAATCCTCTCTCCCACCACCGCACTCGCCACTCCCCCTCTCGGGGTCAACATCCTCTTTTTCTCACTCCACTCCCCCTCCTGAAAATCATACATGTAATTAGTTCCCACCACATTATCATGTCCAAATTTCCTTCCTCCAATAACATAAAACGGGCCATTATCCCCAATAAACCCTTTTCCCGCATGATCTCTCGGCTCCGGGAGCGCAGGAAGAGAAGTCCACGTCTCGAAGCCGGCGGTGTACGCTGTGAAATACGAGACGCTGGGTTGGTAGGTTTCGGAGAGATTGAGATAGGTGAGGCCGCCCGCGAGATAGATGGTGTTGCCGCGGCGGGCGACGGCTGCAGCGCCGATTTGGAGACCGGAGGGAAAAGAGGTGAATAGTTGGGTCCAGGTATCGCTGCTGGGATCGTAGCGGTAACAGGAGCGGTTGGCGAGCCAGATGCCGGCGGAGTCAGGGGTGAGCCCGCCAAGGAGATAGATGGCGCCGTTGAGGATGGCGGCGTTGGCGTGGTTGAGGGGGAGCGGAAGATCGGCCGCGCGGGTCCAGGTATTGGTGGCGAGGGAGAAGCGCTGCATGAGGGTTGTGGTGGGATACGGGTCGCTGATGGAGTTGGACGGGATGATACCGCCGAGAATGTAGATGTAGGGGTCTAGATACACGGTTGTGTGTTCTTGACGGGGATAGAGGGGGATGGATGGGAGACGGTGCCAAGATCCGGGGTTACTGGTGAGGTTGGTGTCTGTGGAAGATTGTGGGAGAGCGGCACTGAGGGTGAGGAGTGCGAGAATGATGGAGAGTGAAAAGGAGGGGAAAATCATCGTAATGGATTGATGGATGTGCACTGCAGTATATACTCAAGATACACTAAAGATTCCAAATCTCATAAACGAAATCAAGAGATGAACTTGCGCGTCTGTTCCCAAACTTTGAGTTTGTAGAATTTCAGAAACATAAATCGGGAGCAGCGAGCTTATAAAGTAAACAAAACTGGCACTACGTTCTAACACAGATTCAATTCAACATTCCCGATTGGTCAATTGCCGTCCCCTCAACAACCTGCAGTCCGTGTAACTAAGCAACGTAATTGATCGACCATTGACCAATCCATTTTTATCCTGCTGTTGAACATATGCAGGTCGCCATATCAAAAACGGTGATACGATTGCGAATCAAGGATCGATGATGCCAAGAGAAGACTAGGTGAAGCTCGTATCGCATTGCATCTGCAAGATATCAATAGTTATCAGATGTGCGACCCAAAATATGCAGAGATGTTTTAATTATAGTCTTTCCCCATGCATTGGTATAGGGTCCCGGCAACAGAACGGCGTATTCGTAATAGCGAACATTCATATGTTCCCTTGTATGAATATACAATGAACGAATACAACTCTTCGCATCACTGTCTGCTTCTAATTATTAGACCTATATTCATCTTGCCATAGTCATTATATTCATTCAACTCCCTTCCTCTCAACTTCCCTCATAAACGCCTCCCTCCCCACCACCCAACTCCTTGAGTTTTAGCACCTCTCCCGTCCTTCCTTTCTCCTCTAAATCCTTCCTCGATATCTTGCACTTTGCCGTATATCCGCACTTCTTTCCACCGCCAAAAAATGTTTCATCCGGACAACTCTGGCCCCAAAGCTCCAACACAAGTACCCAAACTACCAATCCAGTGACAGTGGAGATGAGTGTGAGGGAGTTTAGGGACGAAAGAGGAAGACATACGAGGATTATGCAGACGATGAGACGGTTGAGTAGGCGGTAGCGTTTGGCAAGTCGAATGCCATGGTGGTCTTTTTTATGGATGTGGCAGGCTGATATAATGCCTAAATGGAAAAGGTCAGTTGGGAGAATGAAGAGATGTGGAGAACCAGTGGGCGCATGGAACGACGGGACACCCGACTTTTAAAATGTTTGACAAATTTATTCATCAATTGCTTGATATCATAATCTATTGTTCAATCTCTAATGAGATATTGTAACAATTCCTAGGATGTGCAAATCAATATGTCAAGAAACATTTCGAAGTCGATATTTGCAGTGTCCTATCATTCCGGACACCACTGGTGGAGAGAGTGGAAGGGAGATCATACCCATACAAAAAAGTGCAATACCGAAACCAGCACAATAAAACCACCGCAACCCATGAGAAACTTCAGATTCAGATTTCTCCTGGTATGGCTCCGTGAGACTCTCAAGAGAAGTATCATCACAATCTCTCGCAACAACGAGTCTAGAAAGTGCGGCACCACCTAGAACATAACTCATAATGAAGGGTAAATGTGCAAAACTCCAGATGAGAGAAGCCCTAGCATCTCGTCGAATAGCATGTGCAAATAGATCCGTACCGTCTAAATCGAAATATATCCAATTGAAAACAAATGCTTGAATGAGGCCCAGAACAGCTTTTCCAAAGAATGCATTCAGCCCAAACGACGCTGCGTTTTGATAGATGATAGCGACAACTGAATAGCCAAAGACCAATGTCACAAACGCGTTTGTTCGTTCAGTTTTGTGTTCGATGTTTGTAGCAGGATAAAATTCAAACACTCGATCAGTCCACTCGGCAAGTCTAGTTGAGACGAATTTAGAACCTCGAACGAGGAATACTACACCTACCGTACCGCTTAAATCTATGAATATAGCAATAGCAATAACGGCGAATCGTTGGGGTAAATCGACGTAGATGCTTCCTATCCAAAGGATACTAGGGATCAGAATAATGATGGCTTGGGCTATTAGCATGCCTCGAACCATGGGTATAAGCCATGCGAGAAATAAATAATATGAACCCATGAAAAGACGAGCGGTCAAATAGAATGCTACTAGCATTGTGTATGAATTTTCGAAGGCTTCCAACATATTTGTGGTGAGACTGTCCAAGATTAGCATAGATACAAGTGCGCAACTGTCAACAATGATAGCATATAAAAAACAGGACCAGATGAATATACGTCTTCACTCACCCAAGTAAACAAGCCATAACAAACAATATTGAGATTCTTTGAGCTATATCATCGGTTTCGAACCAAGAGATGACGAGTGCTAGATCACTCCAGATCTTCCAACTCATGATAAAGGTTATGACAAATCTTAGGAGCTCGTATCCAGTAGGACTTTCAGAGGCATGATCTCCATTTATAGCGAGAATACCAACATATAAAAGGTCCACAAAGAGTTCAAAAGATGCTACTTCAGTAGTTCCTGATGCTCTCCATAATAAACCACGGTGAAAATATTGCCTGACAGTGGGCTGAAATTTTGTTAGTTCGTTAGTATACAAAGGGGAAGGAAACAAGATGAGCGAGTATTCAATGTTCATGTGGTTAGACTTTACCTTTTTATATAGTTTCATAATTCTCCCCTTTCTCTTTTCCGCTGCCCAATCTTTCGGCTCATGATCATCAGGCCCGTGATACATTGAGCTCGCCCGACTGGTATGTTCCGACCCATCATCATAAGTTCTTAAATGTGCACTATACCCATATTTCGAAAAATTCGCATCCAACGCCACGGAATGGTCTGTCAACATATGAAGCTCTGAGCCCAAGACTTCTAGATCTGATTTCACATTTTCGAATTCATCATAAGCGTCACCATGTTTATCTTTTAGTGCCTGTCGCTTAGATTCATGATGACTATGGGCTGCTCGAAGCGCGTCGAGATGTTCAGGAGATCCGTTGATTACGAGATCAAAAGGTTGATCTTTTTCTATGGTGCTGAGACGTCGACGAAGGAGATCGGCTTCTTCTGGGGAAGGCGCTATGTGCACTTTTCGGCCATCGGGAAGCATGAAATTGCGGAGTCGATGACCTCTGTGGTGATGACTGTGGGGAGTGGAAGTCCCAGAGGAGATTGGGGTTGTAGACATCCTCAACATAAGTATGTGAATTGTGCGAAAGATAACTTAGATTTGAGTATCACACTGCTCTTCATACAGATTGATCCTGTCAGGTATTCATGTGGCTTCTGATACCAAGAAATTGTGGCTTGGAAGGAAGTTGGCCGATGAACAGATTGAATCAAAGAGCGTTCAAAGATACTAAAATGTCATGTATTCGAGCAACGTTATAATTGTCATTCAAAGTCCATACTAACAAAAGTAGAAGATGAACAGGTCGATGAATTGACATAAAAGACCATGTTTAGCTGATATCAGAAAAGTGCCATTTATTAAGATGAGAGGAGAGGCAGTGACTAGGGCTAAAGGAAAAGGACCAAGCGCTCGATCGCCAAGCTTAGTAATCGCATTAGCTCCCTGATTCCCTCATCGGGAAATTTCAGAAGACGTTAAGAATTACTAACTTGGATGTTATTTTTCAAAAGTTATGAAATTGCTTGTTCCTCACTGTGAAATGTTTTGGCTAGGTATCTAATATTCTGTTTCAGCAATGTATTCCAAAAAAGAACAGAAGAGACTCAAGAGATACGATTACTTCGGACTGGACGAAATGAGTGTTCGGATCCGGAGTGTTGGGTTAATTATCAAGAAGACCAAGAAGCGAGGAAACAAGGGAAGGGGACCTTCAATCCACTTTAATTGGTCACTTCTGGAAGGGAATATCGGGCCCCTGAGAGCTGAGCTGAGGAGTCGTCAGTCGTTCGTGAATCGTGATGATTGCTGTTCTCACTTTGGGCTGTGCTGTCTGCTAACAATAAGGTTCGTTCAATCAAATGGCCAAGAAAGAAGGAAATGAGATGGTATTGATAAGGAAAATTTCTTGGAAAATGAGGATGATTGGTTTGAATTATAGTTCGAACCAAAAATTGTTCAAATAGGTCACAGTGGGGAATGAATTGATTGAATTTAGGCTAACTATAGTTAACTTATAGTTCATCGTATTATACGAAGGCTGGAAGGGTAATTGATGTCAATCCTACTTTGAGTGGAATCTTGCTGTTTTTAGAGAATTTATTGCTGCTTTAAGCCATTCGAATAGATATTGAGCTGTTCCCCCCTCAAAATTCAATATATAAAGCTTTCACTTGTTTTTTATCAACCCTAATGATTTTATAGTATTTAAAGCTTTCAAAGCTTGCTATAGGCTCTAAATAGGCTCTAGATAAGCTCTAGATTGCATTTGGACTTCGAAATCCAATTAGAATTGATGATTTTGAATAAAATTGAAATAATTTTAATGAAATGTGATTTTTGACAATACTTTCGCCTGATAAATTTCGTCATATAAATGTTCAACCAGCGTTGTGATTTGATTAGTCTAAAGCTCTAAAATGAGAAAAAAGCACGATTGCTTTTTAATATGTTTAATAATACTTACCCTTTCAATTATTGTAGTTTGACTAAAGAGAGAGCTAGAATATGATTATATCCTCTATAAGGTACAACCACCTTACAAACTGACGCTAGTACCAATTAGGCCACAGCGCCAATACTACGGAAATTGACTACTTTCAACAAAAATAAATCTTAAAAAACATAACGTGGTTTATTATCGAGTAGGTTATATCATCGAGTGAGTCACTTCAAAATATACCAAAATTAATACTTTTTTAATATTTTTATTTTAATAATCAATTATTATATTTTAGAGAAAAATTAACATAAAAATATAACAAAAATTTAGCTTTTTATAAATCTAGTTTTGATATAAAAATTTCTTTTATATTTAAAAAAAAATCGAATTTGTTACGATTTTTGTTACAAAAGAAATATTTCTATAATAACTATTATAATAATTTGAATTTTCAATAAATAATTAGATTTTCATATTATTTATATAATTAAAATTTTTAGTTTTAATTTTTAGAAGATTCTATCAATAAATAAAGAAAGTGTACAATTACACATAGATGAATTTTGTATATAAAAATAATAGCCAACTCAATGATATAGCCTATTCATGATAAACCACGTTATTAAATTCTATGATTATACACCCAGCCAGCTGGATTCCATGCTCACGCCCATCTAATAACCCAAAATTCGTGATATCATCTAAAAACTACACAATTTACTCTTTCCACAAATGCCTCTCGCTAACATCTCAATACTTCCGCTGCTCAACAATTCCAAAACCTGTAAATTGGCCTCAAATTCCCTCGCAATGAAATTCCTCACCTCAATCGCTACCAAAGAATCTAATGCATAGTTTGATAAACTTCGTGTAACATCCATATCTTCTGCTTCTAACATCAAAACACAAGGTAAAATATGTAATAATCCTCGTGTAACGGCTTCCTGCGCTTCCTCAATTGTGGTGGCGTTCTCAAGTGCAGCATTGAAGGATATATTGGCTGATGGAGAATCGGAGAGGGATGATGAAAGGGCTTCGTGGGCGAGTCGTAGATGTTTGAATTTGGCATCGTTAGTCCAAAATGGTGGTGGAGTGGTGATACGCATTCCCGTTATTGTGTGGTTATTGCATGTATTTGCCAAACGGCCAGTAATGGCAGCTCCGAGAAGTGCTAATACTTCTGCTTCGCATATAGTGTCACTTCCGAGATTCTTGCTCACTTCGGCTGCTGCGTCAAGGTTTTCCGCGAGATATCCTGCGTCAGACACGGCAGTAAGATCTAGAGATGAGGCAGGCAAGCCTTTAGTGAGACGATATTGCACAAATGCATTTAGGAATGTATTGGCCGCAGCATATGAAGCCTGACCCCTATTCCCTACTGCACCAGCGGCGGAAGAAATAGCGACGAAAAAATCCAACGCTTGTGATTTAAGAGCATTGTGGAAGTTCCAAGCACCTTGGACTTTAGATTCAATAACCGAATTGTATTCTTCGTACGTCATTTTCTCAAACAGAACATCCTGTCTCTGTCAGCTACATTCAAATATCATCACACGGTTGTACTTACTCGTAGGACCATAGCTCCATGAATGACACCCCTGACTTCGGGCATATTAGTAAGCCCATTTGTGACCAAATCATTCACTGCGTCACTATTCGACACGTCACAACGTCGAATTACGATATTGGCACCAACATTCCCGAGATCATCAACCATCTTCTTAACTTCTCCAGTGACAGAGCCAGTTCTTGACACAAGAACAAGATGTTTGGCACCTTTGCTGACCATCCATCTAGCCATGCTTCGGCCCAAACCACCAGTTCCTCCTATGAGAATATATGTGGCATCTGGGCGAAGTATCTTGCTTCTCTTATCTGCGGGTGTGGCCTGTGATACTGTTAGTATTTTTCATGGAAGTGTATTTCGGAATAACTAACCTTGACCAAGTCATCTGGCTCGGGTGTAATTATTAACTTTCCATCGAATTTTGTTGATTGTAATGTCTTGAAAGCTGTCTCAACGTCTGAAATTGAGAAGACTGTGGTGCTAACAGGCTTGATCGAACCCTGAATCAAGAAGCTAGAGATCCGTGAAAGGACAGCGCTCAAAATTCTAGGTCTTTCAGTGCCCAGAGATATCAAGTCAATAGAAGAATAACTTCTGTTGGTTCCGCTTCCAAGTTTTGGATGACTTTCTTGTTTTGCGAGATTGATGAAGCGCCCGAAGTTGCTCAAGCATGAGGAAATCTCTTGGAGCGTATCTACATCTGTTGGAATACAATTCAACACGATGTCAAAGTTGCCTCTGTATGTTTGTTGGAGATCTTTTGGGCCGAATGAAGTATTAGGGCTTACGATTATCTCCTTTTCAGAGAGGCCGTACGTTGATTTGAGTGAATCCTTCTTCTCGATGCTACTAACGGTTACAAAAACCTTGGTACCCATGGTCTGGCTAAGACTGATAGCTGCTTGTCCAAATGCACTGGATCCTCCATGAATCAAGACAGTATCATCTGAAAGTAATCGTCCAATGTCGTTCAAACCATAGTATGCAGTGCAAAATGCCACAGGAATCGATGCACCAACCTCAAATGACATATCATGATTGATCTTAAAAGCAGCAGAAGAATCCAAAAGAGCCCGGCTAGAGTAAACTCCTTGAGATGCTACAATCCCCGCGATACGATCGCCCTTAGCAAAATTGGTAACACGACTACCTGTCTTCGTGACGATACCACTACATTCGCAGCCAAAGCCGTCATAATCAGTATGCCCAGAAATAGCAGCGAGATCTACTGAATTCATGCCGATTGCTTTAACTTCAATCTCAATTTTGTTATCTTCTATTGATTCCTCCGGTGATGCATCAATGAAGTGAAGGGTCTCGAAGACGCCTGGTACTGAGATGGCCATCTTCAATGGCCGATGTTCCTGTCCAAATCGTGTCAACTCCAGAGCAGAATCTTTCGTTTGTTTGTGAACATATTCGTTCATTTCTGAGTCATTGATGATACGTGGTGTAAGGAATACCCCCTTTCTCTCCATAAATTCCAATTCGCAGTTTGCATCAGCTTCTGGATTGAAAACACTTTTGAAGACTTTGAGAATAGCGTTGGTCGTGTTCTCATGAGAAATAGCACTCCCTGGGTCTAAGTCTAAGGTTGAAAATTTGAGCATTGTCTCGGAACGAATGCTTCTGCTTAGGCCAGCAACCATGTTGGTCGTAGGATTAGATGAATCACCATATGCTCCTTTGACCACCCAGAGTACTCCACGAGATCCAATCAATGCTTTTTGCAACGCAAGGAATTGAGAACATGTGAGTGTTGACAACAATGGTTTATCAAGTTCTGAAATGATAAGGCAGAGCTTTTCGGTTGTTTCAACCTGAGATAGACTACCTATCTCGGGTCTTTTCCCTGTCAAATGCTCAAGAGATTCGGCCAATTTGGTTGAAAGAGCTATTTGTTCATCCGAACTCTCATGGATAATGACGATTCCTTCGGATGAGTAATCGTGGTTTTTGGCTTTATTCGTTATACCATTCACTGATCCATTGGATGCCTCTGGTATCCCGTTTGAGGCACCATTTTGTTCCGTAGAGACTGCCGACTCAAATATAGGCTCCCAATCCAGTTTGTAACAAAGCTCCCTGTGTATGTCATTCTCTGAAGTTGAATTTGTTTCTACGATTGGCGAAACTGTTAAATCGCGAATTGTAATCAGTGGAGCTTCTGATAGATCATTTTCCACGGCAAACATTGAGACATTGGTGGGCTTGGGGTAACCAGATAAAAAGGTACCCTCACAGAAGGCCCTGATGGATGTACCAGGACTTCTCATGAGTTTTGTTATTTCTCGGGAAATAGTGATTTGTCCGACAGATGAAGGCAAATAGACGGTATCCAATGAAGTCTTTCCGGCATCGATGATTGGCCAATACATCTCGATGACTTGCTCTAGTAATGCCGGATGGATTATCATATCTTCTTGATGCTCCTTTGGCATTTCTTGCTTGGTGTCTGGAACAACGACATGTGCCATTGAGGCGTCTTCAGAAGCGAAGCACTCATTCATACCTTGGAAACTCGATCCATATGAAACCCCAATATTTGAAAGCGAATCGTACAATTCAGATCTGTTGATGGCATTTGTTGCTGTCTCAGTAATATTTCCGATGCTTGATTTAATCTCAAGTCCAAGATCGTGATGACCTAGTCTAGTGGCTACTATCCCCTGGCAATGCAAGGTCCATCCTTTATTAGCAGCCCACGAATGAATCTTGAACTCGTCCCAAGTATTGGAAGCACAATTGTCTAGTGTACGGGAGCGAAGTTGAAGAGTAATCTCGACAGGCTCTTCAGTAAGCATAAGGGGCTTGGTGACTGAGACATCGCGAAGCTCGAAGTTGTCGTACTGAATATTATTAGATGCTGCTTTCTGCGATGCCGCTTCGATTGCTATCTCAATGAAAGCAGACATGGGAAAAAGAATTAGGGACTGAATTTTATGGTGTCGAAGCCATGGAACATCATCGATTCGAAGGATATTTCTCCAAGTTGGCTCCAGATCATTCGAGTAATTAGCCAGGGTACCAAGAAGATCATGACGTTGGGCTGTGCGACTTTTGTGTTTCTGAGTCAAGCGTGGCTCATGCCAGTATTTTGTTGTGTGGTTCCAGGGATATCGAGGCATGTCGATAAGTAACGAAGGAGGATTAAGGGGGGGAGTAACATTAATGGCGCCAAGGTCAAGAAATGCACCTTTCGTGAACAACGTTGAAGCTAAATCGATTGCTGTCTCTACAGCATCCTTCTTTCTCACAAGCGCAGATGCATAAGGAATTTTCATTACGTCCTTCCCACAGGCCTTTAAAATCTGCTTGATTGGGCCAGCGAGGGCTGAATGAGGCCCAAGCTCAATGAGCATGTTCACACCAGTTTTGTGTCCATCGCCTGGTGCACACATATCCGTCAAAGCTTCAGAGAATCGAACCGCTTGTGTCAGATTGTCTACCCAGTACTGGGCCTCAAGTCTCGATTCTTCAACAAGATGACCAAGTAATGAAGAATGAAACTTTACATCTGAAGTTTTGGGTGGAGCTAGAGATTGAAGGCAGCTTCGGTAATCTTTGGAGACCAAGCTCATGTGATGAGAATGATAAGCCACATCAACTTGTAGCTTTCTATAGAACATTTGCTTCTGTTCCATTAATACTTGAAGTTCGTCGATTGCCGGCTCGTCTCCTGAGATAGTCAAACTAGACGGACTGTTAAAGCAAGCTATACGAGCTGTCTTTGCGCTAAGTTGATCGATGAGTGGCTCTATTTCTTCCTTGGTGCAACCAACAGCCATCATTGATCCTCGAAGATCTGGAAATTTCTTCCTCAACCCAACAGTTGCTAGACCTCTGTAGTATGCAATAGCCATGCAGGAGTCAAGGGGCAAGATTCCAGCTGCGTATGCCGCTCCAATTTCACCACTGGAATGACCAGCGACGGCTGCTGGAATTACGTTCCAACTTCTTAATAAATCAGTCAAGGCCAACTGGATAGCTGTGCATGCAGGTTGACTTATATGAGCTTCGTTGATAAGCGATGATGTGGCATCTTTATTTAATTCGGTGATGAGGGAGAAAGGTGCCCCGAATGAAATGAGACATTTGTCACAAGCATCTAGGGATGCAGCAAAGACCGGATAATGTTCATAAAGCTCCCGGCCCATTGCATTCCATTGGGCGCCCTGTCCGGTAAAAACGAAACCTATACGCAGTGGCTCAATCTCTCTCATTGGAGTGACTTTTCCAGAATTAAGTGCTTGTATGAGCTCGAAGGATGATGTGGCCGGAATGGCGACTCTCCATTGCAGTCTAAGCATTATTAAATTAGTACCAGTGCCGTCAATTTTCTAGGAATAGAAACAATATAGCTCAAATGGGACATCTTGGATATAATAGATGAATGGAATGAGCACCTACAGAGATCTTCGTTGTCCGAGTGTATAAGCAACGTTACTCATTAGACCATTCTGAAAGAATTCCGGTCTTCTTTCTAAATATATCCCGATGTTTTTCATGAGCGCCTCTAGAGCTCCTTTATCGTTCGCGGACAAAGCGATTAGTCTTCTGCCTTGCAGCGCCTTCTCACTGGATTCAGGCTCAAGCTTATTTATGAAAGGAGCTCGTTCTAAAACAACATGTGCATTTGTGCCTCCAAATCCAAAGTTATTTACGCTAGCAAACTTCTTTGCTCTTGGCCATGGGCGTTGACTGATCGGAACCTATGAAAGATCAGCATTGATTAAGTCTACTATGAGCGATCTATGACCAACCTTTAAATGCCATTTTGAAAAGGGTATATTCTCATTAGGCGTCTTGAAATCGTGATTAGGCAGGATAAAGCCTCTTTCAAGCATCATAGCTGTCTTGATGACCGAAATAATACCTGTGAGATATTTCTTAGCTTTTTAGGCAATTTAGGATAACGAATTGATACTCACCAGAAGCAGCTTCAAGATGTCCAATATTTGATTTCACGGATCCAATGAAGAGCGGATTTCTGGCATTTCTGCCTTCTCCAAACACATTATATAGAGCGGTAGCTTCTATAGGATCTCCAACCTTGGTACCGGTTCCGTGAGCTTCCACGTAACCTGTGTCTTTTGGGTCGATACCAGCACTTTCGTAGACCCATTTCATGAGCGATTCTAATCCGGTTAACATCTCGGATGGCAAAATCAATGGGAATCAGTTTTGGACATACCTTGTGCCGAACCGTTAGGCATAGTTATTCCAGGAGTTTTACCATCTTGGTTGATGCCGCTTCCTCTTATAACGGCCCTGATGTTGTCGTTATCCTTAAGAGCTTGCTCTAAAGGCTTTAAAACAACCAAACCACAACCCTCACCGCGTCCATAACCAGTGCCTCGGCTATCGAAAGAGAAAGATCTCCCTTCATCGGAAAATAATCTGTATATATTAGACGGGATCCCAAATGCTATGGAGTTATGGCAGACTCACCGAGAATTTGACATTGAAATCCAATTCTCTGGTAGTATATTTAGATGGCATCCACCGGTGATAGCTGATTTACATTCTCCATTCCGAATACTCTGGCAAGCTTGATGTAAAGCAACCAAACTCGAAGAGCATGCAGTATCCATGGTAAAACTAGGCCCTCGTAAATCAAAGAAATGAGAAATACGATTCGACTGCATAGCAAAAGCGCATCCTGGGTTGATTATTTAGTAAAGCAAAATATGTGACCAAGGAAAAATTATTTACCTGTAGCTTGGTACATAGGGATACTATCGGTGTCCACAAATGATGCGGATTCGTACTCTGAGAATGAGCCACCAACAAATACACCCACATCCTTCCCGACAATCTCATGTTTCGGGATACCTGCACTCTCCAAAGCTTCAAAAGTACATTCTAGTAAAATTCGTTGCTGAGGATCCATCGAAGTAGCTTCCTGTGCGGTAAGACTGAAAAATGGTGCATCGAAGAGTCCTACATCTTCTTTGAGGAAATTTCCGCCAGCTGCATTAAAACAGCCAGCCTTTCCTGGATTTGGATGATAGAAGCTTGCGGTATCAAATCTCTCCTTCGGTATTTCTGACCAACCGCTTCGAGCTCTCGAACAGAGCTCCCAAAACTCATCCGGAGTGCTAACATTTCCTGGCAGCCGACATGAAATTCCAACGATTGCTATTGGTATCTGCTTTGCAAGTTGGGGCTGGCTATATCCGGAGATGTATCCATCTTTGAAAGCTTGAGAATAAATGTCTTTGAAGGCCTTGACTTCAGGCGCGTCGTCGCTTTCTCCGGGAGTAGGCTCGAAGGTCTGCTCTAATAACGTTTCCTCAACAGCACCATTCGTACCCTCCTGAGGCGAATTCCAGGTGGTCGCTGAAGGCGCCATATCTTTCTTGTTGTGATTAAAGCTGTCTGGTATTACAATGACATTGTAAGATAGAAATCACAAGAACATGTAAATGGTTTTGGATATATCATGCGCTGAAGTAATTTGTCAATATCTTTTGGGCCAGTCCAAGCTAATCTTCACTTAGATATGGTCGTGTTTCAAATAATAGCTAGAATGATGGGAAATGTGAGCTTTGAGTTCCCGGTCAAGTGTCGGGTATGCAAACGGATAAATTCTCGCACGGCTGCCATCCCATGTTCAAAGCGGGTGCTATTGCACACACCGTGTCAATCAAATCTTGGCCTTTCATCCCATCTAAATGACAATTCATGTTGATCATTATGGAATGATAAAAGGGCGGAAACGATAAGGTTAAACCCGTCAGGCTCTGGAGCCTGAACCCCTCAAAGCGTGCTGGGGATTGCATCACATCACATCATACCCATAATGCATTGATTTGCACTCGGTAATGGACTCTGTCGTCGTTCGTTCACCACCAATAATCGATCGTGGCATATACTTTCAACGCCTCGTTCCAAGAAGTATCATGGGCATGATCTATGAACAATGATAAATGAAGCATCGACCAACAGCTGGGCCTAAAGCTTAGCTACACCACAGACCGTGAACACGGGGAAAGAGGCATGAAACAGGAATGCAGACAAAAACAAAGCTGAAGCACATACTTCCTTTTCTGATTCAGGTTACCTTTTGAATAAGGTGGGTGAAACCGGCGATTAGTGCATAGCCGGCAAGTCAGTCCATGTATCTTACGTTTCTGACTGGACATTGTGTTGTGCACTGAACCTCATTTCGAAACATCCAAAAGCACTTGAGATCAGACTCGACCAGGAAAAGTGCATTTGCCTCCAGCCTTTCAAGGTTACTATTTCCATGGTCGTTGGTGTGGCGTATCATTTCTCCAGCCACAATCACGCAAACCCCTCACGCCACCAAGCTTCTTCGACTCAAGTGTTCCTGATCGACCGGTAATTCCCTCACCTCCATCCTCGAACCCCCCATAATCTGTGGATCTATACCCAGACGTGCCAGACTTTTTATCCAATGGTCTCTTATTGAATAGAAACGATCTAAGATTCATTAGTGAAGAGGCTCCTATCCAATCACTTGCTGATGCTGCAGGACATCCACAATATCCGAGTCGGTCGAGATTACATCCCCAATTGCTTCCGTCTGTGCATATCATCTTAAACTTGTTCCAAGATGACAGACATGATTTGAAGGGATGTTTGTATTATTCAAGTTTCAATATGGAGATCTCCAGAAGTTGGATGGGCTCCCTGGCTGTGAAGCAATATAGATCCTTGACCAGATCTTCCATTCTTAAAAGCTTAAGGAACTTTATAAACCCCGGATAAAGACCTCTTTCAAACTTTATATTTGCAATAATTTACTCGTCAGTTCTACGGTTAATATAACATCGAACCTTTGGATATCGGATCTTAGAATATCGCCCTCCCAAAATCATCCACACACATTGTCAACCATGAAGTTTTTATGTCTTTGCGGAGCATACGGAAGCTCAGATGTAAGTACAATCTCTCAACGTCGCTTGCAAACTTGGTGCTTAAGCTGACCTTACGCAGAAATTTAGAGTGCAGCTTGGTGTGTATCCTCGGCAGTTCTATTTAACATGTGAATCATGCTTACTTCTAAAATAGCTCCTCTCATTAAGGAATTAGCGTCTGATGAGACTGCCGAATTATTCTTTGCTCATGGTCCAGTCGACGCCTTCCCTCCCGAAGGATATGAAGATTATTTCGGTCCTGGACCACATTATCGATTCATAAAGCCCGGTAACACAGAAGAAGGGGGAAGCGATCTTCTTGATCGCATTCGAAACTTTCCCAAGGGTGCAACCGCAGAAGATCAAATGCGAGAACTAATGAGAGGTGGAATTGGTTCTGCAGTTCCTGTCCCAAATGCCGATGGCACTTATGGTGATGAGAGTGCACAAGACGCCATGGAGTACTTGTACGATATTATGCAAGAAGAAGGACCTTTCGACGGAATCATTGGATACTCAGAGGGAGCCACAGTTGCTGGAACGCTACTGTTGCACGAACAAAAAAGATTCGAAGTCGAGGGAAGAACACCAATGTTCAAGTGTGCTATATTCTTTGCCGGGTGGCCTCCAATGACACCAGAATTTGATGGAATCGTTCTTGCGGATGAAACCGATTTGACAATCACCATTCCAACCGTCCACATCAGTAAGTCCAGTGGATTCTCAAATGACACCACGAACATTATCTAACTCTTGATTTAGTTGGCTCGTTAGACCCATATCTTGCAGGATGTATTTCGCTCTACAATGTATGCGATATGGACAATGCGTACCTCTTTGATCATGGAAAAGGCCACACATTGCCCAGAGATCCAGAGACAGTCCGAGAGCTTGGCAACATAATACGCACTATGGGCTCGAACATTGGTCTTTTGTGAGGTATCAGAGGAGACAATGCATTGAAGCAGTTATGTCAAATACCTGTTAGAAGGCCTTGCACCCTTGCAGTGAGCAGGCCTCACGCACGCTGTGGAGCTTGGGATTATCAGACCGTAGACCGGACCCTTTTTTCTTCATTACAAAAAGTTTAATTATTACACGATACCAAATGTAGAGACGACTTGGCAGGATCAACGGCGTTATTACTACCATTACATTTATAGTTTATAAATTTTATTTCATTAAATAGCAGGATGTTCATTTGGAGTGTCTGCGCTGGTGTGCTGTACATCGTTGACAGAATCATCATCCTTCTCGTTGAACTTAAACATGTCATCCTCATACCTGGCTCTATGAATTGCTGGGAGTAGCTTCATGTGCATTCCATTTTCAGAATGGCCAAGAATTGGTTTCGTGCTAGGGGATCTAGAGTTTCAGGATTTTCACATTTTGAAGGGGACCTTAGCCGAGGGTACTATGCTACAATTCCGCCTATATATTCTGTCACGCCAAGTCAAACGAAGAAACAACTACAATCGACCTTGTTTGACTCTAACCAAGTATTAGTAAATCTTATAGAACAATGGAGATCGAGGATTCCACATACAAAGTCTGAGCCCCTGCAATGACAATGATTGCTCAAGGGAATCATCAGGAGATTGGCAGAATCCTAACCAAATCAATTGCGTTCATTTCTTGTCAAAACAAATTCTGGAGAGATCTCCTGTCATGTATCATGTTTCAATCTTAACCAATCAAGCCGTGTGCTATAGCGTTCAGTGCCCGCGGTCAGACCAAGAGTTCTCCATATGCACGGATGTGAGGTCTATTTCTGGCTCCACCATCAATCTCTAATTTCTTCTCCTGAGACCTGGTCAGCTTTACAATGAGAGAGCGGGGCAATTTTGAAACGAGAAACTTTGTGTAGAAATTGAGTGATTTTGATTTGCCACCTTGAGAAAGGTGATGCTTTCATGAGAATCTCTATGGAAACTTTACACCTCAGAAAGTAAAGATGGCGGGGAACATTGATCGCAGGTCATCATCATCGCCTCCACCGAATTTCTCTCAATCAGATGTGCCTCTGTTATCAGATGTGGAGGTAGGATACGAAGACGGAGAGAAGACAGATCCGTCTCTATCGAATATAGGGATGGTAAGACAGACTCACGAATTCCATGGAGCTCCATTGCAAACAGGTGCTTTAATGGAAGAGATTCTATCCCCACACGCTGGCGATTTCAACTCACCTACCTCACCAACGCAATGGCCAGCTTCGGCAAAAGAACCTTTATTACCGGGAGAGCAAGGTATCCAGATAGACAATGGTAACGTCGAAGTCGTTGATCCTCCATCAAAGACCAGGGAACCTTATATCAGTGCAGAGTACAGGCTTGCTTTATCTCATTTTAGGGTGAGTATTCACTTCATACTGGACTTCTGTACATGACTAAAATCCTCCGCAGCGAATATTCTCTTATACAAATAGCAATGACAAATTACTCCTCCTTGCAGCAGGCGGTGCTTCAGTGTTCACTGGTATTACATTACCTCTCATGAATGTCGTTTTTGGTAAGAACTATAAACTACCATTTGTCTGGTGACTGTTCAGGTGCTGAGTATATTCCTAGGTTCACTGGTAGGCGACTTTAGTGGATTTTACAATCCCAACTCGGATGAAACAAAAGAGGTATTCACTGAAGCTATCAATCAAAATGTGTGAGTAGCAGTATATGTGAAGAGTATTGATGGTAGATACTAATGCAACTACACAGGATTTACATGCTCTACCTGTTCTTAGGGAGACTTCTTCTCGATTACGTCGCTGTTGTGAGTGGATTACACATATAGACCCTCGAAAGTTTCCTAACACTCTTATAGCTGGGATTCCGGATGGTGAGCATTCGAATATCCGCATCAATGCGAATAGCGTATCTCAATGCCCTTTTTCGTCAACCCATTTCGGTGCTTGATACTTTACCATCAGGGCAAACTGCATCCATCATCACCATTACTGCTAATATACTCCAACTTGGTATCTCCGAAAAGCTGTCCATGTTTCTTCAAAGTGTTTCTTTAATTTTCTCGGCTTTGATAGTCGCATTTTACTACAACTGGCTGCTCACACTTGTGACCAGCACAGGCTTGATTTTTATCATTGCATTTTATTCATACACCATTCCGCGATTGGTAAAAATGCTGAAGCAAGTCGAGGAAGCTGACCAAGTTTCTTCTTCTATCGCGAGTGAAGTTTTCAGTTCGATTAGGATGGTTGTCGCCTGTGAAGCTGAAGGCAAAATGGCAAAGAGATATTCTGCATGGGTAAAAGAATCTCGGCGGCGAGGTTTACTCATGTCTCCCTTGATAGCGATTCAGCAAGCTCCTGGTATGTATTCAAAATAACATTTCTTCTTGCCTATACTGACTGGTACTTAGTATTTTTTGCAATTCATGCGTAAGTCTTCTCCACTCACTCACGATAATTTGTCCTTACAAACATGACAGTACTTTCGCGATGTCATTTTGGTTCGCCATCAAACTTTACCTAGAATCCGAAATTGCCAGCGTCTCAACTATAATTATGTTCGTTCTCATTAACCACCCTACTTCACTTTGATATATGGTATTAATCAATAACTTCAGCGTTTTATCGTCTATAATGACTATTGTAATGTCTATTGGGGGTATAGCAGCCCCCATTACTGCTGCCGCACAAGCCGCCGGTGCTGCTGGTATTATTTTCAGTATCATTGATGCTCCACAGCCGAGAACGGATGGTGTCAAGGCGCCAGATGTCTCTTCCAGGGAAGATATCGTTCTTGAAAATGTCAACTTTGCCTATCCTCTGAGGCATGATGTGAAAGTGCTTGACAATCTCAGTGTTCGATTTCCAGCCGGAAAGTTGACTGCTATTGTCGGAGCATCTGGCTCAGGGAAAAGTACCGTTGTCGGGTTGATTGAGAGGTGGTATGAGCTTGATGGAAACCTCACGGACAATGCCATTGTAAGTTTTGAGACATGAAAAAATGCTTAAAGATCATCACTGATAGATGGCAAGACACTTTTCTTCCGAAACGGTACAATCACTGTCGGCGGTCGAAAATTACATGAGATTGACCTGAAGTGGTGGAGGTCACAGATAGGACTTGTTCAGCAAGAACCATTTCTATTCAATACTACTATATACAAAAATGTGGAATATGGTCTGATAAATACTAAATGGGAATATGAATCCCACGAAAAGAAGAGAAGATTAGTGAGACGAGCTTGCAAGGAGGCATTCGCAGATGAATTCATTAAACGACTTCCAGAGGTAAGGCTAGCCATGAAATCATAGTTCGTTCATTTGAGAATGCTTCTAACTTTTATAGGGATATGACACAATAGTAGGGGACTCAGGGATAAAACTCAGTGGGGGTCAACGACAGAGACTGGCAATTGCAAGAAGTATTGTTAAGCAGCCAAAGATATTGATTCTTGATGAAGCAACAAGCGCTATCGATGTCAGAAGTGAAAGAATAGTTCAAGCTGCGCTAGACAAAGTCTCCAAGGGTCGAACTACGATCACAATCGCGCATCGACTATCTACCGTTATTAAGGCTGACAATATCGTCGTTATGAAAAAAGGTCAAGTAGTACAACAGGGGACTCATGAAGAGCTGTTAATGGATTTGAATGGTCCATATTGGGCACTTGCAAATGCTCAACAGCTGGGAAATAGTGAGCTACCTAAAAATGAAATCGATACCCCTAGCGATCCGGAAAAACGAAGGATAGACTCACCGATATTCGAAAGAATTAGTCTTGATGTGGCAGAAGAATCATCCAGCGTAGAAATGGGATTCCCTGTAGCGAAGCCAAAAACTCCCGTAGGAAGCTTTCTACTTTTTCTTTGGGAACAAAAGCCACGATGGGTATGGTATACAATAATGTTTCTAAGCTCTTTGGGCGCCGGTGCTTCATTCCCATTACATGCGTTTCTATTCGCGAAACTCATATCTCTATTTAATTTATGGGGACAAGCTCTCCAGGTCCAGACAAATTATTGGTGCTTCATGTTTACCTTGTTGGCCATCAGTGTGGGTTTCAGTTATTACGCCCTCGGATGGTCTTCAAATACGGTCTCATTTGTAAGTTTTGTCAATTTCCGGCGACTTCAGTGACTAACAAAAGTATCAGAACATCACAGCTACTTATCGACAAGAATACTTCCAAAACGTACTCTCGAAGCCCGTATCATACTATGATGAAGAGGAGAACTCCGTGGGTAGTTTGACAGCTAGAATGGCGAGTGATCCTACTCAACTTCAGCAGCTACTTGGAATAAACATGGCGATCGTGCTCATTTCTATGTTTAACATCTTTGGATCTGTGGCAATGTCCTTTTATTTTGGATGGAAACTCACTCTATTGACCGTTGTGACGACGATGCCCATCATTCTAGCCGCAGGATTTTTCCGACTTCGATACGAAACCCAGTTCGAGAAAATGAACAACGAAGTATTTGCTGAGAGCTCAAAATTCGCTACTGAATCTATTGGTGCGTTTCGGACAGTATCGGCTCTAACTCTCGAATCGGAGATTTGCGGGCGATACGAAAAACTCTTACGAAATTATACCAAGAAGGCTTTTCGAAAAGCTAGATTCTCAACCTTTATATTCGCAATGAGCGATAGCATCGCTATACTATGTATGGCATTTGTTCTTTGGTATGGTGGCCAGCTTTTGGCTGACCATGAGTATACACCCTTTAATTATCTAGTTGTATACTTAGCCGTTGTACAAGGAAGTACCACCGCAGGACAATCTCTAAGCTTCGGACCAAATGTGGCGCAAGCTTTTGCAGCAGCAGATCGTATCTATGGCATGAGACCCGAAGATAAAGACGATAGTGAGTCAGTGCTTTACGACTTTGCAGATGCTCACGATCCGGAGAAAAGCTCACGTGGAGTCAAAATCGAGCTTAAGAATGTCTCTTTCAAGTATCCTACTCGTGATGTTCCTGTACTCAATGGACTCGACATGATTATTGAGAAGGGACAATTCGCAGCCATCGTCGGGCCATCTGGATGCGGCAAAACAAGTATCATATCCCTACTCGAGCGATTTTACCAAATCCAGAGTGGTCAAATTCTCTACCAGGACACGAATATCAATGATATCTCCCTTGAAGAATACCGCAAGTTCATCTCGTTGGTTGCACAAGAACCCTCTTTATTTGAAGGTTCGATCCGCGACAACATTCTCCTGGGCGTTTCAGATGAAGAAGAGGTATCAGATACCGTACTCCATCAAATCTGTCGCGACGCAGAGATCCATGACTTCATATCCTCGCTTCCCGAAGGTTACAACACTGCCGTAGGCGCTCATGGAGTCGCACTATCAGGTGGTCAGAAACAACGCATTGCTATTGCACGAGCTTTGATTCGAAATCCAAGATTGTTGTTGTTGGATGAAGCAACGTCAAATCTAGATTCTGAGACTGAGAGGAGTGTGCAAGCTGTGTTTGAAAGGACTGGGAGGGGAAGAACCATGATTGTTGTTGCGCATAGATTGGCAACTGTTCAGAATGCAGATGTCATTTTTGTCTTAGGAGAGGGGGGAAATGTGGTGGAAAGAGGGAGTCATGGACGCTTGTTAGGAATGAGGGGGTTGTATTGGCAGATGGTATGTTTTCTTATGTTCTAATTGGTGATATGAATTCTAGAGTGAAGGCTAACCACGAACTGTAGTGTCAAGCGCAAGCTTTAGATCGATAGAATGGGAGGTACCCTTTGTTTGTCTCATTTTATGCTGGAACGTATTTTTACGGGTGGGAAGGAATGTTCAAGGTTGGCGCCTTTGGAGTATCAGGAGTTTTAGGTGTTTGTTGGATATAATACAGAAATTGAGAAATTTTCACCCGATGAGTACTACGAATTTCAAAACGTGATATCAACATCTCATCATCGATTTCGGTTAAAAGCTATCTCCTGCCATATAAATCATAAATATCAAAAATCATCCCTATGTGCGACCCAAATTCATAGGCAAAAAACGCATGAATTTTGAGCAGGATTTCGGAACATTTCACGTGATGTGATATTTGCCTTTCTACACTTGAAAGTTGATTCAAAATAATTTGAGATAATCTCAAATTCAGACATGCAACAGAATGGATACCAGACAACGCGAGGATCACGGGATTATTGAGGCTCATTTGCACTGCCACTCCCAAAGTACAAACGGCAGACGAGATTAGGTATCGGTAAACCTGCATCACGGCTCGGGCCCTGGAGCCGAGAGACACGGAAAGGCGAAGCAGTCGAATACTTGATCGACTCATAAATACATTAGGTTGCAAAGTCAAAGATTGTGTTGGGCTTTGATTTCATTTGAGATGGAGCCTGGTGGAAATCTAGTTACAGTTACATTTAATGTATGTTTCCGTGCGCACGTTGTAATTTGCAGTCGTCCGCGATTCAGAGTCGCAGGTATTGCTTCGCCACTGCTTCGCCAGATTTTGATAATTGTGCAATCCATGGATGGTCTGCAATGAATTGGAGCCTAGATTATGGACTGTAGACGCTACGGAAGTGACGCAGGCCACACTGCCAATGTTCAACATCCGGAACAACATGCTTCAGACGCGTCACGAAGCATATCATATGGGCGATGTCCAAAGGTTCAAACAGAACTTCAAGTACAATTATTGGCTGCATAGGCTATCTGCAGCACGTTTGATGGAAGGCCTAAATCTTGCATTTACCAGATTTTATACTTGGTCACCAATTACGCGTTTGTCTTGCTTTGATATGAACACTTGGAAGTTTCGAAAAGTTTCGTTTTGCGTGTGTTACACCAACTGCGCCATAAGTTGATGTTTTAATCATATGGATTGGCTAAGACCGTTTTCTGATAGCCTTATTACATGCGAATGCGGGATATTTGCAATCCACAATGTCCAGATCACCTATCGGTCTGCATTCCTCCCAACTCATTCATGGCTTCCAATGCAATATGCCGAATATCACATCAGCCCAGTTGTATTAACTTGCTCCTTGCAGCTTAAGAATAACCAGAACTGAACACAGTATTCCAGCTCAATCCATGCACATCTGTCATTTCTTTCCAATGAAATATCGTGGCGTTGAAAACGTGTTTTAATGTTCGGATAGATACATCATGCTGCTTTATGCTTTAAAGCGTGACGAATCTCAGGGAAAATGGAAGTGCACTAAATTATCATGGTTCATGCTCGTGCTTACTTATTACTTCAAATCGAGAATGCTCCAGATTTACAGTATAAATCAATTTGAGAGATGTTTGATAATATTCCAGGCGCGCAGAATTCTCCCATAACCTTCAAAATGGACTACAGTATACCTCCGATGACACCATTTGACACGCCGCCTAATGTTACTTATGTACCATCAACGGCATTCAAGAAAACCACACAAGACGAGAGATCTGCTATTCAAGTTCACGATGCGGCAACATTTGAAGGCCAGCAAATTGGCGCTATCCTTCCAATCAAGAGAGCATTGAAAGCCACAGCTTTCTGTTCACCGCTCGCAAAAGTCGGTGATTATGTCGAAATTCTGGCATATTACAACCTCAGTCAAGTTGAAGTCAAGAATCTTCGTACGGGTATGGCAGGAACTATCGATTGGGAGGATCTCCTTCCGGTTCCGTACGATGGAAAATGCGGTTGCTTAGGTGTGGGATGCCGATGTATCTATGAAACTTGGCAAGCATATTCTGCACGCCGTCCACCAAGACTGATGCCCGTTTATGGTAGTCAGGATCTCGGTGGATTACATGGTATGAATCTCAAGCTTTCCACAGAGAAGGACTGGATATGGGTTGATGACATGTATACCAAAGCTTACTCATCTATAGGCTCGCCTCTTCAGGCGTCTGGTTATCCAAATTTCCCATTATATACAACTAATGTTACAACAAAGGCACTCCCAGAAGTAAACGACCCCCTGACAGCCGCTGGACAAACACCTGGAGCCATCTTAGCTGTGAAGCAACATGCTCACTTTCCTCACGACTTTGGTCCAGTCCTCGAGACTGAAATTGGAGATCGATGCAGATTTCTCGAAGCCTGCGAGCGAGGTTGGGGTAGAGTGAAGGTTAAGAATCTTCGCACTGGGAGGGAAGGATGTTTGAGATGGCAAGCTTTCAAACCGGTCAATCCGAGAAATACATGTTCTTGTCTTAACGCTTGGTGCTACTGCGAGTACGAGGATTTTGAGAAGAGCAAAGCATACTGCGAAGCCCATAAATCATGAATTGGATTAGGGTTGGGTTGAATGACGTAACGATTTTATGACTGGAAGGGATTGTTGGATAAAATGATGGATACCCACTGTACTTGGGTACTTTAGGAAACATGGTATTTAGTGTGCATTTTCTGAAGGTCCATTTGTTATAATTAATGGAAAGTTTGAGATGCTCTTCTGTGTTGAGCTCACTAATTCCTCGAGACATTGATTAGACTAGGTAGCTAAGCAAAAACACTGTTGATACTATTCCAATATTCAATGTTTAGAACAGATGGCAAGATAATTTAGAGCATGGTTTCTTCAAGCTTAGTGATTTATTTTGGCATGCGAGTTGTTCTGTCCTAAATAATGCGGTACTTCCAGTATGCAACTTTCCGCCTGCAAGCACTCATAATTCTACGCGAAGCCGCTGCCCTGGCTAATCCACTGACTCGCGGCCAGATATGGTGGAAGTCTTATTCTCGTGCCCAGTCGTTGATACTGAAACATTCAACTCTCCTCTTTAATAGGCCACTTTTTGATTTTATTTGATCTTTCACACTTATAAGAGTCATTGATATACAAACTTCAGGTACAGATACCTCGAATGAATTTCTAAGAGGTGCTATTTCGAAATCACTTTTCTTGTTCACAAGTTACCAGCATCACCTTGGTATGGAAGATCGTACAAGTGATGATCTTTAGAGGTTCTACTGAGTCAACTCCTTAAGCTTACCAAATTTTCACAGAATCCTCTGAACTCAGCTGTTGAAAGTAGAGCTGGTACTAGGACTAAATAATTTGAGATCATGGTTTTCGGAACTGGATACAGTATTCTTCACTGAAAATGGAATTCAGCCCAGATGGTCGCCTGTCGACCTCCGCTTGTATAACGTGGATACGATGACATTGCCGTCTGGTGGGAGATTTGCTCATGCCTAAATCTTGATACAAGCGCAAGCAAGGCAGACCATAGAGAGCCAAACAAGATAGTCCCATTGCCGGATCGCACTGCAATGTAGCTGTGCTGTACTTGAGTCGCGGATCTATAGCATCTACATTAGTAATTTGCGTCTAGAATGAATCTTTTGCCAATGATTTCGTTTTTCATTTTCAGGATCCCAAGTTTCCATGTATTTTGAGATTAGATATCACAATTGCTATCTTTTCCTTGGTCGTCCACCTACAGACTTATTGGAATGTGATAGTACCCGAATTCTGAAGTTGACGTGTGACGCCACACTTTACATTTCGCACATGTGGCTGAGAATTTATTCACACCGCCAACTCCTATCTTCATTTCGAATAATTGATTCTTGTAGTCCGAACGAAAATGCGTCTTATAAACACATCATCACTGTGCCTCGAAGAATTCTACGATGGCCAGATTCCAGCATATGCAATTCTTTCACACCGATGGGGCAAGAAAGAGGTAACATTTCATGACATGCAAGCTGGTGATTGCATGAATGTAGAAGGGTTCGCCAAAATTCAAGGATGTTGTAAGCAGGCCGGACTAGACGGTTGGATGTATGTTTGGATTGATACTTGTTGTATTGATAAAGCGAGTAGTACAGAGCTTTCAGAAGCTATCAATTCCATGTTTCAATGGTATCAGAAAGCAGAAATTTGCTACGCCTATTTGGGCGATATTGAAAATCGTCCCGATTCTTCAAAACCGGCAGAACTAAAATCCAGTGATTGGTTCACAAGAGGGTGGACACTGCAAGAACTACTTGCTCCAAAAAAGTTAGCTTTCTTCGACCGAAACTGGGATCTGATTGGGAGAAAGGAGGACCTCCAAGGTGAACTTCGAGAAATTACCGGAATCTTGGACATGAATAACAGGAGAAACGCTTCGATTGCCCAAAAGATGTCTTGGGCTTCTCGAAGATCAACAACAAGAGTTGAAGATCAGGCTTATAGTCTCCTGGGTTTATTCGACGTCAACATGGCTTCGTTATATGGAGAAGGCAAGAGAGCATTTATGAGACTTCAACTTGAGATATGGCTGTGTCTGATGATGAATCAATATTCGCATGGAGAGATCCAAGTGAGTTGGGAGGGGGGCTACTAGCTCATTCTCTAGAAGCGTTTCACGACTCCGCCGAGATTGTCTCTAAAGCATTTGATACCATACAAAAATGGAATCCAAACTCAACGAGAAGACCATACCTCATGACTAATAAGGGATTGCAATTAGAGTCACCACTTGCAACGCCTTTCACAGATTGCTCTTGTGGTTATGTCAGGCATCTCGCGCACGAATCTTCCGCCTACCCATCAGACACCAAGCTTGCTCCTCTACAATGTTGCTATGAAGGAAATACTAATTCGGGTAATCCATACGTATTGGCGGTGTACCTCATTCGCAATCGTGGTAATGAATTTTCGAAAATTGACCCCGAGTCCATCGAAATGATTGACATTCGTCAACTCGACAGAAGTCCACTTTCGCACTTGGAAACTGGAACAAGTCCCTGCCTAGACAAGTTTTCAGCATCGAGGATACAGGAATATATGGAAAGTATTTTTGTCAGGCAGCATCAAGCTATCAATAAGGTTCTCGACCCTTATGATATTTGGATAGAGACCAAGGCGTTGGCAGAATTAGGCTTTACCATGACAACTGAATGGCTTTCCAATACTCGACAGACGAAATTAGTAAAATTTGAGGATGGAATACGAGTGCGAACCAGTCAATTACAGTCAAATGGTATGACAACCATAATAACCTTCACCCATCGTACTAGTATGGAAAGAGGCTACTTGGGAATCTATGCGTTTGTTTTCAATATTACGATTACTTCACACGGGCCTCTCGTTAGTTTGATGGAAGTACCAGTGCATCAAAAACAAAGAATACTTGAGTATGAGCAAGAGAGTTTCATTGATAGGAGAGCACTACATGCAAAATCTCTGCTCAGACAACATTATGCTGGGGATTTGGTTGCCCTAGTACTGACTAAGGTTGAAGACATTCCTCCTTGGCTGAATTATCGAGTCCACTTCGAATTCAAGAGAAAGTCTTTACAGACTCATGGTAGTAATGGATACAGCCTCAAAGAAGTCTTGAGTGGGTTCTGGGCAGCATTTTAATACAAAAATAACTAACAAGTCATCGTGCCAAATCCTGGAATGAACCTAAATCACGTCCGATACTTATCGGCTATTCCACGAGACAAGCTTGCTCCTTGGCCAAATATTTATAGCCGACGAAGAATTGCGCATAAATGTGTCTTGAACCAGATGAGAATCCAAGAACCTAGACCGTGCAACTATTCAACTCTGTCTAAAGATCGGGAAACTCAACGTATCTCTGAGATATATGTGCATTACCCGCACTCTATCACCTGGCAATTCTACTTCGCAAGTGATTATAAACCCATTTCGAGGCCCTAGAATCTAGATATACAAGTCTTCATCAAATGGGTAATTCCAAGACGCTAAAAATTTCGAATTTGACTTTGCGGGTATCAGGTTGTACTTTCGACTGGAACTGATGCAATTTCATTCGTCTCTTCCATCCGCGAGAACTTTGCTTGTAATTACTTTACTGAATCTCAGTGGTCTGAGTATATTACTTCGGCGGGGCAGCATTCTCTGGGTGATTTGACGCAATATTTATTTCGCCCACCAGACCTCCCACCGGGAATACTCTTGCCTACATCATATACAAAAAGATCTGCACGCAATAATGCGAGGTAGATCATAGTGATTGAGGTGGCAACATAACCATCTATCCCCTGCGTATGCCCTGCATTTACCCCGCCATACATTACTAACTCCATTGCCCTCGACGGGCTCAGAATTTAATGAATTGTTGTAGAGCCGACCCAATGATAAAGGGGAGAGAATTCCACCGAGATGAATGCCCCGATCGGTAAGGTAGCAGTGAGATTGATCTCAAATGAAGCCTGAACTGGATGCTCACACATTTTAAATTCCAAAGGCTGCGTAAACCCCTTGTAAGGCAGACTGATCCGCCTGTCGCCTGACAGTAACGTGGTGTAAGAAACTGCCCATGTGGGATGTCTCCAATTGAGAGTTGCTGCCAAGATAGAAGCCTATAGCGCGACTGAAACCCTACCAGCCGGCGTGGATAGATAGAAGAAATTTACACGTTCGTAGAGAGGAATTAATAGGATAGCACGTAACAATAACAAAGTTGCAAGCTTCACAAACAGTTTCTTGTATCGATAGATACACAGCAAGCTTCATTTTGCATCGGGTGATGTTTTCTGGTATTGATAAGGATCTGATACCTGAATTATACATGGCTCTCACTAAGAAATTCCATGTTCACGAGGAAGGGATAATATGAAGAGGCCAGAAGGCTGTTTTAATATCCTGTTGATATTGGAATTATTCGGTTGGTTTGCAGGCTAATATTTGATTGGATAAAAGTTTTACTCAAAACTGAATCCCGTCATTCAAATGGGTTGATTTAGTCCTTAACTTGTCATCTTTGAGAATATATTTCTATCAAAATCAAAGAACTTATGGATTGTCAGTCTTCCTTTACTTGACAAAAAGATTTAACTTATCTGGTTCATACTTCTAAATTCCTCACTCGGACCATCATTCGGAACAACAGTTTCCCCGAACTCCACCATGGACTACTTTCACCGCTTTACCTCTGGTTCAAAAGGTCAAGCTCAAGCTTCAACCTCTCAATCTCCCTCCGATTCCACCAATTCTGTACCTCAGTCAAAAATGGAGAATCATCGACAGCAAGAGGAATCTGCTGCTTCTGCAGTATCTTCTCCATCTGAATCCAAAAAGCCAAGAAAGAAGAAGGTTCTGCTGATGGGAAAATCGGGTTCGGGAAAGAGTTCTATGAGAAGCATTATCTTTTCGAACTATGTCGCAAAAGATACAAGACGATTGGGAGCAACAATTGATGTCGATCTTAGCCATGTCAAGTTTCTAGGAAATTTAACACTCAATCTATGGGATTGTGGAGGGTGAGTTCTTGTTTTATAGTTTTTTCAAGCTTTCCATAAACATGGGGTGCGGGGTAGTCATCGCAAGTTATATTCGAGTTTTGGCAGGCTTTACAAGATAACGAATTGGTCTCTCATACTGCTCGCAGATCAATGTTGGATGTTTTATATCATTGCAGTCTGCGTTGCTGTGTTTTTAATTTCAGACTTTTGACCACGGCTAACAAGAATCTAGTCAGGATGCGTTCATGGAAAACTATTTATCTCAACAACGTCAACATGTATTCTCGAGTGTCGGCGTCCTCATTTACGTTTTCGATATCGAATCTCGGGATTTCGATCGTGATCTCTTAACATATCGCTCGATCATTACTGCACTCACTCAATTCTCACCAACCGCAAGTATCTACGTCCTAATTCATAAGATGGATCTTGTCCTTCCGAACCAACGTGAGGATATCTTCCATGAGAGAATCTCACTCGTCCGATCTAAATCAGAATCATTCAATATCGTACCATTCGCAACATCTATCTGGGATCAATCGCTTTACAAGGCATGGGCGGAAATCATCCACGATCTAGTTCCTAATCTAGGAGAAATCGAAAGACATCTCTCTTCACTTGGTAGTATCATTGAAGCTGAAGAGGTTCTTCTATTTGAGCGCTCGTCTTTCCTTGTTGTCTCAAGCTGGACATCCCCAGAGGGAGAAGCGAATCCTACCACTGATCGATTCGAGCGTCTTTCGAATATCATCAAAAACTTCAAACAAAGCACCTCTCGTTATACTGGTACACCCAAATCCGCCGAGCAGTTCAGTTTATTTGAATTGAAGATGCCAAACTTCAGTATGTTTGCCGTTAAATTTACGACCAATACATACCTTGCGGCCATCCTTCCACCGGGAGAGGAGCGCTTCAATTGTGCTTTGGAGAATGCGAAGATAGCTGCGAGGGATTTCGAAGAACTTGACAGTCCGGCGAGAAAGAGTGCTGATAGAGGCGCAACAGGTACTGAGGCTGGAATTGTTTAGATGGACATGAAGATCAATCGATAGATAGATACTACTTTCAGATATGACGATATGATATGACACAATGCAAATGGGATCTGGCATGGCGTTGGATTTGGGAATACCCTTGGCTTTTCATGTATAATAAGATGGCAGGGAAGGAGCATCGGCGAGGCTAAATTAAATAGTTGCTAATAAGGTTTACTCAGGCGTCTAATGCCCGTGTTACTGTGACTAAATAGATATGCCACGTTTGTGTGACGGTGCCACATCTCGGAACATACACACTTCCACAGACACATGCACACGTGCGGTGATAATTCGAGGCTAGTCACAAGTGTGATGATTTTAGACGAAATGGTATTCGAACTGATGTAAAAACAAGGAAATCGACAAAGAGGATCAATCTCCATAATTTGAGGAGATGTCATGGTTCTGATGCTCCTTCACAGCTTCTAAGTTCCAATACTCACGCAAAGGAGTCCAAGTCTACACCGAGACCACATAGGGTAGTATCTATAGCACATGTCAGTACCTAATCGCGCACATCTCAAATTGGAGATAGCAGGAATGAAAAAGAGATCAAGATATACATACCAAGACTGTACTGCTTAGCAACCGCTTTTGTCCAACCCCCCATAAAATTAGTCACTGTATTTACACCCTCTTTATAATCCTCTTGCACAGCCCACAAAGGCAAATCACTTCCAATGTCTGTACTCCTACTGGCGAAAATACCGCTCCATTGGTTACCATTTGCATAGATTCCCCATTTCAATCCTGTGGCTTTCATTGCTGCAACCCATTGCTTGGCGAGCTTTTCATTGGCTGCCGCACCAAGATTCCAGGCATTGCAGGGGGAGTTCGAGACGGATGTGGGCTCGATATCGAGCCAGAGAGTGTGGATGTCCATATTGTTATCGGAAATCACTTTGAGGTATTCGGCCATCTGGGTGTCAACGCTCTTACAGTTGGGCTCGGAGCCAGTGGGTGTACCGGTGCACGGGAAGAGGTAGGAGTCGATGCGGGTGAAACCAGCGGCTTTGGCGTTCTTATAGGAGGCCACGAAGTTCTTGTCTACTTGGCCGCCGGTTCCGCAAGCTTGCTGATATCCCCGAATGGCCACTACGTCTTTGGTTTTCTTGGCGCACTCGAAGAATGCTGAGGTGCCAAGTTGAGATATATCGAGACCTAGAGAGCCAGCACCGGTAGATGGTGGAGTAGTACCACCGCCACTTTTGATGCAGCACTAATGCTGTTAATTTAGGGGATTTCAGAGATCTGAAAGAGGCGTACTTGAATATCAGCCGGCCCGGGACAAAGACCGCTGCTAAAAGAACCACCAGAACAGGCGACAGATGTTGCTTGACATACACCCTTTCCGCTGGAACATGTTGCTACGCAGCATTGATTGTCGACACCTCCTGGACAAGCACCAGCAATGTACTTTCCACCTGAGCAGGAGCTAGAAGTGCTCTGACAGAAGCCAGGCCCACTAGATGTCGAACAAGCAGCTGATGCTCGAGGAACAAGAGGGTTGCTCGAAGCGACAGCAATGATACCTGCGAAGGCGAAAAAAATCTTGGAAAAAGACATAGTTGAAGACTCTGAACTATTGAATGGAAATGAAATGGAATGAATGATGGGCATACAATAAGATACTAAATAGAAAGATGAGAATAGGGTATATGACGATGTAACATTCATGTGTTTTTATATCTTCACTTAACACTCGACGATCAGCCGCATATTGGGTAAGATCGTCACCTTCATTTCCACATTCTTCAGCCTTGCATAACCTTATCGTCATTATGTGCTATGCTTCTTTCTTGAGTGACGGTGGTAGAATTCTGCAGCCTGGTTAGGATTCCAGAATCCTTCCGCTATATTTCGTATTCAACGGCAGAACAGTTCTTAGTGTGTCCGTTCGGAATCCTTAATCTCCCCAAAACGCGGGGCGGGAACATGGGTAAGTAATCTTGTGTTACATTCAGCCGCTTCCATCACTTGAGTGGAATTTTGGAGACCTTGATTTGGTGTGCGAAGCTAGCGATGATTGTACTGCGAATTTTGTGAAAAAATACGTATTCTGTGAAAAGTTGGACGATAAATCTCTATAGCCATTTGCAGCAGAAGAAGGATTGAATGGGTTTCGAGGAAAGTAGTAAGCGGGTAGGTAGTATGTAACCTTGAGCGATGTGTCGCTTATGTGATTTGAATTTTGGTTGGATGCATGCTGTACCACCTCAACATCTCCTACTAGAATTACTAATGAGATTGTCACCGTTACGATTTCGATCTATTTTGATATTAGAAACCCCCGAACCTTGTTTCTATGACCATTGATGTTATGACACCTTACCATTGATCGGCAGTGCGCGAAGGGGCTTTTATTGCAGAGCGTCAACAGGATCCTTTGGTTGCACAGCTGAGATAGAGCCACTTTTGGCTTATCCATTGATGTATATCCATTCCTGATTCATGCCGTTGACATCACAGACAGATCACCAGAACTAGATTCTGCTCAGCATGCTTCGGAAGCCTGAGATAAATCACGTTGTATGAATGTGATGAAGCTTTTCTTTATGCACTAAATGCCATTGGAATACAAAAAACAAAGTCGCTCAATCGAATCAGACTATTAATGCCAACAACCCCTTATGAAATGTCCCGATCGTCTCCGTGGAAAAATCTCAAGATTGCGCCGGCAACAACCAGTCCATCGTGCCTTAAGTGTGCAGTATCTTTCGCCTTCTCTGCAACATCCTTATCCTTGATTCCGCCACTCTCAACGCGCATTTCAATCTCGAGATGCACCATATCTTCGTCAAAACCAAGATGTCCCTGGCTGGTGAACAGCCTCTCCCTTAAATACAGACCTTGAATCTTTGTATGTTCTGTACTGGCCCAATTCTCGACGTTATCATCTTCAGAGAGCAAATCAGTTGTCGACGCTGATGGTACAATAGTCACTTGATCTTGATGCATTTGGTGTAGGCTAAGCTTCTTGTCTTTCGTTTGGAATAATTTCTGGCCCACAGAAGTCAAATCCATATCCGTATGTGACAATTCCCATCTTCCAGACGGCTCTGGCTCCACTTTTGCCCCTAAAGCCCGCGATAATATCTGGTGACCGAAACAAACACCACTGAACTTCATGTCCTTTCGTTCAATCCAAAGACCTCGCAAAAATTGCAGCAATTGTTGAATCCATGGATCATCTCCATGCGCGTCGTACATGCTTCCCGTAATTAATATGGCGTTCATCGATGGATCGACATCGGAGACTTGAGGAACGTGCCCATGATGACCGTTTTCAGGATCATCGACAACATAGTGCACCTCTGTCTCTATTTTCAAGGGTGGATCGTGTTCTTTTCCAGCATCTTGAAATAGAGCGTTCAAGATATCACTATATCCACCCTTTTCGTCTCTAATATCAGGATGTGGCGAATCTGTCTCAAGAACCAGCATTCGAACGGGATCTTCTGATTCCCGAGTTGCCATTATCATAAATTCCTTCAATTCAGTCGAACTTTCTGCTGTGATAGAATCACTCGAATTGAAGAGGACTGTTGCTGTCTTGCTGCTGAATGATAGATTTTCCTCTTCGATCTTTACTGCGAGCAAAATATTCAGGGCGAGCATTCGTGCTGTTATGTACCTGTGATATGTCTCATAGGCAAGACAATTCAAGCCATCATGGACAATGACGAGGCTCTCCATACAGATTAGGCTCGGCTCATAGCCAGTGCCGAGCAATGGCGCCATCATAAAGGGCCACATTTCCCGTCATTTAGTACTCGGCAGAGGCTCTTCATACCAATTTTATCAAGTTAGAAGAGAACGTTTGTCCCCGCACAAGGCTACAAAAATTTCTATGACCTTGTGCCAACTCTGGAAGCCAATGCGCCAGACCTTTTAGCTTGTCAGTGACGTCGATCGATCGATCTTCTTCAGCCATCTAGGCTAGAACAGGATATCAGTATTCGAACCTAGAAAATCAGAACCATTTTCTTTGAACCTTTATAGGCACGCTAGTGAAGCACTGGCCAAACTTTAAGTGTTCAGAAATTCAAAACGTCTCACTTGGTTGAATGATATAGATTTTCGACCGATCGAGAAGCCGGAAAAGTTGGTCCACGCTATGGGGCTCAATGACTAACGAAATAGTTCTGGGGGTGGAGAATGAGGGCACCTTTTAATTCCAGCACTTCACGTGCAGTTCAAGCACCAAAACCATTTCGTAGTGGTTGATTTCCGGAAATGTCTCGAGGATCTGCAGCTAAGCCAGCTTGTGGGTCTCGAGTCGGGATATCCAATTTCGACATGGCAAATTTCCCCACCGAATCAATCGTGAAAAGAATCATCCGCTGGTGTGTCAATCGAAACTTTCCTCGGGGCTGGCATCAGAAAACGCTTCAAAAGTTCCGCACAAAAAGTGACGATCAATTACCTGCTCGGCTGGTAAGCCATGCTTTCTCCCATAGCATGTCCATCTCTTCCTACCTTTACATATATCAGTATACCACATTGTATATCTGAAGTACAGTCTCCTTTGTCAGTGTGTAGGCATCGTGCTTATCTTAATAAGCTGAATCTTAGGTCTAGGCGGACACTATGTCATTCACGTGAATGATTCCACGAATCGGGGTAGACAAACTCCCCAGGAACTGAATGTACAAGGATCTCATGCACGGCGGCTCCGATAACGTTGTACAATTATGTACCCAGTACATACTTCGTACTGCTAAATCGCCTTGTGGCCACACTCTTCGTATTTCACGGTACGGTGCAATTCTGATTTTGGCTGGCAATTTGGAGAAAACCTGAACACCAAATTACTTTCGAAGGCCATTGAATGTCAAATCTGAAACAGAATTCTGAGAAGCCTCGTTAATCTTCGGATTTTCAAGGATTGATTGATTTTTTAAAATTTTAAATTGGAATACTAAAGCTTTCAGACGTCAAAAATGGGAATTCGTCTTTATCCCGCGGCCTGGATGACCCACCAGTTCCTTCAGCGCTGAACATATTCCGATAAGGGTAAGGATCAGCTATATACTCGGTTGTGACGGACATAAGAGCCATTTGTCATGTTACATTTGAACACACAGCCCTGCCAGAATCTTGGAGTTCTACAGCTGCATTAGTAGCCATCTCGAGATCTTCTTCTAACATACCATCCGGAAAATGTTCTTAGTTATAACACCTTCCCCACAGCCAAAAAGAGATCTCAGTACAGGAGAAGAAACATCAATACCACTACGAAAGCGAAGAGGATTGCCAAAAGTTCACTCGGGTTGCAAAACATGCAAGTCTGCCTCCCTGACAAGCCTTCATTGATTTCTCCCTGTGGCTAACAAGCACTAGAACTCGACGCATTAAATGCGATGAAGGAAAGCCAGAATGTAATCGCTGTAAAATATTCTACAAAGGCACTTCTCAAAATTGTAGTTATTTAACACGTGAAATTCCGAAATCTAAAATCGCGACCAGGAGAATAATCCTACCGAAGAAAGTCGCGAATAATTTTGGGCAATCACTTCTCAGTCATGGTCCCATAAAGAGCATTTCTGATATCAAATTCGAAAGTCCAAGACACTTTCAATATTTCCGGTTCTTCTGTAGTGATGTTACGACCCAAGTCTTTGGGGGATTTTATTCTGAACTATGGAGTAGTGTTATCCTTCAAGCATGTCATCAGGAACCATGTATTCTCCAGGCTGTTTGTGCAATTGGGGCTCTCAGTAGGGTCATGAAAGCACGCAAGGAGGGCCAGCTTACGATGATGAATGATGATTATAGATTTGCCATACAGGAATATGGTAGAGCTCTTGGTGGAATCAAAAAGCTCAGACCTATCCGAATGACTTTACTTGCCACATTACTTATATTCTCCTTTGAGAACTTTCACGGAAATCAAATGGCCGCGATAACTCAAATTCAAAGCGCTGCAAGTTTACTTCAAGCATGGATGAAAGACCGCGAAAAGCGACAAATAGCGGATCGAACATTATCACCAGCCCCAAATGTCATTGAAGATGTCATTTTTGCCACGTTTCATAGCACGCATATTGGGTTGGTTTCTGCCATCGATCCCACGATAGAACAAGCACAAGATATTATACATGGAACTCAAATGTATATTCCCAGCCTGGTTCCCACGCGGTTTACAAGCATCGATGATGCGGGTGCAAATTTCACGGCAATTTGCAGGCAGGTCATCAGCTTTCTCATGAGCACAGTAACACTTATTCGAGGAGGAGAAGAGCCCACGGAAGAAGAAATATCAAATTCAGCAATATGGAATCATCGAATGCTCGATTGGTCTCCAGCAGCGGTTGAATTCAAGGAGATCTTAGACAAACTTGATCAATGGCACGTTGCTTTTGAGCCATTGGCTATGCGTTGCAGAGAAAAAGACGCCGACATTATGAGTATTCGTATGTTAAGAGCGCACTGGTTAACAACACGTAATAGCTTTCATTCGGCTTTCTTTCCACACAGTCCAGCTCAGTTCTATCAATCTAGCTTCGAAGAGGTCGTGGAAATTTGCAAAATAGTCGCTGCCCACCCAAGTTTCGAAAGGGGATTTGTATTTCATGCTGGGATTATACCATCACTCATGGCAGCGGCGATGTTTGGGGTTATTTCTACCCGGAAAAAGGCTATAGAAGTGCTGCTAGATATTGTACCTAGAAGAGAAGGTAATTGGGATGCTGCAACTTGTGCCAGAAATGCTATTGCTGCTATGAGGATGGAATTTGAGAAATCTAGACAGACTACTCGGGAAATCAATACGGTCGTTGAAGATGTGTAGAATACAATGTCAGGACATGCTAAGACATTAAGATTATTGGGTCCATCCTACTGCACCATGCCCAAAACGAGGATACATCCAGCATCAAGATGATAGGTATGTTGGCAGAATTGATAAGGCAGAGGATCTCTCTAGCGGAAGATGGCAAACATCCCGCGTCTTTGATTTTTGCATACCTTTTGATCAGCAGCACGTTGGGTCGATTGAAGCCGAGGGGATTTTAGGTTTATGCATACACTATCTGCTTGCGCAATGGAAACGGGCTTTTAGAGACTAAAGTTGTGGACACATTATTGCAGGCAATATGCAGCGAGTGTTTGTTTTTCAAGCAGCGAGTTCGAAGTACATCCACTGAACACCGCTTCGGCAGTTCACTTGCAAACAATTGGACACCAGTCATTGTTCAGCTGGATCAGCTTGCGAATATTAATTTATTATTCTTCTCATTCCTTTTCAATTCTTGAGATTTTTCTATCTATTTCCAATCCTTTTCTCACTATTTTACCGATTCTCTTACGATTATTCGAAATGGAATAGATATCTGATAGTATTAAAAAAGAATATCAGACCACCTTAGAATATTGAGATCTTTTTTGGGGGCTATTGATTTAGAATCTTTCCAATATATTACCATAGTTGCCTGATAGCTGAATCTATTTCTTTTGTTTGTTCTCTTGAATACAAATGATTAGGCAGGAGAGTCCCAATGCAATCAAAAACGAAAAAAAAAAGGTGATAAGTCACACAAGTTGACGCTGGTATCCGGGATGGCAACAAACGAAAAAAGCAAAACCAATGTACGCCAGCTTATGCCTACCTATACCAAGAATCTATCGGTTTCAGTCCGTGCGAGTACCCTGCCGTTGTTGCGGAAGAAATGTTCAATTGTGAATATCATAAGAAGAAAATCTGGAGAAGTCAATGTATTTGAAGTATCTTTGGGATAGAGAAGAATAGAGAACAATGATTATTATTATCTTCGATTAGTCGAATTGATTCGGAAATGGAGATTCTGCTGTAGAGAATAGATTGGAAACTTAGATCAATCAAAAATGTTTATTCCTCACTGCGTTATAACCTGTACAAAATAAGGGCTGGACATTGAATTATTTGAATCTATTCAGACTTTGAACAATAGACAACATCAGGCTTGCAGGACTTCTCGATTACTGAAACTTGATTCTCCCATTGCCGCTCTTTCCTCCCGCTTCTTTTGGCTGCTCAGAATTCACTTATTTAAAGTCCCAAATCTCGACCCATTTTCGTCCATCCTTCTTCCCCCCCACAAACTCAACAACCTTTCACAACCTCCATCAACTTCAACAATACTTTGATCAATCATCTATTTGCATCTATCGCATAGCATTCTTGAATACTGTGAGTATTCCTCCTATTCCTATTCCCGTTTTCTTGAATAGAAATGATCATGGTCTATCATTTACTGATACTGATTTGGATTTCTAGATCGTCGCCGTCGATATCGCACAAGGCGCACTCTCCATACCAACCACACGTAAAAACCAAACCCCCAACCAAGTAAGTTGTTATTCTCTTACTACAATAAATTTCTATACTCGAGCATTCCCATCCGCCAATACTCTTTTCTTGTCAATCTCGACAAGTACATTTTCCTCATAGTTGTTGCCAAGTGCGCTGTTTGAGTCTCTCGATCTTGTTCACCTTTACTTGAGCATAACCAGGATTCACTGTTGATCACGCACTATCGATAATTCTTATCTTCGTTGTCTTTTTGCTCTCTTCTCCTCTCCCACTTCCTCTTTCTTTTCTAATCATACTTTTCCACCTCTACTCTTGTGCCTTTGACGTGCCTCTGTTACCGCGACTTGCCAGTCTATTCGACTATCCAAACTCGAATACCCATACTGATCTATCTATCTGCAGACTTTCCAGTACCGCAATCATGCCCAACTGGAAATCATACGAAGCAACCGGTTTGTCCAAACGATCACGTTTCTTACATCTATACTCACACGATGATAGTCCGCCTTCTCAGCGCCATTGTGGCTGCACACCCAAATTTAAAGCTCGATTACGCTGGTTAGTGAACGATTCCATACAAAATTATTCCTCCTTCTCAGTTTTAGCCCTTCCCAAGCTCCATCGTTCTCCATCTTTTTTCCTTTGTCTTTGATCCCTGATTTTGCCAGCAATATCCAAGTACTACGGAGATGAGTCAAATTATCAACAAATTTGGCGTGGCATGAATGGCATAAAGCGAAATGCCGAGAGCCTCCGAAAAGCAGTCGATGCAGGTCTCAATGCCTCTACTGTCAATCTCGAGAATGATTTTAGTGTCAAGAAAGGTATCATTCATCGTGGAGCATGAGCTTATGTTCATTACCTTTTTCTTCAAGCATAATGAAAACCTCGCGGACCATTCTCCTTGTTTGGGTATTGATTTTCATATAGCAATCAGCGTTCGCTTTGGTGGAGATTGCACTGCCTCTGCACTTGACAACAGATTTAGGCGTTTGAAGTCTGATGCTAAATTGATCAATGCTGCCGTTGCCAAGGGAGAAGATCCTATTCTCATGAATGTGGGCGATACAAATGGAGAAATTGCCTGCAAAGGAAGAGGTGGGAATGAGTTGATATTTTTTTCCCTCGCTTTTCAACTTTCATACCACAAGAGCACAGATTTGTCCCTTTTTGCCTACACTAATGCTGTATTAGCGATTTCCGTACTTATGGGATCAGCAACTCCAGCTAGTCACATCCAATCGCAGCTTCGAGAAACCATCAAACCTCTTGGTGAACGCTTGATTGCCATGCGTAATGCCGGCGAGGACTGCAAAGATGTCGATTTGACAGACTTGGGTACTCGCCGATACAAGGCTGGTCAGGAAGTTCTGTCTATATTTTTCGGGACTACTCTTACATCTTCACACAGCATCCATCACATTTCTTTGCTTTTGAATTCCATTGATATCCCCTAGAGATTACTGCGAAGATGGGATCAGATGTCACTCCTATTAGTGTTAAAGCACAGTTCAGCCGAAGTTTCAGAGTTTTGGCTGCTCGTCAGAATGCTTTATGTGCTGTTAGCAAAGACCCCAAGGATGCCAGTTTGGACAAATTGGGTAGTCAACAGAAGTCTGGTGATATTTTCATTTTTTGAAAGAGCGCTGTTCATATTTTGCGGAACATTACCGTACCTTCTCAACACAACAATCACACTTTCTTTATATTTGTACGGAACTGATTTCAAGTCCAGAGGTTTCCAAGTATATGGGCTCGGATGTAACTCCCACAGCTATCAAGATGCAGTACAATGCAACCATCAGAGTTCTTTCCCGGCGTCAAATAGCTTTGTTTGATGCCGGTAAAGACCCTTTGGATGTCTCCTTGAACAACCCAAAAGGTGGTCAGACGTTCTGTCTATAATTTGCTTCTGACTTATATGATCATCTTTCACCAAATCAACTTTCTGATCTTCTTTCTGTTTGAGCACCACTGATATCACATCATTAGAGACTGCTAGGACCATGGAATCAGATACTACTGCTTCATCTCAAAAGAATCACTTTCGTCGTACTGTCAAAGTTCTTGGCAATCGTCAGATGTCGATGCTTGCAGCTGGTAAAGATTCTAAGGACGCTAGTCTTGATGGTCTAGGAGGTGGTTCAAAGCTTTATCTAAATTCTTTCTGCGTTATTTCCCAGAACTTCATCATAGCGCAGCACAACACACGCTTCCTTTCAACCGCGTTTGGCCAGCACTGATATTTCAATTATTAGAGATTGTTGCAATTATGGGGTCAGATGTTACCGTTGATGCTATTAAGCAACAGATTGGCAAGCGTATCAAGGTTCTTGGCAATCGCCAAACCAAGATGCGAGCAGCTGGTCAAGATCCTATAAATGTTGATCTGGAAGGTTTAATGCCTTCCAAGAAGGAAAAAGGTGGTCAGGAACTCTGTCTATCTTGTTGTTCTTTGCCTTTTTCTTCTGATTATATTAAACATTAGCTACCTAACTCGTTGCAATTATTGCTACATGATGCCCATGGCTGATCAATTGCAGAGATGGACAGACATATGGGGGACTGCACTGCTCCGGGTCTTCGATTTCAATTTGATACCCGTTACAAGGTCCTCGCCAAACGTCAAAAAGCCATGCTTGCTGCGGGCAAAAATCCTTCAACGGTTGATGTTGTCACCGTTGGCAAGACTGGTTAGAAGTTCTACCATGTTTTAATGACAGTCTTCGATCTATTTTATCTTATACCTCTGCACAAATGTCTGTTCTAAGCACATATTAACTTTGTCCCAGAAGTTCAAAAGTGTTTTGGTTCAGATGCTACTCCTGGTGGAATCAAATTCCAATTTGCAACCACCATCAAGAAGCACGTCGACAAGATTCGCAGTGTGAGAGCTGCTGGCAAAGACTGCAAGGATATCACATTCAATTCCAATGGTCTCTTGATTTACATATTCCATTGCGGCTCTTAGATACATGCACATTTCCTTAGCGTTCCTCACCCGTTTTGTTTTCGATATTAATGTTAGTCGACAGAAATGGCGAAGCATTTCGGTTCGGACACAGACGTCAGATCAATCCAATGGCAATTTCGCGGCATCAGAGCTGGTGCTAAGATCCAAAAAGATGCAGTGCTCAAAGGAAAAGATCCCAAGGACTTTGACGTAGCTGTGAATCCTGATTCTAGAAAACGCGGCAATCAGGGCGAGTGTTCTTTGAAAGCGATATTGTTTCGTTGATTTTTCCTCTAACCCGTACTCTGTTACACAATAACATGAAGAACACATCATTAATCTCTCCAATTATCTAGAAACTAGTAATATGTTCGGCAAGGACTCTACAAAAGGCGGAATTGAATTTCAATTCCGAGCTTTCAAAGCCAATGCTCGTCGCCAGCGCGAAGCTTTCGAGGCTGGAATTGATCCACAGACCCTCAATATTGGTGCTAGCAAATGCGAGAATTTCCCCCTTGTTTCATTCCCAATTTCATTTCGTCACTAGCACATACCTCTTTTTAGTTTTGAGAAACTCAGGTCAGATATTAATGTACATCATAGCAATGGCAAAGTGGTTGGATGATGGCACCACCACATCTTCTCTGGAGCATCGATTTCGGCCCATCAAAGCTGCTGCTAAGAATGGTTCTTGCTATTCCTCACCCCAATCTACCTCATGTTGATTTTACACACCTGCGCCTTCATATTTCATTTTGTCATCTTCGATTCATCACTACCACTCATCCCCTGAAGGAATATCACACTAACATCTTTCAGCCACCGCCGAGAAATTTGGTGATGGTGCTACAGGTAAGGCTATATCCACTCGCTTCGAAAGGTATGTATTCGCTCTACTCCTTCTCCTTCTTCATACAAGACACAAGAACTAACATAACCAACAGAATGCGCAAAGAACCCGCTTGGAATCTCCACTCTCCACCCGGTACTAATGATTCCCTAGGTACACCCAAGAAGGCTCGTGCTCAGCGCACACCCAAGAAATCCGCCAAGAAGGCCGCTGCATCCAGCAACGAGGAGGGCGACGACGAGAGTGACCTAGAAATGGGCACCCCATCCAAGAAGGGATCTCCAGTCAAGAAGGAAACAATCAACAAAGTCAAGGGCGGTCGCGTCGAAAAGAAGCCGGCAACTCCCAGCCGTGCTGCCAAGACCGGTATCAAGAGCTACGTTGATTCCGATGACGAGGGAGACGATGACCTCATCATCAAAGATGAGGATATTGGTGCTTATGATTTTGGTCGCGCTGCAGATGGTGATGAGGATATGCTTGGTGGCGGTGGATTTGGGGGTGGATTCGGGGGAGGCAATGGTCATGTTTATGATCACGGAAACGGGAACGGTCATGGCCATGGTCATGGAAACGGAGGTGATGATGGTGAGGAGGAAGACGTTTTCTACGACGATGAGTCTTAGATTTTCGGAATTTGGGATGGACGATATGCTTGGGATGAAGTATCAAATGGCGCGATAACGACACAGCGATCACAAGTTCGCATGGCGACATTCAGGATCCTGGGTGCTCTACTTTCGTCGCTAAGATACCACAATTCTCTTCATTATCTCCTCTACGCCAATCTTCGACATCTTCGTTTCCTCGCCTTTTGTTCACGCAAACACTTTCTGATTGCAATTGGGAAGAAGGATTTCATCTTATCCGACTCTCGACTTTCGACTTTCGACTTTCAATTTACAATTTTTTTCCTTCACACTCCATCCACTTCATCGACTTGCTTTCGATTTTCCTTCCTCGCCTCGCCTAATTCGCTGTTACACTTACATATTCGTTCACAGCAGAAATTTGCCTCTCTCTATCTCAGCACGTCGAGATTTCGCTTTCGCTTTCTCTCGCTCACAACAACAACAGCAACAAATGATGAACCCTCTCTCTCAAGAGGAAAATCAAATGTCGTTAGCATACTTGAGATCGCGAATCCTCGCTATATCCAGCGTTTTTTAACTCTGCTTGATTTCTTTCTCGCGCGGGGGATGCAATGCAATACTTTGCGATACGATACTTTGCGATACGATTGGCTACGATAGGATAGGATAGGATGGACACAACAACCTGCAAGTTCTCACGCACTTCGATTTTCTTTTCATTTCTTTTCCTTGGTCCGTGTCAGATAATTCATAGTTCATATTTTTTCCTTGCTTGCTTCATTCATCTATTCATTTCGGTCTGGATAATGAGTTAGTCAGTCAGTCAGTTCACTAACCAGGCAAATACTCATCCACTTCAGAATGATGGTGATGATGGTGATGGTTTATTTCAATTTCTCAAATTTTCAAGGAAGGATATCGTGGGTTGATTCATTGGTTCACTCTATGCATCCAATATTTTCACGATATCAGATTTTCAGGAAAGATGGATAGCTAGCTAGCGCGTCAACAGCAGACAAACACAGACACATATCTACACGACCAATTGTTTCATTTCTTCAGGAACGGGAGTTATGAGGATTACTCAGGTAATCAAGGTTAATGATAGTACAGAATGAATAAAAGTATTGCGAGTTTTTATCACTTTGAAGTTCGAGATCTCAAGTATTGGTTGTGAGGTGTGGGATATGTGTTAATCGTGTGTGAATGTGCATGTGAGGTGTAAGTGAGAATTCTCTCTTCAAGAATATTTGGAAAAATAGAAGTAAATAGTTTGCAAACAAACTCCAAGTCAACGAAAATGAAGCGATAAAAAGACACTGGGAAGTTCCGAGAAAGATCAGGACACTTTCAAATGTTCTGAATTCATGTAATCAAGAAATCAAAATATATCAATCTTATCATTCTCCTATACGCCCAACACCTATAACTAATCCCTCCCACCAATCATGCATCCGACTAATCATTCAAATCCACAAGATGCATCCAAAACCAAAGCAGCCATTGCATTCAATATTCATCCTGATCCGATTTCCCATCTCAAGCTACCATCCCTTCTAATTCAAAAGAACATCCCACAATCCCTCTCCCTCCACGTAAGCATGATGAATAACATTAACCAACCAAACGTCCTCCTTAATCCCATCAATAATCTTCCTTGTCTCACTATCCTTTCCATAAACTCTTGCCCACTCTCCCCAAATGCCAAACGCTTCTTCCGCCCATGCCTTAAAACTAACCTCCTCAATAATCGTTGGCGTAATGATTTCTTTCCCAGGGAATGCACCCCATGTAACTGCATTTGTACTTCCGACTGCTTCATCACTGGATATGAAATCTCCTTTAGAATTTGAGGCGTAGAAAGAGACTGTGTCTCGGAGTTCAGGAGATGTGAGTTTAGCATGTAAGGTTTTCCAATCAGCTGTTGGAAGGAAGAGTTCTACGAATGCCTTTTGGAATACGAATCCATTCTTAGGTCCCCATCCAAAAATTGAGTCTGAGGATTTGAGTCCGTTGACTGCAGGTTGGGAGGCTACTGTCCACCAACCCTTCTTATTGAGACTGAGGAGTTGCTTTTTGATAGAATTAGTTTCTTCATTGAGGCCTTCCTCACTCCAAGGAATGGCGGTGAGTTGACCTTCTAGATGACGAATGAAGATGTCTGTGATGTCAGCTCTGGAACTTGGATGACCCCAAAGTTTGATAGCTTGATTAATAGACATGTGAAGTGAAACACCGTATCCATCAATCTCTCCATAGGCAGGCGAACGAGCATCACCCCAACGGCCGTTAGGAAAGTCATCCCATGTAGCCTCTCGACCGAGACTACCTTCTCCTTCACTAATTGCAAGAGTATTGGCTCGCGAGTTGACAGCTTCAGCTGGAATACCGGCTTCTTGTGCTGTGGCTTCAAAGCTAGGATTAGAGGTTTGAGGTGCAGTGATTATAATGCGATTATAAGGATCAGAACCAACAGATGATCGACGTCTGGAGCTACGTTTGTGGGAACCACTATGGATAGACATTATATCTGCAATGTCGGGAATAGTAGGAACATATTCTGGCTCCAAAGCAGCGACTGTTTTGGCGTCTGGAATAAGCTCTGTTCGTTCCAAAATGAAAGACACTGCCTTCTCCAAATTGAGGGTGTAGAAATGGAAACCTCTAGGACCCGAGTACTTAGATTTTGTGCTCTTCAAATGTTCGACCATTTCGCTCAAAATATCAACTCCGACCTTCTTAACCATCTCATCATCTCCTCGAACCGCATCCAATCTTGTTATAATAGTTGAGGGTAGTTTCGCGTGGCTAAGTTTCGTAGTTCGCTTGATCATTTGATAGCTTTGAATTGGCATCATACCAGGTATGATAGGAATATCCTTAAATGCGCCACTTGGATGATCTCGTAGCTTTTGTTCAAATCCATCGTATGCGTCGACATCGAAGAATAATTGAGTCATGATGAAATCCGCGCCCGCTTGAACCTTCTCCACCAAATATGGCAGATCATGTTCAAGGCTCTGACCCTCTGGATGTCCTTCATCCGCATGTCCTTCTGGGTATGCCGCAACTCCAACACAAAAGTAATCGCCGTATTGTTTTCTAATATATCGTACCAAATCAATTGCCCACTCAAACTCCCAATCCATAGCGGGCGTATCGCCATTCTTCTCGTCAATGGCACGATATTCCTCACTCCTAGGGGGATCGCCTCTCAAAGCCAATATATTTCTGATTCCCAATGCCTTTGCATCTTCTAATGCTTGATCCACTAATGCTCGACTCATGTTTGTGCAAGTCAAATGTAGACACGTCGTGAGGCCCAAATCCCTTTGACATAACTCTGCGAGTTCTAAAGACTTGGTCGCAGTAGATCCACCCGCTCCCCATGTAACGGTGACAAATAAAGGCCTCAATGCTCGAGACATTCTATCAAGACGAGCACGTAGATTCGAAGAACCCATTGAGGTCTTTGGTGGAAAGAATTCGAGGGAGAAGTAATTGGTATCTGGGGGCAAAGCCGCGATCTTTTCTGTGATTTTCTCCATTTTGTTGTGAGTGCTATTACGCAGATGCTCTATGAAATGCGATTGTTCGAGTTTATCGTTGAATTGATGAGGTTATCTCTTGTTGTATGGTATTTTCGAAATTGTTCGTTGGTTTTATATCATGTAGGTATGGTAAGGCTGGTTGATTTGATGAATGGCGGGGCTACTATTTTTTCTTTCGGTGGGATGTGATGGGGGCGATCAAATGACACTAAATAATCACGAAATACGGCACCAAAACCTGATACAGTTGGTGATTTCGATGCAATGGAAGCCAACGAATAAGAGTAATCTTAAAACATTCTTGCAGGATGATTTTGACATATATCTTCATTCTAGATTTCATGCCAAATAATCTCGAATTTCACGTTACAGAGGACGTCATTTAGTTTATACATTTGCTTCAATATAATTATTGTGTCGTCGTAAATATGTACTATGCAAGACATGCAGCTTACAGGTTGCTGATAAGCCGTGATTGTTGTTGATCAAAGCATTCCTCAAAGAATTCTACGAGGTTATACAAAGATGGTGGTACCTTTCCTTATATCATATTGAGCCGTGCTCGATGTTTTTGTTATTGAGGATTCGAGAATGATTATCAAAGAAAGTGTCACAAGCATTCTGTCAGGCTAGTCACCATGTCTTCTTATATAACTCCATACTGCATCAAAGTGCTAGCAACTTGTAGCAGCAGACTTGCGTAATTATTCTATCTATCTTTAAAGGTCTGAAGTACTGTACAATTGTCATCCGGATCCTACCGTACTTTGCAGCCTTTTGCAGATGGACCTATCACCATATCTTAACTCTACCTAGTTCCCTTAACTAATCTTGTTCCCTTAATCCATTGACACCCAAAGAGATGTCTTTGTGAATCCATTCCCAACTCCTGTTTTCCAAGCACTCCTTTTAATCCATACCTCCCTATTACTTACGAGCAGCAACTTGCAAGTCCCCCAAAACTCTCTCTACAATATCCCTCTTCCGAACATAATCCATGTTGAAATATTGCATCCAAACTTTGCGGCAAGACCATGTTTGGAAAAATGAATTTGTTACCCAAGTTGGATAAATAACAGATGGCAGTGGTGGCGGGCGATTAGGATCAGGGGGGATAATTGCAGTCGAAGTATAACCCCAGTATTCATAAGTGGTATATCTAGTCTTGCGTGCATTGCGGCTGACGGTTTTGATCTTTCCCGACAAGGTGAAATCATCTGGTGGAGGAACGCACTCGGGTCTCGGAAGGGTGATGTACGGATCTTCTTTTCTTTTGGCCAGCCAACGGCCAGCTGGTAGGTCTTCAGGCTCTGGAAGTTGTTTGGTTGGTGCGTAGATAACTTCGTTTTCGGTTGGAGATTTTGGAGATAAATCTCCTAAATTCGAAGCACGTGTCATGGTCATAAGAGTTGTCGATTTTTTGACGCTATCAGCTTGTGGTGTAATCTGCGCCTGGGGATGGTCGCTAGTCTGTGATGCAGTCTCAGTCGGGTTTTGGAGACCACTACCACACTCTTTTACAGTCGGCTGTCCGAAAATATCACGAATGGGTGATGCAGCAACTCCGCGGTTTGAAATTATTGCTGCGGAGGTAGGAGTCGCAAGTGCCAATGGACCTTTTGGACAAGAATCTTTGATGCATCGGTAGGTGCCTTCGCGGGTTGTAGATGCATTTTTAAGGACAGGGATTGACACAACAAATTCATGACCTTCATCATTGAAGGTGGCCATCAATCGACGAATAGCAACTTCTTCATTGGTGCAGCGTTGCATAAGGGCCCAATCTTCTCCAGTATTCATAGTATTGACACTCCCACACTGCAAAACGATCTCTTGTTCATTGATTCTTACCCAATCGGCCTCGTTATATTGGTCGAGATCATGTACTGGTACGAGTTTGAGGTCCTTAGGGTCGATATCATGTGACTCTTGTCTACCAAGTTGAAAGTTTGTTGTGGCGTCATCATTAATGCCGATTCTTCCATGAAGATTGCTCAAAAGGTGAGTTATGGTTTGATAATGACCAAAAAGGATTTGATTCTCTTCGGAAAATTCGACCGAAGCTTGATTGGAAGATAATGAATCATGGGAAGCAACTGCCTGACTTGGCCCAACGAGGACTGCAAGGCTAGTCGCGCTTATGAGGGTTGATAACAACATCTCAGAGTTTGACTGTCTGTTGTGTGTGCGTGACAGTTTGTCTATGAAAAGAATGAAGAGTTAAGCATATACGTAGACAAGACTTTATATATGTATATTTTGCTTTGAAAAAAAAAAAGGGATCAGCCACTTATCATAACGTCACCGTCCTTAAAGTTTGGCCATACTGCCAGTGAACTATCTACTATTGAAACTTAGATGTATGTACCTTCATAATTAGTAGATTGGTCACGAGATCAATCTTGTTATTCTCCTATCAAAACTCTTATAGTAGGATACTAGCATGGAACGATCTTGCTTGGAATAACAGCATTCATCGGACTATCAAGTAGATAACTCTTAAAAGTCTTTGGAAAGCTAAAGAATGGTGGAAAAGAAAAGGAATAGAGAAGTGATGGCCAACTATAAGACTTTAGCTCAACGTTTGACGTGACTCCAGAGCTCTCTAGTTCTTTCCTAGCAAAGTCTCGGCGCAAAAGAGGCAAAGTGATCATCACTTGATGATTCTGTCATATTTGTCCACCAAGAAAACCACTGAAGAATCTAGACTGTCAAATTAGCAAAGAAGTATCACAGAATCGGAGTTTCATCTAGTTTTACGTGATGCTCAATATCGTTTGTACTTATGATGAAGATAAAAATGCATTGAGATTTGACATGGATCAATGATGAATCATCGAAATGTTGATCCTGGTGATCGTAAAATTAATAACGAAGCCCGGAGAATTTCGCGGGCATTTCTAGCTAGTCTTTTAAAGGATTAGCGGAAGCTGTCATGTATGAGATGACTAATACAAATTGCTTATCTTTCTTTATCAGTGATGGAAACCTCTCTAATCGTCGGCGCGTAGGTATTACCCCTCCATACAAAGAGTAATTAATTGCATAATGTATAACCTCTTCAGTATGAGGTAGCTGAGTTGAGTTTATTTCCTATAAGTTCGGTAGGATATTGAAAGATATATCGACTCTTCTTTCCATTCTTTCCACCGTCGCATCTCTGTCACTTATCTTCGTCTTAATATCTCCACATTCACTCTACCAAGAAGGAAGTAGATAAGCAATATCAAGGGGAGCTGGAGGCTTACCATTTCTACATACACAAGTTTAGTATCAATGGCAGCAGGAATGGACACAGAAATGGCAGAGCCAACTATCCCCAAAACTTACAATGCATTCTTCTACGGCACTCTCGTAAGTCCTCCCCCCCCCCTCTTCTCCCTGATTTTCAAACTCGCTTTTCGGCCTCCGCCTTCTACTCTTCCTCTACTTTTACCACCCTCTGTTATTTTACTATCACTAACCCTTTCTACTTATAAGATGGCCCCCGAAGTTCTGTACCGCGTAATTTACGGCGCCTCCAATCACCCATACACTTCTCTAACCATCACTCCCGCCCTTCTCCATGACTACTGTCGACACCGTGTTAGATTCGCTGACTATCCGGCCATAATCTCCGAACTAGGTCATACTGTCCGTGGTACCTACGTAACCGGTCTTACGCCCTCCAACATGCGAAATTTGGATTACTTTGAAGGATCTCAGTATGAGCGAAAAGTAGTCACTGTAAAGATCCTGGCTCCAATTGACAAGGGTACACACGGTGCCAATGCAATCATGGCCGAAGCTGTAGAGACGGGAGAAGAGAAAGAAGCCCAAACATATGTCTTTACAGATTTGGATGCTTTGGAGAAAGGAGAATGGGATTTCGAATTCTTCAGGAGAGAGAAATTGAGAAATTGGGCGGATGAAAGTGAGGAGTATGCCGGTTTGTGACCACCCTTTCTTTGAAATGAAGGGGAAGATCTCACTAAATTCAGGAATTTAGAAGTCGATGCGAAGGCTGCGAACAGCAGCGAGAGTGATTTTCTTGATCAACCAGATCCCACTGGCGGGAGAGGCATCAAAACCGATATGGGAAAGGAGTTAATGGAGTTGGCGAATAAAAAGAGAGAGGAAGAATGGGTTTTGGAGGAAAAGAAGAGAATTGCTAGAGAGAGGTCTAAGTGCCAATGTACTATCGGATAGATGGGCATTCTTGGGTTGGTTTGGAATTTGGGAAAATGCATAAGATTGAATGTTGATGCATTGGGTGCCTAGCATTTCGTTGTCAGTAGAAGAATTGTGGTTTTTCATAGGAGGTAGTTGGTCATATTTGCTTTTTCTTTCCAGCGCTGAAGATGGAGCACAAAAAGGATAGACCTAGAATTTGCAGACAAATGATACACATTCATTACATAATCGAGCAATGGAAAATCCCAGTTTCCTAGCTGTATTCTCCTTATGAAAGTTTTCACTTGTCACTTTTTCATCGCACCCCAAGGTCAATAGGCGTATCTTATGTTTTAACAAGTGTCATGAATTTCTTGAAACAGAAGTCTAATTTACTACATCCAATAACTCCATCTCAACACATATACACCCATCTATAAATGCGCCATCGCAATGCCCGAATAAAATGGAAAATAAATCTAACCCGCGCTACCTTTCCCAATTTCCAAACTCCTCATGTCAATGTGAACATAACTTCGTATCAGTTCAAGCAGCCCACTGTCTCATCCACAACTCCATCCAGCTTCCATGAACCGGCTCCAATTCTCTCAAAGTCTCACTCTTGGCAGCTGTCTTCTCAGTCTCCAAACTCGCAAGCGGAGCTCCCTTTGCCAACGCCTCGTAAAATTCCAAGAGTTTAATACCTCTATTCTGAGCGATTTCTCCACGCTCGGCGGATTCGCGGAGGAGAGCGACCCATTCTTCCCAGGAGACGATCTTGCAGTCTGCGCCGATTTGGGAGGTGAGAATGGGAGAGATGGTAGACCAGGTTATGGAAGTGGGGTTGACGAGGTGGTAGAAGGCGGTTTGGGTGGCAGGGGAAGAGGAAGAGGGTTTGGAGAGATCGGCTAGGTCGAGGATTATGTGGGAGAGGATGTCGACGGGGACCCAGTCGATACGGTTCATGGTGGCGATGGTTGTGGGGACGGCTTTCATGTATTGGGATGTTGAGACGATCTAGGATGTCATGTTAGGATTCTGCGTTTTTGTTTCTGCAACGGGGAGAGAGATGAAAACTTACAGTAGGGAACCATTCCTGGATATTCCATCTTCCTTTCTCTTTCCTCACAGGTCCAGATACCTGTCCAACACGAAGTACCTGTGTGCGTACACCACTGACCTTATTAGCTTCCGCCAAAAGCACTTCGGAGATAAGTTTCGATGAACCATATCCCATAGCCGCTGCATTCCAATCATCAATGATGAGCTCTGGAATAGGCTTGTCCCAATTCTTTCCCTGAGTAACACCGATCGATGAAATGAAGGATACAATAGCATTATTTTTGCTTTGGGCCGCGAAATCAATGAGGTTTCGCACACCTCGGATGTGAGGTTCAAAAGATGCGAGACTTAAGTTAAAGTCTACTTGCCATTGGTTATGAATGACGTGAGTGGTATTGTTCAACAATTCATCATATGATTCCTGGTCGAGGCCAAAGCGTGGCTGCGACATGTCTGTCTTGAAGAATGTAACTTTGCTGAAATCGGTGTCGAGACCATGGCTTGAGCTGGCTCCTCTTTGTCTCTCCTCACCGTTGAAGGCTCGGTTAAGTGCATAGACTCTGGAGATGTGTGGTAAGGCGACTAAATCGTCGAGCATGTAACTGCCCATAGATCCAGTACTTCCTGTCAAGATTACGGAGATTTTAGCATTCAAATTTTGAGCAGCGGTGCCGGAAGTCTTGATTGGCAAGTCCTTGGCATATTTCTCAAACATTGCTTGTCTCTCGTCGAAGTCGGTTTTGGAAGAATCTTCTTGGTTTTCCAATGGATGAGCGAGTTTGAAGACAACTGATGCGAGAGACTTGACGGTTGGATTTTTGTAAATGGTGCTAGCTTGCAACTTGTCGGTTTCGACATTGTCCTTCTTCAAAGCTGATCGCAATTGTCTCAAAAGAGTGAAAACAAGTAGAGAATCGAATGATCCGCTTGCAAAGACATCCTCATCAACACTAAGCTCATCAACACTAGCTATCTTTGCAACCAAATCCTTCAATGTAGAAGTCAATGATTCTAAAGAACTAGTATCGAGACCGCTATCATCACCACTTTCCGTGTTGGTGAAGAGCTCTTCGATTTCCGGTTCGTAAAGTTTGATAGTTGCTGCACGTTGAACAGTACCCTTTGCAGCGCGCAAGAATGGCTTTTCAGGTTTAGCAAACATCACGAAACCATCTTTGATTTGACCGTGGCTGGGTGATCCTTTGTTTGCCGCGTCGATGGAAGGTTGAATACGAGAGACCAAATCCTTTTTATTCTCTTCGGTTACTTCTACCGAGCTGATCAACTCGATGATGACAGCAGGTTGGAAGCGAGCTTGACCAACAATGATTGCTGAGCGGACTAGTTCGTGTTCGTTGATGGTTTGTTCCATTGTGACAGGGTTCAGCTTCTCGCCGTTTGAGAAGACAATGATATCATCAGCTCTACCCCGATAGAGCCACATGTCTGGTTTTGTGGGGTGTTTCGAACATAAATCATTTGTAGAGATTTCATTGAGCTCAGGGAAGGTATGAAACATTCCTTGTAACTTTTCCAACTTTGGATCTCGGATCACAAACATTTCATAGAGACCGTCACCTCTGTCAACAAATCTGAGACCATTATCAGCGTGGAATTTGAAATATCTCCAATCCTCTCTTCCTGGATAAATGAGTGAAAAAAGGCTGGCCTCTGTGCTTCCGATCAGATTGTGAAGGGTTGTGATCTCCGTGAGGATATCTCCAGCTTTTTGTCCAACTGGTCCGCCGCCAAAGCAAATGTACTTGATGTTTTTCTGTTGAATCAACTCTAGACTAGAGGAAGAGAATGCCAATTCTTCGACTGTTGATGGAGCAAGCATCAGAGCATCAATGCCAGCATGCTCGACCATGTCGTCCACCAAACTGGGAGTCACTGGAACTAATGGTGATGCGGTCACAACGTGAATGTCGAGAAACAACGCGCTGAAAAGATTTATATAAACACCGGCAGCATGGAAAGCTGGGAAACTTGAGAAGGCCTTAGATCCTCTCCACCAATCCGATTGAAGGGCTTCTCCATTTTCGCATCTCACCAAGCTTTGTGCGTCCAGAACCGCACCTAAAGCGTGTCGAACAACTATAGGCTTAGGGAGCCCTGTTGATCCAGATGTGTGCAAGACAAGAGTAGGCTCCTGAGATGCCTCTGCCCATGTTTTATTGTAAGTATAATGTGGAACTGGTGTTTCGTCGAGGAAGAAGTCGAGTTCTGGACAGTCGAGAACAGTCATCGGGTGGACCTTCAGAACTTCACGGATATTGCCAGTGCTGTGACTAGGTAGTAACCAAATGTTGCACTCGGCTTTTTTTATGACATTGAGGTGTCCTTCAACACTGTTTCTTGGAGAATTAAGGAGGATCTTGTAGCCCGCCTTGACGAGTGCTATGACAAGGATTTGATATCTCAGATCCCCTTTAAAATACTTAGCACATAACCTTGAGGCGATCGGATATGTATTCTAGACTTACCTGGACCAACATATCCTACGGATGGGAAGTTCTCGCCCTTACCAAGCAACTTCTCAATCCACCAAGCAGCTCTGTTCACCGCATTGGCGAGGCGCTTTTGTGATACTTCGACGAAACCATCTACTGCTTTGGTCGTTTTCGCATAAGAATAGATAATACGATCAGGGTCGCTTGCAGCCCTTTCGTCAACCAAGGTTGGTAGTAAACGCTGTCCGTAAGCTGGTGTTTGTCTTTGAACGGAGCCCATGTTAATGTGATAACGTGTAATAAGTCAAGTAATAAATAGGAAAATTTGTGTACAATAGTTTATTATTATTGGAAGTAAATATTTCAAATTTAACGTAAAGCTGTAAGATGATGATGATAAAATGATAATGATGATGGAGTAAAGGAAGAATTTTGGTACTCAGGATTGAGATGATACTTATACCTCCAGAATCCCCTATAAATTGGAGACTTTTCACCCATCTCATGAATGAACGACGACATATCTCACCTCCATTGACACCCACCCACACATACTCAAAATTGAAGTGTATTCAGTGGTTAATTGTGTTCCGATCCGCCTGGCGGGTATATCGGAACTTACGATATGATCCATACAAAACTCAATAAAAAGCCCTCACTAATAACGGCTGTGGCGTCCATCAAGCTTTTCCTACGAACCGCGGGAGAAAGGTGCCGTCCGTCAAGATGATTAATTAACTCACCGTTACGATCGAAGCCAGCATCAGCCTTGAAGTGATGATGCAAAAGATCAGATGTGGAGTTCGTTGATGGAAATTTGCCGATCCACCCTCTCCTAATCCATACAAGCTTCTCGAAGCTTTTACAGACAAGGTCGCCTTGATAGTTATGCAAGCAGTGCAGAGTGCTCTTGGGTACTAACGTCGGCAATCAGAAAGGATACGGTGTTGTCACACAAAATGGTGGGTCAACCATCGAAGAAAATACCGGAATCCAGGATCGGTAGTTTTTCACGTGATAATGCCGAAAGAATCCCGCTCGTATATTGTTGAGACAAAGAGTAAAACAGATACCTGATATGATGGACTGAACTACGAGACTACCAGATGTAACCCACCTGCCTGCATGAATGCTTGAAATTCTGCTCAATGCTCCGTATACAGTCAGACCTGGCTATACGAGCATGTGCTATACGGGCATCCCCTTTATACGGGCATTTTTTCCAACTTCCTAAAAATTTATATGGTGAAATTGACTTAAACGGGCATTCCTTTATATAAGAGTATATGATCCTAAATTTCCCAATGCCCTTATAAAATTGGTGGTATTGGCCCGAGCTTTGTTATATCACATGATGAATTCATAAATTCACATGACAAATTTAATGAAATTAGAAAGGCTGAAGGCATAAAACGAGGCTAAGTGTATAGAACGAGGCTAAACGATGAGGCTGAAATTTTTTCTACGGGCATTTAGGCCTTGAAATTTTTAGGCCCGTATAGCCAGGTCTGACTGTACCTCGGACGATATGTAATTGACTGACGAATCGTCCTGGCGTTACATCTTGCGCACTGAGTACGAAGCATCGTTCCCTCAATCTATGATTATGAAACAAATGCTTATTCACTCACAAAGTAAAGTAAGTTTAGACGACGTCATTTGTATATACGAGATTGGTTCGTCTTAAATGGAAGAAGTAATTGACTTTCGGATCCAGAGCGGAAGTATCGGCAATATGCATACATCATCAACGCACATCGAATTGCAGTGGTTGCAAAAGAATCTTTGATACTGATGCAAATTTAACCCCTGAAACAACCGCTTTATTGATGCAATATGATCATTAAAGCGTAAGACGGTTTCACGGGGGCATTCGCAAAGCCGTAGAAAATCTGCGTTCAGTTAGTGTACACACTCTTGACATGTCCAGCGGCTTTTTGAACGAGTGATATTTGATTTTACAAACATGATCTTGTGCTAGCAAAACGCTTTCCCATACCAATCCCCTCGAATATTAATATCATATCGTATCATTTCCATCGTCTGCCGTCACAGCTTAAGTCTTCATTCAAACCAGGGAAGGCTTCTTCTTAATTCCCAATGCAGCAGCATGATCCTTTTTCTTTTTTACAACTCGTTTGAAGCTGGGAGGTGGCATTGCTAATGCCTCTTCTTTGGTAATCTTTGGTGTTGGTCCTGCACCAACATCATCAGCATCATCCTCTATAATCTCTTCCATAGCTTCCTGTCTCCTCATGAACGCCCTTCGAGCCGCCTCTTCGTCTTCTCTTTCTTGTCTTTCTCGTTCCGAGTCAACATTTTCTCGTGTTACAGTGACCTCAGCTCCATCCTTTCCGACCCGTTCATTCCTTGCGTTTCTTGTGCGTATTTCATCCAATGCATCGGCAACAGCCATTTCTGTTTTTGCTTCTGCTGTTTTATCCTCTAATTCTTGCATCGCATCTCGCTCTTGTTCTTCTCTTTCCAGACGATCCAGTCTCTCCTCGTCACTTTCTTGAAGGCCACCTCCATTCACACGCCACGGTTCGGTATTTCTTTTCGCGCCACGCTCGCACTGATAATCCATGTTTTTGGGATCAGTCTTGAAGGTGATTTCGCCAGAACATCTTGTACATTTGATGTAAAACCTATAAATTGAGATAGCCAAGTATTTCTCCTCCGTAGTTTCTTTGCGCGCGTTGAATTTCCGCCCTTTGTAGATATATTCTCCACAAGCCGTACATTTCATAGGAAATGGTGCCATCAAACGGACTGTCTGAACTTTTGGGCCAACTTGTTTAGGAGCGCGCGACTTGACGATCTTCGAAGGATCGAAATCGGGTGGGTAGTATTTGGTGAGAACTTTTCGCTCGGACATCTTGAATTAAGCTGCTGTAAATGACCTGCTTGTTGTCGTAGTAGATTTTTATGTGTACAGAGTGGATGAGCGTAGTTTCAATTCTGAGTTGGCGATGCAATGATGGATGATAGGTGGGAGACAAGACCAGGCGACGAAGTTCTGGATCAAATCGATAGCCCAGTCCAGCGTACGTTATATTATGTAAGCCTTTATCGGCTGGCCTCGTGAAAATCATTGATGAAGATCTCAGCCTCGCATCACCCCACGCGACTGCCTCGCTATGAAAACAAACAATAAACCTAATTTCGTACCCCTTCGTAATCAATACCCTTTGACATTGATCATAATCTTGGAATTCGATTGAATGGGCACAATTTACGATAAGATATGGAGAAATTCTTGAGAGATTGGCGGCAGGATGCTATGAACAAGCACCAATACGACTCGGCAATATTTATTGGAGATAAATTGCTAGCTATAACAAGTACCACCACCCCCTTCGATACTCCTCTTGGGAACTCGTTGGATCTAACCAATTTATAGAAAGTGATAAGGATGCATTTTGGCTTGCACAAGTGCATTTCTCCACGGGGAACTATACAAGAGCTCAGAGCTTCCTCACCAAACAAGACTTAATAGCTCGAAATCCATCCTGTCGGTACCTTGCAGGCCATTGTCTGATAAAACAATCGAGATTCGAAGAGGCTTTGAGTATACTTGGCGAGAAGAATCCTACACATTTAATATCAACGGCCGGTCACAACAGAAAAAAACTACAGCACACGAGAGGCCATGCACGAAATGGATCAACGACACAGAGCAGTCGGCATAGACAAGATGAGATAGCAAAAGATGAAGCGGCAAATGTCAAATTCGAAGCTGCAATGTGCTTTCTACGAGGACTTTGCTATGCTAAACAAAATGCTTTTGATAGAGCGAAAGAATGTTACAAAGATGCTGTTCGAATAGATGTACAATGCTTCGAAGCATTCGAACAGCTTATGAAGAACTGTCTGATGTCACCAGAAGAGGAATGGCAATTTCTAGAATCCCTGGATTTCGATACTATATCCGTTACGGACGATACTTCATCCTCCCAAGAAGCTGCCGAATTTACAAAAATGCTTTATACCACTCGACTTTCGAAATACAAAAACCCAGCTGCGTTTACAACAGCGACAGAAACTCTTTCAACACATTACAACCTTGCTACAAATCCAGATCTTTTATTATCTAAAGCGGATTTGTTTTTTACACAATGCAGGTTTAAGGATGCTTTAGCTATCACAAATTCTATCCTTGAGGAAGACAAATACAATTTTAGTATATATCCTTTGCATTTAGCATGTCTGTACGAATTACAACTGAAGAATGCTCTGTTCCTCGTAAGTCCATTGTCTTCCTTTTTTGGCATAATTAGAATTTTTGACTTCCTGTTCATAACTCACAATGGTGTATCTTTTGGGGACGGACCTAGGACGGCTCAATCTTCTTCCGAGAATTTCGAGAGAAAAGTCATGGCATGCCATAGATGCTGACATTATATTGACAGGTATCACACGATCTAGCGGATAATCATCCAGAGGAGCCCTGTACATGGCTTGCGGTAGGCATTTATTATTTGGCCATAAACAAAGTAGCTGAAGCTCGACGCTATTTCAGTAAAGCCAGTATGATGGATCCTCATTTTGGACCTGCTTGGATTGGATTCGCCCATACTTTCGCAGCAGAAGGAGAACATGATCAAGCAATCTCAGCATATTCGACAGCAGCAAGACTTTTCATGGGCACTCACTTGCCTCAACTATTTCTAGGCATGCAAAATCACATGCTAAACAATATGACTCTAGCCGATGAGTTCTTGAAAACTGCGTATGAACTCTGTAAAACGGACCCATTACTTCTGAACGAGATGGGAGTAGTATTTTATCACCAAGAACGACTCGAAGATGCTGTTTTGATATTAAGGAAAGCTCTCGAAATTGCTGAAGAGATTGACAGTGATCCACAAGCTTGGATATCCACTCGCTCGAATCTGGGTCATGCATATCGACGTCTTCATCAATGGGATGCCGCCTTGGCAGAATTTGATGCGGTACTTCGGCAGGGTGGAAAAGATCCGGCTATCTTTTGTGCAAAGGGTTTGGTGTTAATGGAGCAGAGGAAACCTTTTGAAGCCGTTTTGATGTTTCACGAAGCACTTGCCATTTCACCCCAAGATGCTATTGCAACCGAATTGCTTAATAAAGCCTTGGAAGAAACGGCCATTCATGGTATCAATGGGAGTAGGATTTTTGATGACGAGGAAGATGATATCGAGAGGGAATTATCATTGAGGAAAGATGAGGTTTTGGCAAGTTTAAGACCAAGCAGAGCGAAAGGAAAGGGGAAGTCGAGGAGCAAAGTGGTGGTAAATGAAGTCAACTCAATGGAACTTAGTGATGGTGATTAGTATTCTTTCAGCGAATTAGTCAAGGATTTGGGGTTTGGGAAGAGTGGAAAGGAGGGGAGGAGCCCTGAGATGGCAAATCCTCGCTTCTTTACTCTTGTTGGAGTTTTGTTTCTCTTTCAGGGGCGCATGACGGTAAAACGGAAGGTAATTGTGACAATAGCAGAATAAATGAGTAAAGAGGGGGTAAATGCATTCTAAATGGCGTATAGCATTTGAAACTTGATTACCTGTTCACTAACGATGGATGGTTGTTGGTCAATTTAGATATAAACTTACATGGGGTATCAATCAATTCAAGGGTTGTAGTAATATACACGAACCTACAGATAATAAAAACTGAGTGAGATCCAAGTACTTTTCCGCCGAACTCCTAAACCCATGTGCCATGCAGCCTGAAGCCTGGATCGTAAATTATAAGTTCGTACTGTCAGTTCTTTCGTTCCTTTCACTTTCATCCCATTTCCCCCCCTTGACTCCATACCTCCAACTTAAATACCCCAGGACCCCCATCGCGCTCCCTGCACTAATACTCCCAACTCTCGCCCTCCAATCCACTAAAGACCCAGGTTTAAACTTCCAAAGAGCACCAACTATCATACCGCCATACATCCAATCGTCAGATTCCATCTGACCTTCATTTTCCAAAAGACGCCAGCTACGATCTTGATATTCGATATCTGTGCGCCCGTACATACGGGCAAATGTTGCGAGGGTGAGGAGAGAAGTGACGCCAAGAGTGTTAGTCCCAATAAAGCGGAGATTGAGGAGTTGGGATGAAAAAGGAGAAGTTTGGGAGCGGGGAAGTAGGGAGGCGGGTAGGGGGAGTTTGCGGTAAATAAGAGTGCTGGCGGAGATGAAGGGAGTGAGGAAAGCGGCGGTGGGGGGACCGCGGGTGAGGATGTGGGTCCAGAGGATAAGTCTGGAGTGAGGTTGGTCTTCGGCGTAGGGGGGGTGCGGCCAGTAGCGAGACATTTTGAGAGAGGTTGAGGGGTAACTTGTTAGTGGGAGTGCTGTTTGATAGTAGCTTTTGTTGATATTTAGAGTTGGAAATTAGAGTTCGGTTAGGTGGTGTTGTATTTATGTTCATCAATTGATGGGGCGGACTTCAACAATCCTTGTATTCTTACTTTGTGGGAAAGTGGAATTCCGCTAAAGGATATGGAAACGGAGATTTAGAGGAGAAGGATTGTCCGGCATGGAGTTTCTTTGATGCCGATGCTATTTCTGTTATTATGCGCTGCGCAGAAGTGAATGGAGATTGGGGAGTTGAAGAAATGCGGATTGGAAATGGTAGATGCGATGAGTTTGTTTTTCCTAGATTGCGAGTATTGTCAATACTGTATAGTATCGAAGTAATGCTCCTGTTGAATAATGAGGGCAAGAGAGTCTGATATCCGCCGCCTTATCTTAGTGGTGTGACATTATGGATCGCCTTTGTTACCTTACGGAACTTAGCTTGATGAAACTAGGTAGGTAGGTAAGCTTACATAGCACTCGCTTGTAAACATATCAGCAGCCTTGAGAGGAACATCTTCATCGTCATAATACAGTGAGTTCGCTTACACGGTACTCGCATCTTACACCAGCTCCATAGAAGGAGGTCATCTACTCTTCTCCATTCTCTAGTTTGTAGATTCAACAAGTGGTAGGTACGAGTTTGATAAGGCTCGGTTTTGTAGTGAAATCGAATGTAAGATCTTATATAGCTCTGAGGATCAAATGATAATACGAAAACGAAATACTTCGTTAGGAAATTGTCTGATCTGGAAAATTTGTCGCGTATATAAGTATACGGAGAGGTAAAGGTAAGATGACGGAAAAAGCCTATAGCTATAATAGGTGGTGGTTTTGAGCATGTCTCTCCGACGTCTAGCCATCGCTGAACTTTGGAATGCGGAGCAAATCAACCGTCTCGAATTTCGGAATATCATTACTCGTTCCAACCCACCGCGTTCATCTTTTCTGTAGTTTAAATACCAATATTTAGAGGGGATATGATACGTTAGAATTAGAAAGTGGTAGCATTAATTGTCCAGCGGATTGATGCCGCGGTAAATTAACCTTCCCCCCACATCCCACAATTCGGCACAGTCTGGGGAAGATCTTCTCCGCATAGATACTTCCGTAGTTCCGCGGCTATTAATAGATAGACAGCAAGCATAGCTTTTGAAGACCTCCTCTTTCCTCATCATTTCAGATTGCTTCGACATCTGATTTCTCATTTCATCGTTCCGTCAGAGTTTTGGGGGATTCTATGCAGACATGGATATCTTGAGTCTACCCAGAAAGCTCTGGGAGCATCCTAGTCCCAAAAGCACAGCTATGTATAAACTGATGCAGGAAATCAATCAAAAAGACAATCTTCAGATCGATGTAATCCAAGCTCTTTTTCCCTGTCTATGATATACTAATTGACGACTTTAGAATTTCTGGGATCTCTGGCAATACTTACTACCTACCGAGCTCAATTTTGGGATCAAGCTTTCCAATACCTCAATCTAATCTATAGCGGCTCATACACAACCGTTGTTGATGAGAATGCTCCTATAGATTCTATACCGCGTTGGTTCTCGGGTGTATATATGAATTTTGCTGAAAATATCTTGTATTCGCGAGTACCCGGTCATGCATCATCTCATAGAGGTACAATTGGGAAAGAAGATGATAAAATTGCTTTAACTGAAGTTCGAGAGGGAGGAACAGAGATACGTGATGTTAGTTGGGGGGAGTCAAGGAAAGGAGTAGCGGAATTAGCTAGTGCTATGAAGGAGCATGGCGTTGGGATGGGTGATAGAGTGGTAGTTGTGGCTAGTAATTCTTTTGATACCCTGAAGGTTTTTCTGACTGTAGCATCGCTTGGGGGTTTGTTCAGTAGTAGTTCGACGGATATGGGTGTTCAAGGTGTTTTGCAACAAGCTTTACAGGTTGAACCAAAGGTGTGTCTGGCGTCTCAAATAAAACATGTGATATGTGGAGAATTAACGTACACACGATAGTATATTTTTATGGATGACTGGACAGTTTACAATGGCAAGACGGTTGATCTTCGCGAAAAGATGATCGCAATCGTGCATGGAATGAAAGATGTTAACGAATTCAAAGGAATGGTTTCTATGCCTAGATTCAAAACACCGTTAGATATCACCGACATCCCTCGTAGCCAGAATCTATCCACTTACCTCTCGAAATCTACACCTCAAACTCTTACTTTCGCCAAAACAGCTTTCCACGATCCTTTTTTCATTGCATATTCATCTGGTACCACTGGAACACCAAAATGCATCGTCTATTCCATTGGTGGTGCAGCTCTCAGCGCAGCCAAAGAAGGAATCCTTCACCTAGAAACTGGTCCCCATTGTACCGTCCTTCAATACACAACAACCGGGTGGATAATGTATTTTATGTCCATTTCCAATCTACTCACCGGGTGTCGCGTAGTTCTTTACGATGGAAGTCCCTTTCAACCCGATCTCACTACATTTGTAAAACTTCTCGGCGAACTGAAAGTTACACACTTCGGGACATCTCCAAAGTGGATGGCGGAAATGCAGAAAAATGGGATTGTGCCGAAATATGTGACGGATCTTTCGAGTTTGCACACGGTGACGAGCACGGATATGGTGTTGTCGGATCAACTTTTTGAATGGTTCTATGATGTGGGATTTCCAAAAACGGTGCATTTGGCGAATATTTCTGGAGGAACGGATATTGTGAGTTGGCTTGTATTCTTGGTAAGTTGATGATGAGCCCGCTGATGATTCAGCAGGCAGGAAGTTTTGGTCAAGGGAATCCCCTGACTCCAGTTTATGTTGGAGGGACTCAAGGTCCTAGCTTAGGCACACCTATTGCCGTTTACGATGCCCTCATTGAAAGTGGACAAGTCGTTCCAGTTGAGCACGGCACACCCGGAGAACTCGTAGCTCCCCATGCTTTCCCTAACATTCCCGTCTTTTTCTTCCGCGATTCCAGTGGTTCCTTATACCATTCCTCCTACTTCTCGAAATATACTCACGTCTGGACTCATGGTGATTTCGTGTCCATTCATCCCATAACTCATAACTTACATTTCCACGGCCGAGCGGATGGTGTCTTGAATCCTAGTGGTGTTCGTTTTGGCAGCGCGGAGATATATAGTATCATTCAGAAATATTTTGGAAAGGAGGTCCAAGAAAGTTTATGCGTGGGACAGAAAAGAGAAGGGGATGAAGATGAGAGGGTGATGTTATTTTTAGTAATGATAAAGGGGGAGAAATTTAATGCCGGTTTGAGAGAAAAGGTAAAAGAGGTCATCGGCAGGGAGTTAAGTAAAAGACATGTTCCCAAGTGGATTTTCGAAGCTCCAGATATTCCTGTGAGTTCATCTTCTCTCTTCTCAAACCATCTCGTACTCTATCTCGGATACTTGAACTAATCTCCGGCTCGCCTATCTAGACAACTATAAATCTAAAGAAAGTCGAACTTCCCGTTAAGCAGATCGTTTCTGGGGAGATTATTAAACCAAGTGGTACGTTGCTGAATCCAGAGAGTTTGAAATTCTTCTATCGGTTTGCGAAGGTGGAAGAGCTTGTTAAGGGAGAGGGCGAGGGGAATAAAGGGGGCGAGGGAAAGAGAGAGAGTAAATTATAGAGAGATAGATTTGGAGATTAGAAAGAATGGAGAAAAGATACTGGAGTATAGGTTGGATGATTAAGCAGTTCGAGTAGATTTTGTTCCATCTTTTTAAGTATCACTTGAGCATTTTTACATTGCGAATAGTGGTTTCGGGGTACTGAGGAATGCGTGCAGAATATGGAAACTCGAAGAAGGAAGACTTTTATTTCTTTCAATTGATGGAGGGAAGTAGAGGGATGGAAGTACATATGTTGATGGCTCCAAAACACATTTTTGTGAGAACAAAACTTCAAACCTCCAAGACTTATAGCCCAAGCAGCAAAGCATAAACGCACGAAAAGAGGTGCCATTTGATGTAAGGCGTGGTATTCTTGTATTCAACAATTTCTCTAACCAATACTACTCATAGGAATCAATAGCCGCCAGATATTATTATCCCTTATCTTCTCCTAGAAAAGTAGAAGAAACAGGCAGTGACATCTCACCCGCACGCACATCGTTGGAACCTCGAAACCAAAAACATATCTTAAACACACCTACATTCAACACTGTTACACCACTTGAAAACCCCAAATAATTCGATAAAAAACAAACACACTTTGTACTTTGACTCTGACATCAAGTACTAACCAAGTAGAATCACCTAACATTACAACTTCACCCCATCCTCCTGTCCTGATTGTTCTAGCTCTGTCGTCGCGCAGAAAATAACATTTGATAATATCAAGCGAGAACTCAGAAGTATTATGAGACCAAGCGGTCACAATGTTCTAGGCGTAGCATCCACGATAAATAGTATCACTATCCTCGAATTCTGGCCGATGATCCGAAAGACGCTTCAGCATCTCAATTCGCTGAGATGATTTCAATCGTTTTCTCTCACTTTTGCACTCGTCTTCTACATCACAAGCTCTTTTCATCGATGTGCTCAATAGCTCATTCAGAAACGAATGCTCAAAGCCCCCCTGAACGTCTTTCAATGGGATACCTTTTCTCCTATTGCAAAACGGTTGGATTTGGGCATACCTTTCTAGTAATCCTTCGTAATGTTCTAGATCGAATCCTACTAATTCGAGTACCGTCCAGTTCGTTCGAATAGTACCCTTTTTGAATTCTGCGATCAATTGATTCAGTTCAATAGTCGTGGTAGCCCAACTATGAACATTCTCTTTCTGAAACCATTTTATAAATCTTTGAGTGTTAGATTCATTTTTCAGCAAGTAGTCTATAAATTCAAGTCCGAAAAGATGTTCGGAACCATGGTTCATATGTTGTTTGGCAACCGTGTGTTTCCAACGTACATTGCACGGCCTTGAACCGTGTTAAGATATGTCGGGTGTCCTTTTGTTGGTATAGACTCAATACCAAGGGAATTGACGTCAAGACCGTGAATGAGTAAAAGAGCACCATGTTGCCCTGTGGTTGGACGTCGCCCGAGATACATTCTAGGTTGTGAATCATTGTGTATTTTGAGAATCCGATTTTGATGCATGTCGTGTGGTGGCTTGATCTCCATTGCGAGTTCCATGTTGTTCCAAAAATCGGCATCACCGCCATAGACTTGCTTAAGAAATGTATGATTAAATACGGACAATTAGGAAGAGAGAATTTTTCAACCGGGAGATTGAGGTAACAGCCCTAGCTCGTATTCCACGTTGAAGGATTTGACGACTTTGGGAGCGAAAGATGCTTGAACAGGAGGATGTTTTGGCCGATCAGGTGCTTTGATTTCAAGCTCTGTAGCCTTTGCCACAATTTTATCGTGCAACTTTTCTTGATCTTGACTGTGCAAGCTTTATAATTCCTGCTCAATAATTGCAGTAGCACTCAAGACCTGCGACCTTCCCTCGTTTACCTGAATGCTCTGGCCATCTTTTAGTCCTCGATTGTACTCAATATCACGGACTAATAGAATGTGTTGAAGGTGGGCTTGCTTAAGAACCTTAAATACATCTGGTTGACTGGACCTAGTGTTCTGGAGAGCCGCTTTATGATCGACAAGTTGTCCTGCTGTTTGTACATTCATTGTTCCGGGTTCTTTCCCTGCGCATAATTGTGGAAGATCCTCCTTGAACTCTTTTTTCTCATCTTCAAGCTCAATTCTCTGTGCGGTGATGTCTTTAACCATTGTGTTCAATATACCCAGGTGCCAGACCATGGCTTCATGTTTAGCGTCGCATCTCTCTTTCCATCTTTTTGCATTGGCCTCCGCTTCAGATTTTTCTTTAGTCGTGTTTTCAATGCGCTGATACAAGTCCTGGTTAACCAAGTGCAAGTGCATTCTACTTAAATCGCATTCGTCAAGAACCCTACGTAACGTCTTTACCATTGCCTGAAGAGCCGAATGTGCCGTCGCAGCTTTTTCTTCCTCATCATTGGCTGTATGAAAGATGATCCAATTATTTGCGAGTTCATTAGAGATTTTCGACATTTCCAATTTTAGTGCAGTAATTTGGACAGCATGTTGCTCCTCAAGAAACTTTTTCGTCTCCAATATACGTCGACTGACTGTTCTTCATACAATTGTTTGGAAACATCGACAAGTTTCTTGCCAATACCTTGGATAATCTGGCTTTCTATTGGCATGGCGTTCTCTATTGCGAGTATTCTCTTGGGAACAGACAAATCTTGAGTTTTCCTGCCAATTTCGATATTGTTGTTACCTATCTCGAAATCTATCCTCAAGTAAATAAAAAAAGTCTCTATTCATCCAAATATTTCAAGATTCATACCTCTGCAAGTACTATCAATTGGCTCTAATTTTAACCTCTGTTTCTCGATTAAGTTGTCGAATTTGAGCAAGTATTCTTTTGACCAGAATCCTGATCCGATACTCTTGTTCACATCTTGTAAAGCCTTGAGAAGGCTCGGGATGACAAGACGGCTTTCATAAGTCCATCTCTATCCAGAAAGCTTGGCCCTCGGAAAAAGAGTTCCTTTGCATCATTTGTGGTTAAGCGCTTTCTGGTATTCAAATATTAGTATAAATATTAGCCGCAGCAGTATTTTGAGGATCCTCTATTCGAATATACCTGTCGTGCATGAGAACTTAAAGAATATGGAACTTTGCAAGCATCGAAGCACCCACTCAGGACCCGGTAAAAGTTTGACACGCAGTTGGAAACCATCCAATGCCATATGGCATTCTGAAATCTCTGAAGGAGTCCATTTCTCGAAATTGGAAACTGGAAACTGGTAACAAGAGAAGATCCATCTCAGAAAAGAAGGTGGGTTCCGGGGATCAGACTGGGCTGCTGATCGCAATAGACTCCTACCACAAGCTCTCTCTGTGTGGTTGTAATCAGGGACTGTCTTAAAAAGAGAGAATATCAATTGAAAATATGGTACGATTTTGAGGGTACTTCGGCAAGTCTCTTACCTAAAGTGTATAACAGTCGATCTTGTATACCACGAAAGTTGCAATCAAATCGAGGGCCACAAAGCCCAAAGCCGGTTTTGTAGTCCTGGTATTGGAGAGAATTGAGGCATTTCACGCTGGCCGGTCTAGTAGTCTTCAGCCGACTCAAATTAAGATTCTCGTACTTTAAGCTCTTTTCTAATCTTTCCAGTGCACGCGTTTGCCATCCATTCAGGGGCGGTAATACCAATGATTGGTTGATTGGAATCCAGACCAGTTCCCTCCATGTATCTGAAAGTTCCCACAAACAACCACTCATATCCTCACCATATCCATCATAGAATTCCTTGATGGCTTTCACTAAGAGCGTAGTCTTTTAGATTGGAGATTCAAAAAAGAGAGGGCTATGATAAACACCTACTTTTTAAAGGATGTAATTGCTCATGAACTTTGATTACCAATCTCCCGATTTGAAGATTTTCCATCTCATTTGCTAACTGAACGTTTGGATGTAGCTGTGACATCGTGATCGCATCGAACAATGACGAGGGTCAAGATGATTATTGCTCTTCGAATACAAGTGACACTTTCAGCCCACAGTCTCGAGAGAAAATTTGAATCTGACACAAACTACATTTCAAAGATATGGCGAGGATGGACTTTTGGGTCACTGTATACATCCTAATGCTACTTCCCGTGAATTCCTTGGCATGATATATCAATGATTGTATCAGGTTTTCTTTTTCGACACCCGGTACGAGTTTGGAAACCGCGTCGTAAGCTCCAGTGTGCTTCTCCGAGGTGAAGTCATTTGATTTGTTACCAAAGCAAAGCTATTCAAGAAGCAATGCCTCAATCCGTTGAATCAACTTCCTCGGCGACTCCAGCAAGAACTTGTGGCAGAAGACTGCGCCTCCCATACCGACAGTAAAGCAAACATTAATATGTCTTTCAAATTAGGCAAACGAGCTCAAATTTCTGTGGCTACCCGAACAAATTGGAATGAATCCATGAGATTTTCAAAAAATTGCAGTAGAATCATATTGGTATTGATTCGAGAAGAATTCGGAAATCATGAGCTGGATCTCACTGGATAGCAATGGCAACTTGCATTAGGTATTTAATGTTGATGCCATGTATGCATGATGAGTGCATCGTATCAAGGGCTGGGCTTGAGATGAACGCAATGTAATCTTACTTTAATGATCAGGCGAAAAAGCGAGCAACAAACAGAGGTGGGATGGCTCGGTGGTTTCCGTTGTATAAAGCAGCAGTAAAGAATGTCACGTGAAAGACTAGTAAGGATAAACGCGGGGGATCTGCCAAGGGCTGACAGTTCGGGGTTCGGCAGAAATCATGCCGGATGTCAAGAGTAGATATATTATGAGTGGAAGGAGTGAGAATTGTCAAGTCCAGAGAATTCAAATCCCATTGATTTCAATACAATCAAGACAAAAATGCCGCGAGAAATCTACAATGTTGCTTCGAGCGATGTTCGAAAGGCCATCGACTCCTTGATTTTTCAAATGGTTCATATCAAGGATGAATCTGGAAAATTTCTATTGAAATTGGAAGACGGCAGAGTCATAGATACCAAAGGATGGCAAGGATGGGAGTGGACACATGGTATTGGACTTTATGGTCTTTGGAAAGATCACTGTCTCACCGGTTCTCAAGACTCCCTGGAGATTATCGAAAAGTGGTTTCAAACCCGTTTTGATGAAGGAGGAACTACCAAGAATATCAACACAGTAGCCGCGATGCTGACGCTAGCATACGTGTATGAAGAGAAAAAGGTCAATAAGTTCTTGCCATGGTTGGAGAACTGGGCGGAATGGGCAATGTATGAGCTTCCACGAACAAAATATGGTGGAATGTCACACATGACATACAACTCGACCAACGCTCAAGAATTGTGGGACGATACACTAATGATGACGGTTCTTCCATTAGCGAAGATTGGGAAAGTCTTAAATCGACCTCACTACGTGGAGGAAGCAAAAAGGCAGTTTCTCCTTCATATCAAATATCTTTTTGATACCAAGACCGGATTATTCTTTCATGGATGGACTTTTGCAGATGGAGGACATAATTTTGCAAAGGCGTTGTGGGCGAGAGGTAACTCTTGGTTAACAATTGTCATTCCAGAAATGTTGGAATTGCTCGACTTGCCAACCAATGATTCATTCCGTATTCATCTCATCGATACCCTGGAAGCGCAGTGTCAAGCATTGGTTCAATATCAAGAAGACGATGGATTATGGCGTACCCTTCTAGATCAATCTGCAGATACAGGATCTTATGTTGAAAGTTCTTCTACAGCTGGATTTGCATATGGTATACTGAAAGCATTAAGAATGCGATACATAGAAGGGGAGGAATATCAGAATTGTGCGATTAAAGCCATAAAAGCTGTGTTAGGAAAAGTTAATGATCAAGGAGAATTACTAGATGTCAGTTTCGGGACAGCAATGGGCCATACCTTACAGCATTACATTGATATTGATAGGACAAGTATGCCATATGGGCAGGCTATGGCGATAATGGCATTGGGAGAATTTTCTAGAGTGTTTATCTGATTAGCATTCATTTGTCTCATTTTCAATCATTGGGTACAAATTAATGTAGAAATCTAGAAAATCATAGAGGAAATGGAAATGTGATCCGTGTCACATTCTAGGTATGAAACCTTAGCATGTGCTTACATTTTTGTGCATGTAGCGCCGATGTGATAAATACAACCACCAAGTCGAAACTTTGAACTTTGAACGTTGAAAATTATACTTCCGAGGCAATCCTCATCCATCAACAGGGAAAGTCTAGCATAGCAATCTTTGCTTTTACACATGTTTCTAAATGCATGACTGACACCCATCGGCTTCAAGAGTAATAACCAGAAACAGAAAATGAATCAAACGAGCAGATATCATTTAAAAATAAAACTTTCAAAAATCAGAATCAATTACATTTAATCATAGTAGCAAGATTTTATAGATACAATAAGAATTACACCAAATATCATTCCTCAATCCCACAATTTCCAAAACCACCATACAAACCCCCTTGTACCAAAAAATCACCCTACCTTTCCACCCTCCCCCTCCCAGTCCCCTAAAACCTGTCCCTCCTCCTTCTCCTCTCCATCTCTATATTCTCCCTCAGAAAAAGTATCCCCCCACAACTCGTTACAACCCTCTCTCATAACTTTCAACCACTGCAACTTCTCCTCCACCACTCGATTCCTCTCTTCCCAATCCATCTCCATCCACTCGTCACTACCCACCACCGCCACATTCATACACACAAAACGACAATAAAAGGATATCGACGACGCCCCCTGATTTTTTGCCATCCTATTTGCTGCCAAAGCACGGCATCTACTCAAATTGGGTTCCAACGCTGCAGTGTAGAGAGAATACATGAAATCCAATTCCGCAAGTTCTCTGGCGAAGAAATTCTCGGGCCATTGTTTCAATTCTGCGATTCCCTCGGGCTTAAATTCAAGCCCAATTGTCCAAGTAGGTAATGGGGGGAAGATTTTCAACCGCACATCTTCGAGTTGGGCAAGGAGCTGGGCGAGTTGTTCAAGAGTTGCGATTAAATTCTCATCTTTATTTGGTGCTTCGTCCACTCCGCTAAGTATATCATTGAGCAACCTACGAGTACCGACATTCCAACGAAAAAGCGTGGCGCGACGATCTCGAAATTTTCCATGCCTAAATGCTTCCGAGGCTTCTAGAAGAACGAAAGTTTCTTTGTGGGCTACTATTGCTTGCTCGAGCTTTGGGATAAGCAGTAAAGCTACTTCACCACGTTGTCCTGCATCAGCAGCACTTGATGGATTCTGCAGCTCGATGCAAGCTTCACGTATTGCGGAGAGGTTTTTTTCTTGCTCCTGAGTGAATTCATAGAACTCTTCTTCTTTTGATGCACTTGCCATTATATCATCTAAAACTTTGAGTGCTGTCTTTTTTGAAGGTGAAAGTTGTTTTAATTGGTACAGCGCGATAGATTTGGCTAATTCTTCAATCATAGCTTGTTGTCTCCCTTCATGTATCTTAAATCTAGCTGTCCTCATCGTCGCGCTTTCGGGAACACCGTATTTATCTTGGTCACTCCATAGAGACATAGTTAGCGATCCCCACCCATGTTTTATTGACCGAGCATGAATTGCTGAGAAGCCAAACTTCAAAGTGTAAAAGTTAGTAAAGTCTTGAGTCTATTCGGTAGTAAGAGTAGAGGTGGGCAATAGAACTTACCCGCCGAATAACATTATCCCAAAAGCTCAGTTTTCTCATATCTTCGAAAGTTTGAATCGGAACAAAGTAAAGATATAGCACATCATTATAGTCCGCAGCATGATCCCTAACGATTGTTTCAGCAGTTCGCTGCCTTATGTGAAGCCAAGAGGGATAACTGGAACCCATCCTATATGCAAGTGGAGCTGCAGGTGCCTTGAAGACTGGTTCGATGATACCACCAAAAACCTGATATTGATTAGCCAAGTATTTCAATATTCATCCAAATTGATATAAATCACACTGTTTTCCATTTCATAACCCAATTCGGACTGAGGTGAATCCTCGAAATATGGTTCGTACCCATCGCCACGCATCTTAATATTCGGATCGTCGAGAAAGTCATAACCAATCGCATGTGTTAACTCGTGAATCATGACAATTGCTAAGTAATATTGGGCACCAGCTTTCTCCGCAGAGGTCAAATCGTTCCTCAATAGTAAATCACAGAGCTTCATGTCCAGAAATATCCAAATGACTGATCTGTCATCACTATCATAACCTAAGTGCGTGATACCAAGACAATTACTCTTTTGAGGAGCTTCATCCCATGGCATAAGGGTACCCGAGGCAAACCCCCAAATTATTCTTCTTTGTAACGCTTTTAAACATTTAGTAAAAGCCTTCTCGCATTCTACAGAACCGTTTGCCGTCCTAGTTTCTTGATCTCTGCGCCAGAATGTATAAACTCCTTCCGGAAACTTAATCGTTGAAGTACCTTGATCTACCGGTTTTCGAGGTCCTAAAAGCATTGCATCCAACTAAGAAATAAGTCAATCAATCATATTCACAAGATCTACCTCATAAAGTCGTGGAAGAGGGGACATACAAATGGTAAAGTATGCATTTCAGAAAGAAATGCACTTGCCAATGTAAGAACTGGCTTCATTTCCTTCAATATGTAAGGGTTATCCATGATGTAATGACCACCTTCCATCGGTTCGGGCGTTTGTAAAATCCATTCCCGTTGTCTCTGCCCGAGTTTCTCCCACATGTTTTGTGAGAATATAGGATGAATTGGAATTGAATCAAGATCTGCTTCTTCTAGAACTCTACCACTAACTACGTCAAAATCGACAAGCTCCCGTACCGTAAATTCGCGCATTTTCTTTTTTTGGAATTCCTCGATGCGTTTTTCCTCTTCGATCTTTTTTGGATTGCCACTAGGGTGAAGGTAGCCTGTGGGAGACCACCCGCTGGCTGCAGAAGCATAACCATGTGGGTGAACATAAACTCGCTTCTCTCCATATTTGGTCCGACCAACATTAAAGATTGTGCTTGTCGCTTGTCCAAACTTTATTGTTGGCATTGTCGGCAAATTTGAGAACGTTGATGTTGTTAAGAAGCGTTAAAACTTCCTGTGAAATGACAATTGTGTTTCCTGGATGTGCATTGTGGAAATTCTTTGTTGAATATTTTGAAAAGTCAACACAACAACAAAGAGAAGCCATTCACGATAGAGATGTCCTTTGAAGGACTGGCTGTGAAGGAGGACGGACAGTCCCAGCTCAGTGATACGAGAGTGAGAACCTTTTCTTTCAAGTATAGAAAGAAACGGAGGACTTTGAGGTAGCTTCACTGGAAGTATAGTGTATTCAACCAAGACAGAGTCATTTACACTTCTCTGGTAAGGACCATTCTACTATATCAATAGCATGAAACTTCATTACTCGATTTCTGCATAGGTAAGATGTTTTTTTTTTGTTTTTTCAAAGAACTTGGTCTGGGATGAACAAGAGATTTCAACTATGAAAAGAATGGCATCTTGCAGTTAGTTTCGAAGAGCCAACTCAATATTGATGATTTCTTCTTATAAGTATTGATATAAAATCCAAGTGCTAGGATTTGGCATGTTGGTAAGCACTGATAACTCTTGACAAAGATACAAAGATACAATACTCAGAGCATTTGAGGATCTTAACAGATGATGGAACATTACATTACATTGAATTAAGTGATAAGAAAACGGTAATTTTGGTTGTTCCTTGGAGAATCATTGACATGAATGTGCGTTTATGATATGATGAGACAAGGTGAGGAAATGTCAAGACAAGATTCACGTGAGTGGTGAATGGGAGCTTGGACCATAAAAATGAATGTCAGGGATCTCATTAGTGCAGTTTGAACGCCAAAAACATTATATAGCTGTGATATCCTCGGAAAAACTCTGTTTAGGAATAACAATAATCCGAACTACCCCCATCGATACTGCAACAAGATGGGTTCCAAGCCTACTAAAGAGAGTAGTCAGCCTCCAATTACGGCACCTCTTCCACTTCCACCTCCAACCCCACCACCTGCTCATCCTCAATTCAAATTGATTATCACTCCCCCTCCAACCGAAAAATCTCCAAGAAGATCTTCTGCATTCTCCTTGAACTCTTTTGAACTATTTGCAGAACAGAAGTTTTTCAGACACACAATCGGTCTTGAAAGATTTAATCAACCTTACACTACCAAGTTCCCTACTCTGAACATTGGAAACTATTCCTACTAAGGAGATCCTCCCCAGAAGTAATCAACCTTTACCACCGCAAGAATGCTTATCAAGTATGTATTGTTAGATATATCTCACACTCCCCCCTCCATACTTGGAAAGCTTCCATACTAATGATTCGCAGAGTCCGAACTCTCACTGGCAAGGAAATCGAGCTCGATGTCGAAGCTGACAACAAGGTACGTTTGTCGCAATAATTCCATATCCATCCTTTACAACCTCAACTAACATTCCCATCACAGATCGAGAGAGTTAAGGAAAAGGTCGAGGAGAAGGAAGGCATTCCACCCGTTCAACAGCGTTTAATTTATGGTGGCAAGCAAATGTACGTTCAATGTCATTTTACCCTCTTCCCTTCCCCTCCCCTCCCCTTCTCAACCCACCAACTAACATCTCCCCCCAGGGCCGACGACAAGCTAGTACAAGACTACGAACTCGAACCCGGAGCGACACTACATTTAGTTCTCGCACTCCGCGGCGGTATTTAAATAGCCTCTCATGTCATTTTCCTCTCGACTTTCGACCGCGTTGCTGCCTACCGAAATACCCCGCACCTCCTTCTTCATGACTTTTACGCATTCGAGCAAGTTTTCATTGGTTATGCCTCTTTTTTCCCCTTTTCACGATACGATACAATGCGATGCGATGCGATGCGATGCGATACGACGAGATTACATTGATGGGCAGATGATTGGGCATTTCATTGATGGATGACGCAAAAACTCCGAATATTATACAATGGGCGGTTTTTTGCGTGCCAGCATGACTTCGATTTTGGCTGTCTGATATGGGATTAGATTTTCAATAGACCGCGCATGTCTCAATAATAAACTCTGCATAAAAACACAATTCTGAAATTTCTTGAAGTTCATTCATTCATGTGAACATCCTCATTTGTGATAAAAAGATATACATATGGATAATTATAATTTACAATGCTGTTCATATACTAGGTAAATATAATAGCTATATAACAGCTTCAAACTCCACTCGATTCTAAAAAACCAATAATACAGTCCCTAAAATCCCAATATGCTAGAAGCCCTGCCGATATGTAGCAAAATATGTCGTCACCCATGGCCATGAAATAATTTAGTCCCCCAAAACGCCTCGCTGATAAAAAATATCCCAGTTCTAAAGTACCACTTCCCGATCAAAACCCCGATATATGAGATAATAAATGTGCAAAGAATGTTCGCTGTCTATCTTCTAGGTTTCTTAGGTCCACGGTTGAAGATATCGACAGGAGCTGGTCGTCTACGAGCAGGCATCATGGCTCCGGGTGTTGCTGGTCGAGATGATGATGCCGAGCTCGTGCGAGAAGATGGTGCGGATGGTCTTGATGTTGCCTTGTTTGGTGGGGAGGAAGAACGAATGCGAGTTGATGGTGCAACTGGTTTCATGATCTTGCGAGATGGCGGTGGCCGGGTCGTCGCTTTATGAGCTGGTTCTGTTTCTTCATCCTCGTCAAAAAGGTCATCTACATCATCCGCATCATCACCGAACATATCGTCATCTAGCATGGTCGGGGTTCCGGCTGAAGCTCCACTCATAGGTTCCTTTGAAGAATTGGGAACTGGCTTTCTACCACTCATTGCATCGCGTAATCTCTTTTCACGATCCTCAAGGGAAGGTCCACTAGCTGGTGAACCGAGAGCACCGGGACTTCTGGCACCCGATGGCCTGTGTCTAGTCAAAATCTTCAATGCAGGTTGGTTGGCAATTTTGTATTCTTGAGACATTCCAGCGGGTGCCCTTTGCACTTGTCCGTGTCTTAATCCGCTGGTCAAGGTATTAAGTTTACTTCTTTGACTCATTTCCTTAGCTTCTCGACGAGCTTTCGTCAGCACGCTTGCACCATCCGTCATTTTTGTTCTGCTACCTCCACCCCAAGTCAAGGAACTAGGTCCGGCATTTTGAAGAGCTTTTCCCTTGGTCAAAGGAACACCTCCATTGTGTGCGCGCATCCCATAATCCCTAGGAATCTTCGGTAAACGTTTGAGATCGACAAATCTGCTAACATGATCTTGTTTATGTTGCTTCAATGCATTCATTGAATTCATCAGAATGGCTTGAGCGCTAGCAACTTCCTCATCATGCTCGGTTTTGTATTTCTTGTACACTTGAGCCCACTTGGTTGGATCTCTTGGCACATAGTTCTTTGTTTGCCATTTCGGAATGTCTCGAACGATGAATGCTTTCCACAGCTCCGCAGTTTCACCCTTTATGTGTGGAGACTTTTGCTCGATTATGTGAAGTTGTTCAGGGTTGGTGATAGTCTTTAGGATAGGGTAGGCTACTTGGTATGATGTATATCCAATATCATACAGATCTCAAAGATGTTAGCGATGAACGATCAAATCATATTAAAGTAATAGACAAAGCCTACCTTTGATATTTCTCAAACATGTTGCTTTACAAAGACTGTACAGGGACTTGACACCGGTATGTTCTTCCATAATTTCGTTTCGTGTTAAAGGTAGGGATGTATGATATTTTCAAGGAGTACTCAAGGATCTCTAGATGTACTTGTGTTGGAGAGGCTGGCCGCTCGAGAGGTTGACAGATTAATAAGGGTTTGTGATTTAAAAGAGTTACTTTGATTAAATTGAAATTTTCGGACGGCAGAAATATAGAGATAAATTCGTGAAGTCAGGATCCTTTCCTGAAAGTAAAATGAATTAAAATTGTTGTAGAAATTTGAGAATTGGTGAATAGTATGCTTTATCACGAACAAAGAAGAAGTTTGGGGGAATTTATAGATTATGAAGCCCGCACTGAGTGAGGTGGGTCACTAGCATCTGGAACCCCGGACTAGAATATGTACTATGGTGCACTAGCGGCCGTGGTAAATTCGTAGAACTATTCTTAGCTTTCGAATGTTCCGCATCAATATTACGACCAACAGAAAATCATCGACAAATTCATACCTTCAAGATGGCTTCCTATCAACTCTTAGATCAAAGAGAGGAGGATGAACTACACAAATCTCGCCTTCTTAATGTCGAAGAAAAACCTTTCAAGCGCATCACTAAACGTCTACTCACTCCTGGATTCGTCTCTACACCTAGCAAACTTCCTACACCACCATTAGATACCAATGAAGAGATTGGGGAAGCTGATCAACAAAAGATTCTTGATGAGCGTCGTCAATTGCGCGAAGATGTACTTCTCGACTTCGCAGCATTTGACAGCAGTCTCGCGCGCATTCAATTTCTTCGCAATAGTAATGAACGCGAACGCGAGAGGTATAAGGCCGACAAGGAACATATTTTGGAGACAGCACAAGCGGTGAGAGATAGTACCGCTCAATTGAGAATTCAATTGGAAGAGGCGAAGACTACATTGGAACAGAGACAGAAATTCGACGAGTTGGCCGAGAAGATCACGAATAATATGTTATTGCGACCACGAAAGGATCAAGAAATTAATTTGAGGAAATTGGAAGACGAGTGCAAGGAGTTAGAAAGAGAAAGCAGAACATATGGTGAAACATGGAAAGAGAGGAGAGAACAATTTGGTAGAATTGTTGAGGAGGGAATGCAATTGAGAAGGTTGATTAGAGATGAGAAAGAAGAGGTCGAAAGACGAGAAGGTATGGACGGAGGGGAGGAAGATGGTGAGGTTGGAGATGGTGATGGGCCGACTCCCCAAAGACGAAATAGTACAAGTGATGACACAACACCAAGACAAGGAAGCCCAGAGAAAGATACACTGAAACCCAAACCTATGCCTTCTGGATCAATATCAAGATCCGGTTCAAGGCCCGGATCAAGGTCTGGCTCAAGATCCGGCTCAAGAGGTAGATCAACAAGTCGAATAGCATCTCCAACACGATCAGAACGGGCTAGAAGTCGAAAGCGTAGAGGGGAAGAGGGAGAAGGGGAAGATTTTGCAATGACAGATGCAAGTACTAAACAAGTGGACATGGAACATTCAGCCGACACCCCTATGGCGGATGGGATGAATTCAACGCAAGAAGGAACACCAAGAGTCACGATTAACGAACCAGAAGAAGGATCAATAGACGAGGGAGAAGTTGGTGACAAGATGGATACCACTTAGGTACTTTTAATCAATAATACTTTCAATACTATGTATAATAGAATGTACCATACCGGATCAGAACAATGCCCTCAACGGATTTGTATTATCTTACGCTGTAAACTGTGCATTTCATCATAACCCTCGTCCTCAGACATCATTCATAAATGCTTCGCAAAATCGGGTATATTCATCGTGAATCATGATTTCGTCATCCACAATCCTTAGTTTCCAGAAGCAATAGCCTTCTTCGCTTGATCGATAACATCATTTGCCTTTTCCTCTTCTGCCTCATCACCACCTTTTTGAACCAAGTCCTCCAACTTGAGTATAGCGTCTGCGAGTCGTTCACGAAGTGGTGGGAAGACTGCTTTGGTTTCTTCGATTGCGGCGCGCTATTTGATTATTAGTTCTTGATTCCCAAGTTGTGAAGGCATAAGAGCGCAAGAAAATAAGGTACTAACCTCCTGCTTCAAAGAATACTCTCTATTCTCATCCTCCTCAGTAGCATCCTCTAATTTCTTTAATCGTGCCTGTTGAGACACCAACTCTTTATGATACGAAGCTTCTTCCTTTACAAGACGAGCAACAGATGATGTAGCTATAGCGAGTTGAGATGGAGGTGCCATTTTGAGTGATTTTCTGGAATTTTCGAAAAAGAGAATCGTGTATGTTTGTTAAAGTTACGAGACTTTGAGGGGCTGAATTTTGAGGATAATGATACTGTCCAGGAGGGGTGCTTGACCGCTTTTTTGGCAGAACGATGTCGTCGCGAGATCAGATGATTTGCTTTAAATTCTTCACACCAAAAGTAACAACTACTTATCCATGGTAGTGCACAGGATGTGTCTAGAACTGTTGTGGGAAGCATTGATTTGGTATTTATTTAATTTCGCGTCGATAGGTAAGATCTCTATTTCATACAATTGTCGATGTGAAGAAGATTGGATTGAGAAATGAGTATCTTCACCGGGTCATTATTTATATATCTGCTCCTCGCCATTTTTTTATAGAGGCGTTGAGCAAGAAACAAACTTTTTCTTTCACGATAGTTAGTTCTAGCCACCAGTTTCTAGCCACCAAACTCTAGCCACCAAACTCTAGCCACCAAGTTCTAGCCACCAAGACTACGATACGTAGGTACCTACCTAGGTAGGCATTGTTAACTTCAAGGAGCCAGTGCTCACAATTGTTGGTCATGAGAGGTGTCAAGATGATAGGAAATCATCAGCCGAGTCTTTCTATCGGACCGATCAGGTGACCATTGAGAAAGTACTCTGGTATAGAATGTCTTCATTCCTCTCGTCGTACCTTGATACTTTTCTGCCAGCTCTTGTCATCTAGAACAATTAGAATAGGCTGTTTAGGGTTACAAGTATGTTGAGCATGAGCCTGTAGTCACGCATATTCCTTAATGTTACATAAAGTGATAGATCATAGTCAGATCCATCAAATTTCATTTCTTCAAAGCTATAATCTTCGTATGACATTATAATAACTAATTCCCGGTGCACGACATGTCACTTTAACATCGGAATTATAAAGTACGCACTGCGTAACCTGTTTGTCCGCTTGATGTCAAATTTCTCGCATAGAGTACGACATTATATGTCTCAATATAGGGAGACTTTAAGTTGAGTCGGGACGAGGACGATGAATCAGTTACTTCAAAAGCCAATTGTTTGGTAATGACGAATCTGGAATGACTGCTTTTGGCAGGTTTCTGCAATGAGAGGAAGGAAACAATCTTAGATGACACAGTGATCCCTTGCTCTTGTCTTGTGTCGTGGTTCGCTCCAAGAGGAAGGGGATCGAAAGGCCCTACAAACTAGTTGCAATCGCTTGAAGTTTTTGCGGGGTGCGGACTCCTGGTATAACTTCATTCTCCGCAAAGTCTCATAAGTTATAAAACATATTGACGTTATTCACTGGTACAATATGTGATCATTCACAACGAGCGCCAATAAATTTTGGTCATACATAGATCAACGAACCCATCTGTCGTAATTTATACAGCATAGGCTCATTACCTCGCTGAAATATGACTCTGGCTACAAATACGTTTATTCTCATAGTCCCTGGTGTCTTTTGGCTTTTCCCGCATCCATATTCCTTTCCAACATCAAAATGATTCTTCACTCTACTCTTATCAGTGCCTTGATTGCAATATCATTCTTACCATGGTTATCCTTTTCCGCACCAACAGTGAGCCGAGCTGCATCTCCTAAATATGTATTTGCTCATTTCATGGTAAGTTAGCCTTGTCGATAGTCTTTTGATACTCATATTAACCAGTTTCTTGACAGGTCGGGATTGTCGAGAATTATAAACTATCGGACTGGAAGATGGATATGGCATATGCACAAGAGATCGGTATTGACGCATTCGCTTTGAACTGCGCAAGTATCGATAGCTATACTCCCACACAACTTGCTCTTGCATATCAAGCAGCTGAAGAAACCGGATTTCATGTTTTTATATCATTCGACTTTGCATATTGGAACAACGGAAACACCAACAACATCACAGATTATATGAATAAATATGCATCTCATCCTGGCCAAATGCAATATAATGGAGGAGCTGTTGTTAGTACCTTCGTGGGAGATTCTTTTGATTGGGCACCTGTCAAAGCTGGAACAAATCACTCAATTTTTGCCATTCCTATGATGCAAGATCCCATTGAAGCAAGTTATCTCTCCACATCATTTGATGGTGCTTTTTCTTGGTTAGCGTGGCCTACAGATGGTGGGAATAGCATTATCCCAGGTCCAATGTCAACTTCATGGGATGATAAATTCCTTACATATCTCAAAGGAAAGCCATATATGGCTCGTAAGTAACCCATGATTTTGGATGTAGGAATTATCGTTAACTTTCATTTAGCTGTTTCTTCATGGTTCTCGACACATTTTAACTCTAAGAACTGGGTATTCATAAGCGAAGAACTCATTACCGACCGATGGAATCAAATGTTGGCTATGAAGCCCGCACTCATTGAGATTATATCTTGGAATGGTAAGTATAATATTTCATAAAAGCAAAATTAAGCTCACGAATATTCTAGATTTCGGCGAGTCTCACTACATCTCTCCAGCGGAGCCAAATCATAAGGATGATGGTTCATCACAGTGGGCTGACGGCTTTCCTCACGATGGTTGGCGTATAATTTCGAAACCATATATTGCTGCTTATAAAGCCGGAGTAAGTACACCAACTGTCACAGAAGATCAGCTTGTATATTGGTATCGACCAACTCCCAAAGGCATTACTTGCACGAATGATACTCTTGGACCTCCAAATGGACGTGAAATGCTCGCCGATGATATATTCGTCACCACTCTTCTTACAAAATCAGCAACTCTAATTGTTACTAGTGGAGATAAGACTCCTGTATCAATTAACGTACCTGCTGGTATCGTCACCACCAATTTCACCATGGGCGTAGGGAACCAGTATTTCATGGTTACTAGAGAAGGCAGTCCCGTTTTGAATGGTTATGGTGGTTTGAATATAGCCGACAAGTGCGAGAAGTACAACTTCAATGCTTATGTGGGATCTTTGAATGGTACTAGTAACGATGGTCCACCACCACCAACTACAACAACGTCAACGAGCACTTTAATAACCACGACTTCTACCTCTACCTCTACCTCTACATCGTCAACATCTAGTCCCATCACCACAACAAATACCACAAGTACTCCCGCAACTTCAACTACATCTTCGTCTTCTAGCACTACAACATCGACTAGCATGACCACATCTACCACATCTACCACATCCATGATTCCCACTACGACCACAACTTCTTCCTCTACTTCCAGTTCCTCAACATCTACCGCCCCTTCAACACCTTCTCCCTCTACAGTCTGTACCTCAGGCTGGGGTCCAGGAAATTATATCGGTCTCTGTCAATTTACCTGCAACTTCGGCTATTGTCCTCCGGGTCCTTGTACATGTTTATCATATGGCGCTCAAATTCCTGAGCCGCCAATCACAAATCAAGCAGGGTATCCTTTACCAGGAGAAGATGATAGTTATTTGGGATTGTGTAGTTATAGTTGCAATCATGGATACTGTCCACCTACTGCTTGTCGATTGGGTTAGGTTTAGTTTGGTTTGGTGAAAGGTGAAAGGAAGAGAGGATGTGTGAATATGGTTATGACTTCATTTGATATGAAGCAGTGGTAGAAATTTTGCGGTATTGATGTTTGAATATTTTATGCTTCTTTGAATATACGTTTAACAAGATCTTTTTTTGCAGTTCATAGAATGATTTATTGGTATCTGAAATGCAATGGGATGATAGAATCAGATAGATAGATATGATGAAGATCTATAGATACATCTGATATCCTCATTAAATAACAAAGAATCTAGATTGTATGAATATCTAATTATGAGGTGTTGGCTGGTGGGCACAACTTTATCAAACAGTTGGTTGGATCGGACGTTTGTAGCCAACCATTTCGCCAAAAGAAAAACCTAGCAAGTAAAAAGTAGTTTTAATGATTTCAATTTCTCAGAAAAACCAAAAGAGAATGTATCCGAGCCGAACCAGCACCATGTCCGTCTTACTTTTTGAAATTTCGAGGTGAATTGCATACACTTGCAGCCGAAAGACGATCTACCTACGCCTCTTCGCCGCATAACCACGACCTCAAAACATTTTTGGAGGTATAAATTTTCTTCTTTTCTCAACATTGGTGATGAAATCTTCTCAACAATACATAGCCTCCAAAAACAGATCGATATGTTCGCCGAGATCGTTAGCGGTTTGGCTCTGGGTTATCTGCTATGAAGTATCATTGCCATGGAAATCAACCATCTCCGTGCATCAAAGATGAGAATTCCTCTTATTCGGCTCCCAGTGGACCCAATGAATATGGTCTGGTTGATTTTGGAACCATTTTTCTGGAGAGTTTTGGATCAATTACCTATAAACTTTGGCAATTTTGGTCATTATTCACGTCGAGGCTGGCATTTTCATGACAAAGCAACATCGCATTTGAAATATGGCCCAATATATGGACTAGTCACTCCTTGTGATATCTACGTTTATGTTGCAGATCCTGATGCTATTCATGAGATATTTACTCGGCGCGGAGATTTCTTCGTCCTTCTAAGATGTACAGTAAGTTATCAGTCAGCAGGTTTGTTGATCCATAGAAAGCTAATTCCTGTTAGCTCTTCTCGAGGTCTACGGTCCTTGTATATCTACAGCAAACTGGACTAATTAGCCTCGACACAGAAAAGTTTTGGCTGCACCCTTCAACGAAAATATTATGAAGTTCGTTTGGCGGGAGTCACTCACGCAGGCAAATGAAATACTGGAGACATGGAATCAGCGATCCGTATCTCAGAAATTTCCACCGCTAAAGATACGCGCAAACTTTCATTAAATGTTCTCGCTACAACTGGGTTTCGGAAATCATATCAGTTTCGTAGCTCTGCCCAAGCTGGAACAGATGAAGCTAGTAGCTATCGTGATGCGTTGCAAACTGTGCCGGACAATGTAATATTGATCATGTTTATCCCTTTCCGATATTTGTGTCTACCCTTAATGCCGAAATCTTGGAGGCTAGTGGGTAAGGCTGCTACTGATTTCAAAGTATACATGGAAAATATGCTGGATGAAGAGTCTACCTTACTCAAAGAAGGTAAAGTCGGCAGTGGAACTTTAATGACTTCTTTTGGAAAAGCTTTGGGAGTACATCAGAAAGAGGACATGGTTCCATCCCAACAAACAGCACAATCTCCTTTCAAGGGCCTTACAGTCGAAGAAATTTTTGGCAATATTTTTGTTATAAAGTTCGCCGGGCACGATACCACAGCAAATACACTAGCTTTCAGCATGATCCTCCTTGCAGCTCATCCAGAAGTTCAAGATTGGGTTGCGGAGGAATTACAAGAAGTCATCAAAGACGCTGCCGACGAATTATTGGAATACGAGAAGGTGTTTGAGAAGCTTAACAGGTGTAGAGCTGTACTGGTACTTGACTCGACCCATTCAAGAGTTTCCACTTCTATATTCTCATCTATTCTAATGAATCCGATATAGCTCGAAACTCTTCGACAATTTCCGCCCATCATGGCACTGCCAAAGTGGAGCAATGAAATTCCGCAAACGCTACAGATACAAGGGAAGACTATCGTCATACCACCCCATACAGGAGTAATGCCTAGTATACTAGGAATTCAAATGCATCCAAACTACTGGAAAGATCCATCACTTTGGAACCCTTCTCGCTGGATTGAATCTACGCCAGATCCGACTTCTCAAACTAACATATTGATCACAGAGAAAGTTATTACTCCTGCCATTAGTACATTTTTCCCTTGGTCTGATGGACCACAGAATTTTCCTGGTCAAAAGTTCTCTCAGGTCGAATTTGTCGCAGTTTTGACAATCTTGTTACGACATCATCGAGTGAGTATCGTTCAAACGTCAATGAACCCCCAGAAAAGGCAAAAGAGAGAGCCTTGGCTGTCACTGAAGACTGTGACATGGAATTGCTTCTGAAAATGCGAGACGCTGACCAAGTAAAATTGACTTGGAAGAAGGTTTAAGGAGGGATATGGTTATTAGCGTGGAGCGCACAGCTCAGGGCCTGATTTGGGGGGTTTCTTCGTGTATTTGTCGAATGACAGACTCAACATATCTCGAGATTTTTCATTAGTAGTCAGTTTCAAAGCAAACTTCACTATGTCAGTCTGCGGCCACTGAGATTGATCAGACACGTGTTGTGTGAGTTTATCTCACACTGATATCTAAGAAAGGAGAGAAAACGGCACAGATTTCTATAGATCCACGGGAATAACTATGAATAGTGCAAGGAATTTGTGAGTAAAAAGAAGGGTAACAACATGGTTACCCGAGCAATATCAAATGTGAACTTAGGCAGAAATCAGGCAAAAATCTATAGTAGGGCCGCACAATATTAATATATTATTTCAACTTTGAATATTTGTCTCCTCAACCGCCCACATAACAAATTCATCAACCTCAACGATGAATCCCAATTCGAGAGGCAACTACCCACCTGGGTATGGATCTCTGAATCTAAATTCCTACGCAAACCAAAACGCACCAGTATATGACTACTCATCCGGTCAATACTATTACCTGCAACCACAACCTTGGCCCACTCCAAATCCTAATGGAGGATGGCAGCCTCAAGGCTATCAACAACCTCATAGCACACCATATTCCAATGGAGCATAGCAGCCACAAGTTCCCGGACCGCTAAATTGCGTCCAGCACGAAAAGTTGTACTTCAGTGCAGCAATTGCTCTCGCATAGGTCATGAGCTGAAGAGATGTGTTGGCCCAGTTAATGCATTCGGTGTTATCGACGGGTGTCTAATGTGCAACAAAAAGGACCACGTTCTTTTTGAATGTGTCAAAGCCTGGAAATCCGAGGGTAATCAACGCCACTTGTTGATGCTCGGTCGAAATCAGAAAGCTATGATATCATGGCCAACTGAATTGACTGAACATCCAGTTGGGCAAGCCCTATCCGCCAGAACCAGACCAAAAATCTGGACGCCATCTTTCGCACTGCAGTACCAATTAGAAAATCAACATCATTGGAGAGACTATATTTACGCACGAACATGGCAGAGAGATCTACCACTTGCACAAGGTCCAGCCTGGGATAATCCTTCTTTCGTGATTTATCTCAAAGATAGATTGGAGAGAGGATTGACCCGTAATGCAAGTGGTCTCGGTCGTCGACCACAATCAGAACTTCCTCCGCCATCAGCACAATATTTTCCTCCTCCGATGATGCCGCAACTTCCATCATACGTATCATTTCCGCCACCATCACCACTTCATCCACCACCACCGCCGTCGCAACCGCCAAGATCAGCACCCGACTCATCACCTGATACATTTACTCTCGCAGGACTTGAGGGCTTTACAAAATCGCTCAGAATTTGATGAATCTTGCTCCCGCTGGTGTTAATAACGACCGTGATCGGAAGAAGTTAGCCATCAAGGCTGCATCTAACGCCAAATTCAAGGATCGAAGTCAAAGCCCCAAAGTTCAGACTGAGACTAAAACTCACTGTGAAAGATCGCCCCTTCTCACACCCCATATAAAGTTGGAAGATCCCACGTCTTAGCCTGAATTTAAAACTAGTTGGGTGAAGGCTAATAGTGGTCCCCAGTTACCTCCTCCTGCCGAAAAGGGTCGCCGATCTTCTCTCTTTTTTTCTCTGTTCTTCTTCCTCAATCTTTTCTTCCACTTTTAGTGTAATCTCTGAACCTTTATGTTCATTACTGGACCTTTGTGTTCACATGGCCTTTCGTGGGGTTCATCATGCCTTTCGGGGGCTCAAAGAGTCTTGTTATTCTCTTCCGCCTTTAATAGGGCTTGGTCTTCTTAGTAGAGCCAATCTTATACCATGTAGTTTAAGACAAATGCATCATTTTGCAGCCCAAACTTTTTCCATGCATAAGTGATTCTTCTAGAGGGAAGGAAGGGGAGAGCATTTGATATCGAATGAACTAACAAACTAACAAATTGATAAAATTTCCGAAGTATACATTGAATGATATAGCCTGACAGGTGGGACAGCATTCATTTTTTGGCAGAAAAATTAAGCGACACAAAACGGTATGAAGTACAGTTTTTGACAGCCACTTGACTGGTATGTAGATCTCCAAATCTCTGCTTAAACACTCCTTGCTGGTATCAAAATAGGAGAGGTAAAAGAAGATGGCAATAGGAGTACAAGAAGTTCTCTATACAGTGCGCACTCTTCGGAATTATATTTCAGAATTTGGAATGGCCAATTTGTATTGCTTTGTTGAACTGCCACTTGTGCTTCCTGGATAAATATTTCTTGAAATCAACCATATCAATGAACACAATCCAACACATATGATTTGCTGAATAGATCGTTTTGTGAGTGATAGATGGTGAAGTCTAATATGTATGGTTGATTGATGAATGAAGTGAAGTTAGAGTTTGATGCAAAATTTCCGGCTAGTGATATGTGCCTAGGATGTGCCTGAGAATTTACAACGGCCGCTAATTTGATCGCTAATTATTAGTAAGGATCGAGATTGACTGCCGGCATTGCTAATTGCACCTGTCCTCCTTCATATGTAACAAACAAACTTTGATTTTTGAATTGCCTACCTAGATAGACGTTGATCAACTACATAATCTAAAGTAATGTGGATATATGAGACTTTGGAATCAATTTCACAACTTTCAATTTATGAATGAAGCCCTCAATAGTCTAATTCGAACTCTTATGTCCCCGAGTTTCACAAGATAGTGGCCAGAATCCTCCCATTGGTGGATGATGAGCATCATGATTAGAAACGTACTTATTTAGAACTTCTGATTTTCCCATCATTGATATTTGACCTGAGCGTAGCCATCGATCACGCTTGAGTATTGACCGTTGTGCTCTCAACTATCTTTCGAATCAATATTAAGGTAACGTGGTTTATCATCGAGTGGCCCATATCATCGAGTAGCCCACTTGCACCTTAATTTACACTTTCAAACCCATATTATTCAATAACAATTGAATTAATTGATTGAAATTATTAGTAATCTAATAATCTAGGATCTATTATATTATTTTAATAAATTCTTATATTATATTCTATCTTTTTGTATTTATTATAATATTAATTAGAAAATGCTTTCCTATTAGAATTCTTTTCTTTTTAATATTTATTATATTGAATCTAAATATCAATTTTTTATTGAAATAATATATTAAGAATCTTTTATTTAATAAATTTTTTTTTTAATATAATTAGATTTTTTTTTATATATTGATATTTATTTAATACTTTATTTATTATTCGAAATATATAAATCTTTACATTTAAAAATGCATTTTTATAAATTAATCTTTTTATATTCTTGATTAAAATTAATACAATTTCGAATATAGATATAAAGGAGTTTATTTAATAATAAATTATTCGAGATTTAATTAATATTAATTAAAAAAAAGTTTTAATTGGATTATAAAAGATTTGAGAGATTTATTGATTTAGATTAAAAAAGGGAGAGGTAAATATATAAATTCGAATATTTAATTTTGAAAATATAGTTTTAGAATTAAATAGAATTAAATCTATTTTTTGAAATCCTGATTTTATATTTTAAAAAATAATTGATTTTTTATATATAATTTTAAAAGCTATAAAGAATTTAATTCTCGAAATATAATTAATATATGCTTTGATAAATCTATTAATTTAATTATTATATAAACATTTTAGATTATTAAAATAATCAATATTAAATAATTAAATTAAATAATTTGAATATAGTAATAAATATAAATATATAATATTGTTTTTTTTATAATATACTTAAAAAGTTATTGATTTGTAGTTTTTATATTCATTTAATATTAATATTTGATATTTGCTTTTTTTTCGATTTTTAATATATTTATTAAAATATTTTAATTATTCTAAATTCATTTTATTATTCGTTTATTTATTAAATATAGATTTAATAGCTTATTCTATAGAAAGATTTGTTTCAATATATTAATTAAAGAAATGAATTTATTTTTAAATTATTAGAAATAAAGAAATAATTTTATCCTTTTTATTTCTATATATTATTATAATCCATTCTCAATTATTTAATTATATTAAATTATTTTATTATTTTATTTAATATTAATTATTATTATTATATATATAATCTTTATATAATCTATTTTTAAAATTCTAGAAATTTTTTCAAAATACTACTTTTCGCTAAGATTTGCATTATTGAAAATTTTCAAAAAGTTTAGAATCGTTATAGAAAGCTTTTGAAATTAAAATATATTAAATCATTCAATTAATACTTATAAATTATAGTTCAAAACTGTCCCATATTGTTATATTCTTTAATTTAGAATATTATTTATTATATCTTTTATATTCTTAATTTAAATAGAAATCTTTTAAAGCTAATTAAACTAGATATTAAATACTTAGCTTTGTTTGTAATTCTCAATCTTTATAAAATTTATTCGAATTTCTATATAAAAATAAATCTTTATTTTTATATCAAAAAGTTATATAAAAAATATTATAAAATATACTAATTTTTTGAATTTTTTATTTTTTTATTTTTATAAATAGTTTTAATAATAAAAAGTATATAAGCTTTTGATTATTCGAATTTATTATAGATTATTAATAAAACATATATTAAAAGAAATAGATATAAATTGAGGTGAAAATAGGCTATTCAATGATATGGGCTACTCGATGATAAACCACGTTATAAAAATGTGATGTTAGCGAAGTGGAATGCTTGACCCTGTTGATTTTGACATAGTGCTAACTATTTTACAATCCAGGAGAATAAGAACCTACTGCAAACCACATTATAAAATAGCTGCATAGCAATTGTCTCTCGTCTCTTGCCAGAAGTTCGCAGCTGGCTATACTGCAGATAGCATGAAACGAGCCCTTAATATGATAAAATGACCATTTGTAGGCTATAATCTATTCATAGAAACCAGGTTCAGCTAAGACAAGCTCATGCAGTTCGCGTGTTAACGGCGATTGCGGGAGGTACTGATCGGAAATGGGTCTGGCGTGCCTTAATCATAGCCACTGAGACTTTCTTTGATCTTAAGACGCAAAACCCCTGTTGACATGTATTTCGATTTGCCTAGAAAGACATTGATAGGTTTTAGCTAGCCATGAGAGAGGTAGTTCAGGAATGAGCTCTATCTCTGAAATCACAACAAGTAAACTCTGGTAAATACTGCACGCCGCGTTTGCTATAAGACCGTGGCGTATAACTGACTGCCCGCATTTTGCATCTTGTTGATCAATCATAATCCTTGATTCATCGACAGCCAATCACAGCAGATTGCCAATGACAAGCCCAATATGCCTATTGGCAGGTTTAACCCTCTAGTGTGCACTCTCTGTAGCCGGCCAAAACCTGCAATTGATTTATCTGTCGTAAATCCGGTAGCTAAAACTGAACTGGGAGCATAGAAATCTCATTTCATATCTGTTTCTTAAGCCCCATGAATATGTCGACTCAACGGGTATTGATAACGAGGAGACGAATTTACGATTCCTATGACCGATCTAACTAGTCTTGCGATAAGTTCAATCACTTCATCCACGTGAAATCGCAATCGAGCATATGAATTCTGAAGGTCCCATCGCCTGGAAAAATAATCAGGAATCATTTTACTACCGACTTTAAAACATTAGATCTAATATACGACACCGAACTTATCTTTATGCTACCTTTGGACTTCGACTGAACAGACATCGTATCAACTTGCCAAATGGTTCAGCTAATCGTCACAGGACCTATGCCAGAGCGGATCGAGCGTGCGAGAGCTCTTCAGCGCAAACTTTTGGAGCTCATCTGTAAGTAAATCCGTTTGTAATATTCAAACATATCGCGACCCATACTAATACTAACCCTAAATGTAGTAGCTGCGAGGACAGGCTTACTTGAACTTATTCCAACACCTCGAGAGTCAAGTATTAGTTTTAAGTGGAGATTTACGAGTCCTGAATATGATGGATTTCCTAGTGAATCGGACGAAATAAATGAATTCCATCCGCTGCCGCAAAAAATGACCATCAAATGGTCGTTGGAAGATATCTATAAGTGCAACAAGGCGATTGATGGAGGCTTCATTAGTATAACAGCATCATCACAATCTCACAGATGGACAAGACAAGATATTCAGGAGCATATGAAATGTCGTTTGCATGATTTCATAGGTAAGCGTACCAGATTCTCTAACAGATCAGCTGAGTGACTGAAGTTTCTAGAGTCTTCACTCGGGCCTCTTAAATCTTGATCACATTGGATTAGTCCTATCTCGAATAATGAACGGTTCAATTTCTACCGATGGCAGTTCAGCGAGACGTTTTCCGGGTTTCGGAAGAGGCCTTTCTCTCTATGGCGTTCGGCAAATTACTTCGAGCTTAACAATGCTTTAGACACTGGGGCCTTGACAGTTGTTCCAATTCGTGAATACGAAGCTAGCCAGAACAAAATCTCAGCGAAGGCTTGCAAGCCAAAAGCGCAGGTATCGATCAGCGAAATGCCACTTTCAGCAATTATACCCTTCCATGAGAATGAGGTGGAGATACTAGCAAGCGAAGAGGCTCAATGTAACAAAGCGCCGGCAAGCGTCATATCAGGCAGGTTTGATGAGGGACACGGCACCTCGGATCTCAAACTACTATGTGACTAAGCATGGAGCCACTTAGAGAATCAGTATACAACGAACGACTGCAAGAAAAACTATACTAAAGCCACACTCAATATAGGCTTAACTTTTGCAATCCAGCTGAAAGAGCAGATTCAACGTGTCAACACGCTTGAGAAGGAGAATGATATATTGAAAGTACAAGTTTTACAGCTAGAACACGATCAAGCAATGCTGCAACAAGAGATCTCAAATACGCGGGAGAAGGATGAGAAAGATGTTTCAGCCGCAAGATTAGAGGGGGAGAAAATTGCGGAAGAGAACATATTGAGGCTTTGGAATTCGGCAAAAGAGAGGCGTAGAGTAATTTGAGTCTGTGCTATGGAGAAAATATTTCAAAGACAGGGAATTTCGTCAGGTATTACAAGTGACGCTCGCAATGATCTATCGACTCCTTCTTTAGTAAAAGCAAACTTCAATATTGGGGAAAGGAAGGACTCAAAATATGCCCTAATAAGGGTAAGAATATATTACCTTACCTTGCTAGCACGTACTAATTGAACTCCTTAGAGTCCTCCAATATGCGCAGACGAAAGTCGCAGCCATCTATCCAAAGCAGGCGCTCTCAATTCACCTCCAGCTACCAACCCGACGGATTCAGCAGATAATGCCATGAATTCTTGCGATGATCTTCTTCCTACCATTGCAACTTTTGATTCCCAGGAATCTTGCGAAGGAACTGCCACTACCAATGCTTCGGTACAGATTCCGCCTGCTAAAAACGTATTCCACGAGTCCTTTCTTAATAGGATCTTTGGACCTATAAATCGCAGTCTCAATATAGTTTCGCCATCGCATATTCTAAACCCCGTTAGATGGACGAGACTCTTCACCATAAATCTGGACACTCAACCATATATATTCCCTTCATCAACCCCTATATAAACTTACGGGCAAATTGTACATTTTGTCTCCCAAGCTACAGCAAAATCACCTCGAGCGACACAAGGAACCACTTATCCTACTCTTTTGCGACTTTCGCAAGACACAGACGAGTACCATTACATTGGTCATTTTGTTGTAAGCAGTGTGGTCACAACAACAGACTTCAATCAAGTCTTGAAAAATTTGCCTGATCTCTCGCCAGATGATACGCAGACCAAACAAAAATTGCTCAAGGAAAGAGATTGGGCTCTGGGCTCTCTTTCAGAATCTGTAAATGACTTGCCGGTTGATATTTATACTTTACAGTATGTTTTCTTTGGCAAAGAACAATACAAGATTCTCGTAGATGCAAAGAATAAGGATGATGCTCTGAAGGCTGCAGATCATACCATCGATTTGTTGATAGAGGCTGATAATCAAACTGATGAATCTTCCACTCCATCTACAACAATGGATAAAGCTAGCCAAACAAGTTTGTTGTCAGAACCGCATAACCATGATATTACCCCTCTGCCTCTAAAGATTCCGACTGCACCTAAGGCAATGCGGAGTGGTCATTCAACTATCGAGGCTCAAACTCTCTCGGGGTCAGTTCAACATGATTCTGTCCGTTCGTCACTTTCTCAAGTCCAAAATCTTCCAACGGAGTGAGCAGCAATGAGAGTTGGTCATCTGTCTAGCGAGAGCGAGACTTTCTCAGAGCCATGTCATCATAATTCCATCCGCTCATCTCTATCTCAAACCATCAAAATACCTAAGGGACCAGCGGCAATGATGAGAGTTTGCCCGTCTGCTTCTGATGAGGAGGCTCCACGACGGTCGAATCCGGCCCGGTCTAGCACTCTTAGCACAAATAGGTCTTTCGTGAATGGAGCAACTACTGAGCCAATTATAGAAGAGAGAAGCTATACGAGTGGTGATAAGGAATTTCCGAAGAATTCAAAACACCATGACACTGTGAGCACACCTCTCGCCCACCTCAATTGTCCTCAAGAAGCAACTGCGACATTGAGTAAAAGGCAAATGCCTGGTGATAAATGTAATAGCTTAGCAAACCCCAATCATCACCACGCCACAGACTCACCACTCCCTTCCCCGAGAAAGAATTACGAAAAATCCATACAGCGGAGAAGAAAACACATTTGAGATGATGAGGACCGAAGTCTAAGGGAACACTCAAGGGACTTTGGCAAAAGTATTAGCTCAGGTCCTGTGCAAAGTAAGAGACCTAGGAACTTATGATTGGGTCGTCGTGTTTGCATTGATGCGTCACGTCATCGATTAGATAAAGCAGTATTTGTATTTGCTGGTGAATTATGTGATAATTTGCGAATTGACAAGGTTGTTTTAGTGTGCGCAAGCGTTTCAGTTAAGGTCCTCCTTAAATACAAAATTTTTGGATATCTGAATGTTCAAAAAGACCTGAATATCTCTCAGACAGTCAGATTGTTCCAAGCGAGTTGAATTTACCGAAATGTTTGAATGTACTGAACGTGTGCTTGAATCAGGGTACTAGACATGGCATTGGCAAATTGAGTAATGGAAACTTTTAGTAAATTGAGCGTCAGATATTATTTTATCATGTCAAAAGGTTCACGGTTCACCCAAAGTTCTGATATGTCTCTCAAGTTTGTGTGCCTCATGATAGGAGGTTGTGCCTACACGTGATGTGAACTATTTAATCAAGCACGGGGATATGCTAAACGGTTCAAGTACCAGTAATTTAGGCCAAAGAGGCATTCAAATAGGATTATTGTCTTTTTTTTTATCATAAATACATGTTGGTCATTTCAATCCGTAAACTATATTGTGATGGATAGAGATTATGGCGAATAAATCTTCGTCCCACTAACCATCGGTACAATGACATTCGCCACATCTGTTGGATCTCGCCATGCTGACCAGTCATGGGTAAGTAAGCCTATAACAAATTCATTAGTCTCAGGATTCGTAATGCTTGACCCTCCTCTATGACCATCTGTAATGAAAAACGCAGAAAGACTTACCCCATGTCTCTTCAAAATCTTGAGTTCCAGATCTAATGTAATAGCTTCCACTCAAGACCCAAACCATCCAGCCACCCTTAATAGAAGTTAGATATGTCTTCAAACATGTTGAATAGACTGTTGCATAATCCGCCGCTGTCTGGGCATGACCCCACTCCGTCATCACCACTGGCATTTGATTCGTGACTCCACTGTTTAGAGCATTATATCCTTGAGACTTTAGACTGCTTTGCAAACTGGAGCAGCTGGTAGTACTGCTTGCGTAATTGTGAAGTTCCAAAACCAACTTGTTAGCATACGAGAAAGATGATTTGAGGAACTTTTGTGTGGTGGAGGGTGTGAGGAGACCGGCGTTTGGGATGGTTGATAGATCGGTATCGAAGTTAAGACCGGAGATGAAGATCAAGACGTTGGGATTAGCGGCATGGATACTGTTCATGCCGGCTACAACGTTGGTGTACCAATTTGCCCAATTGTATGAGGACGAGTCGAGAGAAGCGTTGGAAGTTGGTTCTCTGAGTTCGTTACGAAGTGCCATGGACATCAAGTTACCCCAGGATGCACCCTAGTTCATGTCAGACTTTTTAGTGGACGGAGCTTGGGAGAGAAACAACTTACCCGAGTAGCCATGTATGCAATACCTCGTTGCCAATTTGCAACATTGAAATAAGTATCTCCAAACCAAGAGTTTCCATCAGTGTTAGAGCAGCACCAAATAGCCTTCGAGACATGATTATCAAGATGCACATAAATCTGCTGCTTGAAGCACTCCGCAGCAATAGCATCAAAGACCTTTGAGTTGAAAATCAGGTCAACAACATCTTCAAAATTACAGGAACTGGAATATTCATACCTGCATCCTAGTTGTCTTACTTGTAAAAGTAGGATTATTCTTAATAACCTGATTGAACACAGCTGTACCGTTAGTTGTTCCCAATGCCTTCGTGAAACTTGTCAAAATCGACGTATCCACCTGACCATTGGCATAAAAATCATCAATCATTTCGATAGCATATGTGAGACGAATGACATTCATGCCTAGACTTTTGATCTTTGTCACGATACTGGCAATCGATTGATACTGAAGACCTTCAGGTATCATGGTGTCTGCAGCACCAGGCCAATTGGCACCAGCGTAAGACACATTGTGTCCGGCTGAATCAAGAATCCATCGACCTGATGTGGTAAACGGGGCGTAAGGCCAAGAGGCTCGTTCTTCAATTGGAGACGCGGTAATGGATAATAGGAGAGGGGAGATAAGAAGGAGGATCTTTGAGAAGTACATGATGGGCAGAATAGAAGAGTCGTATTCTGTGACTGCTCAGGAAATCCCTCATCTTGTTCGGGCAGGACATCATGTTATAGAGATTTTGGCTCAAGTACTACGAATGCAACAAGGTGGAGTCCGTATCAATTGAGCCATAATACATGTAAACAAGTTTATCTTCTCTTTCCAAGAACAAGACTTCCCGTGCAATGAGCCATAAAAGTTACCTTTCATTTTTGCTGCTGACCTATAATGATTGGAGCGCATGCTTTACTTCATTTGACTCCACTTGTTCAAAAAGTCCAAAGTATATCCGCCGGCCCCCTTCGGCACATATCAAAATTATGCTCATCACAAGATCAATACACTCAGTCAGGTCCATATACAGATCGACGTCATGAGTTGGTAATGTATGCATGCAGTTTAAAGCAGATACGATGGATCCAATACAACATTGAAAACGAATCTTTACCTCGGGGGATTCGGGGAGACCATAATATAGAAGTTCGGCAGCTAATCAATGTGGGGTAGCGCCGGCTGATCTTCCTCGTGTTGCCTTGGATGAAGATTCAACAGTGGTGGAAAATTAGGGTTTGTGGGGAATTGGCGGGGTATGATTGGTACAATTTTATGCAAAACTACGCAACTAAATGTTTTCTAATCATGATCTAACTGTTTGATCCACCCAAAAGAAAACATCAAAAGGCCAAGATCCACCACTTGATATCTATTAGACCTTATCCTTCTTCCATAAATAGAGTAAACAAAACGCACATGCCAAAAGCATGGTCTAGTGACAGTGCCAAAATAGTATCCGAGCGTCATATTAATTACAACTTCCTCTTTCAAATATTCCCAAGTACTTCACTCCACTATTTAGGTCCAGAAGTTTCATATCTATATCCTGATACTGAAAGGACCGTTCCTAGTCCTCGATGAACTTCGGCTTGGAATGGTCCAAATGGAACTCGCTCTCCATCTATTGATATGTAACCATCTGACTGGTTCTTTGGAGTGATGCGGTATGCTTCGACTTTGCGATAATTGACATATGGTAGGCCGAAAAATTTCCCATTCTCGACAGCCGGCATAAGTTGAAGTGCTTGAAGTCGACTGAGATTTGAATAATCAATGGTTACCATATCCATACAACCATCATTTGGAAGTGCAGCTGGAAAGTAATCTACATCTGCTCCCATCCAAGACATCTAAAAAGCATTAATCAGCTCAATTCCATAGTTACGGTACTTTTATCACGGAAAATACTCACATTGCCACAGTAGAAACTTCCCAAATTATCATGTTGCTCAACTTCCCACCCTTGAGGTAATGGGTCGCTAGAATTGCCATATTTCAACTCGGGTAAACCGCCTTCCAAAGAACTCTTTTCACGTAATGATTCTTCAGAAGTGCTTCGAATTTCCATAGCTTCACGATAACGTCGCTTGATATCTTCTTTATCGTCCGTAACCACCTTCACCGCGATGTCACACGGGAAGATTTTCTTTTGGAGAGACTTCATGACAAAACCATAGACGAATCGAGTTCCTCCCATCCATCGCAAATGCTCTGTTCCCAGGTCAAACTCAGCCACGATACCAAGTGCTTGCGAGAGAAAGGATAGATGTCTCTCTTCACCCTGTGTGACCGAAATCAAATCCAGAGGAGTACGAACACCTTTAACTATTGAAAGAGCAGCAATACTGGTAGATCTTATATTACCGTGAAGACTACAATGCAATCCATTTCCAGATCCGCAAGGTATGTGCGCGATAGCCAATTTCGAAAGAGCTCTCTTCGCATCTTTACGTTTGCCAAGACCATTGAAAACCTCGAATGGAAGACCATCTCCAGAACAACAGATTATCACATCATAAGCTTCTATGTCGAGTTTTTCCACGATATCAATGGCCTCCCTTGAGGCTTTAGTTGCCGTCACATCGATGGATAGATGAGCAGCATCAAAGATAGGCGTCACGTCTTTTGCATAGATTTTCTCGGATTGTCCCTTTCCACTCTTCGGATTAATTATCACTTTAACTCGTTTCTGTTGCTGGGATTTGCCATATGCGCGATCTTTGAGCCTAGAAACCCATGCTTCCACTCGGTCTCGCTCTTCTTCAATAACATACTTCAGTACAGCTGGTTGAAGAACAGTTTTTGAAATCTCCTTTGCGTAATTTATGATGAGTCCAGTCTCAGTTATTTCAGCCCAAAGGATCTGACGTAAAGGTATTGCCCTTAGAGTTGATGACCCAACAGGTTCTGAGTAGGCAGATGCATCCAGTGTTACGGAACGACGGGCACCGGCTGATTTTGCTCCTTTCTCGGGCTTTTTTGCTGTTTCGGCGCCTGTGTACTCTTCAGTATATTGAAGATACCATACGAAATAGACCTACATACCTTTGATAATCAAGGACTCAGGACTCAAGGACAAAGAGACATCTTTGCTAACAAATAGTGTATTGTCAATATCGAATTGACCAGCACTGCCACTTGAAGCAGTTTGCCCTGATGGAGGAATTGAATTAGAGGATGTAGGAGATGTTGCCATCTCAAATTCTAGTTTCTGAAAGTAGTAGTTGACAAACTATCACGCTGTCCGTAAATGAACGTGATACCGAGGTTCCGAAAATATCCGGTATCAAGTTGTCCAATCCAACGGAAAAACGAGGGCTGGATGAGCTATTAAGGTTGAATCTTTTCGTCTCATAAAATCACAAATAATTCTAGAAAATTAGATGGAAAGACAGAAAGTCAATAAATTTGAGGTGAATAAAACATTTCACCATCCGATCAAGTGAAACCCACGATGCTGGTGCGACGCGCGACCTTCCTCGTCTGCAGCACGAGTTTGATGATTACGAGGTTGTGATTTGCACAGACGCGCCGCAACCCTTGTTCAGGTACAGGGATGAGAAGTACCATCAATATTGTGACTGTATCTTGATTAGATTTGGAAGAGTAAAATTGATCAACATTGACCAACGGTATGAATGTGTGAGTGTGGTGGTCGATGGTAAATATCGTGGAACTACCAATCTTCCTCGCCGTTCACTTCATTGCACGTTCACTCGATAACATTAGAAGGGACGTCTTATAAAATAACGCTGCCCAGAATCGTTTCTGCGACACTTGAAAGATTGAAAACAAATGTGCATATGCACCATTAGTCCATGCTTCCCGAGATCGGAAGAGGCCCAAAAATATGAGAAGATAGATTCGTTGATTTGCGAAAAAGAGAAAGTTGAAAAGTTGAAAAAGCGTTTGCTGTATGTCACGTGATATCGTTCCTCTATGCGGCCGCTCACAGTTTCATGAGGAGAACTTCCTTAATTATCTTCATGCTATTTCCCCAATCGGCTCGCCATCAATTTCACGACTCGTTCCTTTCAAAATTGCTGCCAATTTCAGTTTGTTACACTACCAAAGTCCGAATTGATGACTGCCTCGGGTAATAGTAGCTCGAGAGAGTCATGCATTTCGATTCTGTAGCTCAGAGGGAATAAGAGAGAAACTTTATGCTATGGCTCCCAGGCCATTTTTCGTTTCGCTGCATTAGTTCGATCGTTCTATCGCACCGAGAAGGTGGAAAAAGAGGCTATTGTACTCCAATACCTCCTCAAGCATACCAAGATTGGGCGTTGGAGAGATTGCTCTTGCGCCGTGTATCGTGGAAGAATTTGTGGAGGGAGATCTCACTTCTAGTCCTTTTATGGAGTCCAGGATAGAGCTACAGAGTTTGCAATCTCTCTTGACTCTTAAGTCGGCACAGTCTGCTACTACTTTGATGCCATGCATTTAAATTAGTCTCAGCTCTGGAATAACATGTCACATGGATCAAGTTGCAATTCTCATCCTACTAGCTTGTAGTGATTTTCCGGACTTTAAGGGTGGCGGAATATGATTTATATTCATTCCACGCTACAAATAATTACAATCTAAGAGGAAAACAAACAATAGAAGGGTACTGAGCCCTGTACCTACCCCTAGAGAGGTATAATGGACCTAAAAAGTCCATATGAAGGAAATAAGTAGATCCTTTGAGCCCTGAAAAAGGCATGTGAAACCCCAAGGAAAGTTGAAAGGACATAGAAGTCCATTGAGCGCCAATAAAGGCAATTCAAAAAAAAGCAAGGAAAAGAAAAGAAAAATGGACGATCTTAAGTGATGATTGTAAAAGAGAAGAGACGGATGAGGATCAGAACAATGAGCAGTTGGCTTGTTTATTCCGACCACCTCTATCCTGAAGATGAGTATCAGCACTAGAGTGCCAATTTACTCTTTCTTACTTCTCTTTGGTGACCCATTTACTTGATTCGAGATAGTCACCGATGCACCCCAATCGTCCAAACGAGTTGCGCAAGAACTCATTAAGAAACTTGAAAGCTGGCTCACAGAGCTCAACGGCATCGTTGTAAGTCATGCTTCCGATATCAACAGGTTCGCAGTAGAATATAAGCTCTTCCCTATGAAAAGCATATTCAAATCGAACTCTAAATTGCTTTTCTACTGCCGTCTTACGTGATATCAACATTTCGGCAACGGTGGGGCTTGCCGGGACGGATATTCCATAGCGAGGCCGGTCCCAGAGCTGCTTAATCGTGTCCAATTGTGGCGACTGTTGAAGCTTGAGGCGTTTTGCTTGCTCTATTACCGCCGTCTCGCTTTGTGGTAATGTGTTAAGATAGGAAGTTGTTCTCTTTCGCTTGCCTGCAGATGATTCGATTGAAGAACTATGAGCGGCAGCGTCAGGACAAGGAATCTTTTCCGAAGTAAGATGTAAAACCGCTGTTGCCGACGGTCTCGGTGACAGATTCTCTGCTCCTTGGCCACAACCCTGCCGTGATTCGACGTCCTCGCTATTTCCTATGATTTTTGAAGGCGATGGGACAGCGTCAGATTGAGTCTGAGGTGTGTTCACCTTTTCTTGCGCAGAAGATTGACCAGTGATGGAGGTATTACTTCTGCTTGCAAGTCTAAGATCGGCCTTGGACGTGTTATTCAGGCGTCTTCTTTGGCAGCAGATGCAGCTTTGGATGCTTTATCGCCGCTAGTCGGTTCAGAGCTCCTGCCTGCTGTTGTGCGTGCGACTGGTGTCGTCACAGCATGCGCAATGGGCTTAGGCTTGACTCCAGGAAAAGGATAACTTTTTACTAGGAAATTATCAGTATCCTCATTTAATATCCCATTCAAAATGAATAACTTACAGAGCTCGCGCCACATCAATTTTTCCACGTAGTACATTTTGACTTGCCAATGATAGTCGGCATAAATGGCTTTCTTCTTGACAGTGGCAGTCCATTTAGCCCTGCTTGCTTCGACGGCAGCCAATGTTAATTCGCAGTCATCAGTTTGCATAATTTCCCACATGGTGGGCCATGTGGTTTCGTATTTTTCATACAGCGCCATTTTGGGTCGTGTGGTGTAATTTTTGAAAGTAAGGCCGACTAATATTTTGATTTTATCAAAATTTCGTTTAGTGTGGGCAAGCTAAACCCTATTCTGTTTTACCAATCAATTGGATTGCTGTCGTTGAGAACTATTTCAAGTGAAGAGTAGTGAAGTAAAGTGAGGCGAGGTGAGGCGAGGAAAGAAGTAAAAATGATGGCGAGCAAGGCCGACTTGGAAACATGAACATCGAAAAGTCTCGATGTTGACAAGATCTTACAAGAGATCTAGAAGATACCTAGGTCGAGGCACATTCTCAATGATTTCAAACATTTATTATTCAAATTTCAAGTCTGATTGTGAGAGGTTAGAAATATTAACAGTGACTCTCAAGCTGGTTTCGAAAAGATCTCAGAACCACCTCAGACGATCACCAAAAGCTTTCAACCCGTTGTTCTCATTTCTATCAAATAAATACATCTAATACATCTCCTAGACTTTCCGTATGTAAAAAATAGATCAAGCAGGTGACAATCTTCATCGAGTTCTCTCACCCCTTCACGCGGATTTCACCACAAGTCTCAAAATCACAAATTTTCAATGCGACGTGAAATCACAGAGCACCCAAAGAATAGATGAAGTCAAGCTATATCAGTTCCCACATTCCTAATTCTATAAAATAGTTCCGAGGCTTCCAGGACTTTGAAACCATCTAGATTTGGGTGCAGTATATCGAAAGGACCTCAAGTGTGCATCAGAGCTACTTTTCTTGGCAACGACCCACAATCCCGTAAAGCTAGACATCACTTGAGAAACACAAGTCCTTAACCCGACGAAATACTGAATCCCAGACTAACCAACGATTTTTCTCAATACCATTTTTCCACATGGTATCTTTGGTTTTCCACGCCTATCTATCTAATACGTTTAGCCCAGTAATGGGGCAGGCAAAGTAGAATCCACAGATCAAGAAGACACTCGAACTTAAGATCGGGCGGAGGAAGCGAGGTTTATCTCAAACACCTCATATAAGCAACAAACATTCCTCAATCCCGCGCACTCATGGGTACAACATGCCCTGTACTTCACCCATAAAACACTTCTGATTCCCCTTCCCCATTCCACCGATACCAATCGATATACATCCGCTCAACCACGCGTCGTGAATTCATGCCTCCCAACGCTGCATAGCCTTATTGAAATATAGTTCCTTCTCATTTTATTGAAGGCACTCTTTATCTATAAGTCGGTCCACAAGAATGATATGAGTATCCAAAACAACGTGCTGAAGTCCTAGCAGAATATTCATCAGTTCAATCTTTCGCATCAATATATACACAATATCGTAAGTCTGCATGTGGGAAGACTCATCTGCACATATCGTTTACTCAAACGCCTTCAAATCAAGCAAGTCTCATTGTTGGGACCGAGAGGCATGCATGGATAGATAGATGACGATAGTAATTACCAAACGCGCGATTGACAACAAGATTTATCTTCAAGGAGGACGCACAATACACTATCGAAATATTCCTCCAGCAAAGAAAGATTCCCAATTTTTGTACTCTAACCAGCTACCGAGTAGTCCTCTCTATCCACCATACGAGATTCCAAATCCATCCATAGCCTGAAAAACAACCGATAGCCAGTCCCGTTCGATTCCATACCTAATCCATGCACTCTCTATTACCTAGGTTATATCTCTCCTTCTTTCTTGACTACTCGCAACAACTCCCTTGGGATTCTCAGGTTGTGAGTATCTTTCAGTACATAGCCCGTAAATCTAATAAGAGATCATTGACCAATCAACTTCAATTCGCCAAGCACCCACGTATTCTCAACCTATGTTCCCTCATCCAACTCTACTCCCCTCGCAGTAATTACTCTTGAAGTACTCATCAATCAACTCCAGCTCCGAATAGCTTTTCTTTCTCACTTTTCCCCATTTCCCATTTTCCAGTCATCTTATTGTGGGTGTTTTTCCACCACCGGCGAGAAGTGGTGGTTGAGGAATGTAGAAGAAGAAGAGGGAGGGGTATCGTCGTGAGGTGAGGGACTGGAAAATGAGGTGATAATTCAACTGTGGTGATTGTGGTTTGGATAGTCTCAAATACAGCCCAAGTAGGTTCACCTTCCCCTCACAATCTAGTATTCTTTACTCATACTCACACTTTCCTATCCCCTTCATAGTCCCAAATCCCTCATCCATTCTCCTAGGTGGCCATGAGTACAACTACTAGGCCTTTGACCCCAGGCATTATAATGAGAATATATCACAGTATCAGCTTCACAGCCTAAATCATAAACTTCAACAATGAGGCAACGTAATCCATCAAATAAATTAATTCATGTGCCATTTCATTTCATTCATTGCATGCGTTGTCTAAATACATTTCCCCTGTCGCCAATTTTAGGCATGAATCGCCAATGCGCTATCTTTCCCATCAATAAAAAATATGTCCAATTTATGCTTGGTAAGTAGAAGCGGAAACGTTTCCTCCACGTCCAGTCCAGTTGACGTGAATATCCTTTCCGACTGGGTATTTCTCAGAGGCGTGCTCTGGCTTGATCTTGAAGGTGTGGGCACCGAAGTAATCTCTTTGAGCTTGAAGAAGGTTGGCTGGGAGATCCTTGGTACGGTAACCATCGAACCAAGACAAAGCAGTGGAGAAAGCTGGGGTTGGAATACCCATAAGGGCAGCCTTAGAAACAACATCTCTCCATCCTGGTTGAGCCTTGTGGATAGCCTTGTTGAAGAAATCACTGAACAACAAGTTCTCCAAGTTATCATCAGCACGGTAAGCGGCTGTGATATCCTTGAGGAAAACGGATCTGATAATGCATCCACCTCTCCACATCAAAGCAATGGATGGCTTGTTGAGCTTCCACTTGAATTCCTTGGCAGCCTAAAACATAATTAGTATCAAAAGATTATTAAAAATTGGGATCTGATCATACCTCTTGCATAAGCATGAAACCTTGAGCGTATGAAATAATCTTTGAAGCATACAAAGCTTGCTCCAAATCCTCGAGGAATTGCTTCTTGTCACCCTCAAATTTGTTTGATCGTCCGACGTAAGAGAGGACCTTGGAGGCACGAGTACGCTCCTCCTTGAGGGATGAAAGACAACGGGAAAGGACGGATTCGGCAATCAAAGTAACTGGCATTCCGAGGTCGAGAGCGTTGATGGCAGTCCACTTTCCGGTACCCTTTTGTCCAGCGGAATCCATAATCTTCTCGAGAAGTGGGGTTCCATCATCATCGTTGAAGTACATAATATCACGGGTAATTTCGATCAAGAATGAATCGAGGACACCCTTGTTCCATTCGGCGAGAACATCACCAATTTCCTTGTCTTGCATACCAAGACCACGCTTCATGATATCATAAGCCTAGAAAGGTTAGTCAAGAATTTTGGAGATGATGACTCGAGATTTACTTACTTCGCAAATGAGTTGCATGTCACCATACTCAATACCGTTGTGAACCATCTTGACGTAGTGACCAGCACCCTCATCACCAACCCATTCACAGCATGCCTCACCATCAGATTTGGCAGCGATGCTTTGGAAAACATCCTTAATGTATGGCCAAGCCTCCTCGTTTCCACCAGGCATCAAAGATGGACCATGTCTGGCACCCTCTTCACCACCGGAAACACCGCTACCAACGAAACGGATACCCTTTTGAGCCAAGTATTTTGTTCTGCGGTTGGTATCGGGGAAATGTGAGTTACCACCATCAATGATGATATCACCTTCCTCAATGTGTGGGAGGATGGTCTCGATGAAGTCGTCAACTGGCTTACCAGCCATGACCAAGAGCATGATACGACGGGGTTTCTTCAACTTGGCGCAGAACTCTTCAATTGAGTGTGCACCCTCGATGGATTTTCCTATAAAGATTCGCCATGGTTAGGTTTCTGATTCTCATCATCTGTCAAAAGAGTAATAGGAAAATTGACGTACCCTTAGCCTCATTCTCGAGGAAACGATCAACCTTTGATGTGGTACGGTTGAAAGCAATAACGTTGAAACCGTGATCAGCAGCGTTAAGGATAATGTTTTGACCCATAACAGCCAAGCCGATGAGGCCGAAATCTCCGCTGAATCATTGTCAGTCAGTATGTTTGAAGGTTATGTTTGTTGGTATGGTTGATTTGGGAAGAAAGGTGTTTGATGGCGGGGTATTATTTTTTGCAACGACGACATGGAGGGGAACAAGTCTTTTGTAGAATGTATATAAAGAGTATGAATGAATACTTACGTTGCTTCTGGTGCAGACATCTTGAGATGGTTTTGTAGATGAATTAAACGTTGATTGAATTTATCCTGATGATATTTCAATGATTGTTGTTGACAAAAGAGTTGAGAATTAATTTGTTGTTCGGAAGAAATGGGGGGAAGGAATGAAGAGGGAGACTAAAATATAAGAGGTAGGGAAGAGATGGATGGGAGGGGAGGATGGTTAAGTAATGAAAGATGGTTGGGCCTCCTTCCAAACAACCATTTTAAAAGGAGGGGCAAAGCAGGGCAAAGCAGGGCAAAGCAAAGCAAAGCACTCTTATTTATTTTCTTAGTTTAACTTACTTCAGAAGCACCGGCACCGCTATCACTATTTGCTGGGTTTCCTGGTCTCATGTTCATGTTCTTGTTCATACTCCGTACTCGACCCTTTCGTTCCTAAGATAGATAGCTGGAGATGGTAGATGGATGACCTTGACCTCTCTTCCTTACCTTGCTTGGATGAGATATTCCCAAATGTCTCCCAAGAATATAAACGCCGACGAGCTGTTTTCGGAAGAACTTTTTGGAGATTATACGATGTAGAGGAATATTATGATGTAGGAGAGAAAATGATTGGATTAATTCTATATAAGATTCTCTAATCATTTAACTCTTTTGGTCAATTAATTTGATTCCACGACATTGATTGGTTGAGTGCATTACCCCTCCTTACTAACTCGTCCCTCGTTGATATCTTCGGTGAAGCTGTATCGAGAAGAGAAAAGATCCGTCCGGGGATCCAAATTAATATGGCTTTGTTGAATATGGCTTATGAGACATTTCTTTGCTCGGTGACGCCTCATGATTATTCATCGGATTTGATATTGATCATTGGTGAAAGAAGATACTTGCGGGAGAGATTTATACCAATCATGTCTACTCGTGCTGGCTACAGCTGCTATGTGAAACAAATGTCTCTTCATTCTCATATCATACCTACGAAGTGTCTAACTAGTCGCTCCAGCAATTCTTCATCCGCACCACGCCAGATTTGCCGTTGAACAACCATTCCTGCTCCTCCGTGTCAGGTTGTTGGTCTTGTAACTTCAAGTGTAAGTTGTCAGTCCCCTCCACCCCACTTTTTATCTACATACTTTCTTCTGTTCTTGTCATTTCTCCGGTTGCTAAGTTTGTACCACACTCAAGGCACACTACACTCATCTGCAAAGTACAATCTCCATCCTCGTCGACCAACTCTTCCAACTCAGGTCCTCGTTTATGGAAATTCTAGAAATCTAGACTTCTAGATGTTTCCGTTTTCTTCTCACCACCAGCAGTTATGACGAGCCAAGTGGTTGTTGATATTTATTACTAGGTATATCGTAGTTCACCCCACCAAGCTAAAACAACCCGGAAATTCAACTTTCCGATCGGCCCGAAATATCATTTTAGAGCCCACGTTTTAAGGCAATACTGCTTACTCACCGAGTCAGTCAGGTCAGCTGATCCTCAATATTCATAAGCTGACTAACCATACATCACGTGATGTAAAATAATTCTAGATTCGTGCATGCTCGGCGCCTCATCGTAGACAACAACGTCGGTCGTATTGCCAAATCATAAACTATCACAACCATATCAACCTTTCAAATACGCGCACATTTCAACGCCACTTGACAACAAATCATAAGACATCTACATCAGGGAAGTTCGCAACACTCACGATAGAGTTCCGCACGCAAGAACTATTCAGTTTCTGTTCAGGGTTTTTGGGATAACCAGTGCGTTTTGAAAGCGCAAAGGTACGTCTAAACACTCATCAAGAGATATATACGTACAGCAATTCATCATGTCCTATCCACCACCACCAGGTATCAAATCCACACCTTCGCCGCATCCCTCCTTACCCGCTCGACCACCTCCATCCACAAATCCGCAAGCCGGTTTCAAACCTGCCTTTAGCAATAACAATAATGGTCCATCGAGACCTCCTGCATCAGGAGGATATGGCGGCTTTACTGGTTTTGCTCCCAGATCAGTAGCTGCTCCGGTACAATCAAGCTATCCAAGCTTTCAACAACCTCCCACTGCTTATCAACAACCTCAACCATATAATCCATATCCTGCTGCACCACAACAAGAAGCTGCATATGGAGCTGCACCACAAATTCGAAATCCCTTCGCGCCACCGACAGCATCTGCAGGGCGTGGTATGAGTGGGTTTGATGAAGACCCAGAGATGGCAGCACAGATAGCACAATGGCAAAGCGCATACGCCGGAAAGGATGCAAATGCAACTTCTGCCTCTAATAATGGTTATACTGGAGCTGTTCGAAAGTACCCAGCAACTGGAGAAGGTTCAACATCAGCATCGAATGCGAACGCGACACCATTAGGTAGAACCGAGACTGGACCCAGTATGACTTCACAGGCAATCACGAACGCCGCGCATAATGATACAGGTGTCGCAGCAATTGTATCGGATTCTAAGACCAATCAAAAGACAGTTGTACGAACGGGTGGCGGTTCACAATGGACAGATTCTTCCCTTCTTGAATGGGATCCTTCTCATTTTCGCCTTTTCGTTGGTAATCTTGCTGGTGAAGTTACTGATGAATCTTTACACAAGGCATTTTCTCGCTGGACATCTTTACAAAAAGCACGAGTCATTCGAGATAAACGGACTACGAAAAGCAAAGGGTATGGATTTGTTAGTTTTAGTGATGGAGATGATTTCTTTCAAGCTGCTAGGGATATGCAAGGAAAATATATCGGTAGTCATCCTGTTCTTTTAAGAAGAAGTACTACTGAGATCAAGGCTGTCACACCCAGGGACAACAAACATGGAAAGAATAACAAGAATAAGGGCAAAGGTGGTAACAGGATTGACGGAGGACAAGGTAACAAAGATAGGACTGGAGCTGGCATTCAAAAGGCAGGAAGCAAAACCAAGGGTGGCTTGAAGGTCTTGGGATAATTGTCAAAGTAAGAGTTTATATCAAGTCAGTGGGTATCAGGCCAGTTGAAGTCTAGGAGAGAGGAAGAAAGGACGAAACAGAAGGGCGAGAGAGAGAAGTAATGATCGTCGGCGCATGTCAAAAGGCACCTACCGAGGTATGGCTTTGGATTTAGTAATGGCACACATTCGATAGAGCTGATCCTTGAGATACAACGCCACGATAATGTGTATTGTCGAAATTACCCAGAGCAGTATTTTTTACTCGATAGACAAGCATAACAATTGTTTGCATTTATAATTCTTTCAAGCTATATCTACTTACAAATTATAACTTGTTTTCTGTGAAATTATTAGTGTGGCCATGATCGGTTCGTGTCTAAGGGGAATAGTAGCAATAAAATGCTTCCAGTTAGGTTAGTCAGCCATTTCTGTATGCCCCGCGTGCTTTTGCCAAAGAAAGAAGACTTCCCCATACTATCCTACCCCGCCACACATTATCGAAATTTATTAATTCAGCCTTGATGATACCTTAATTGCAAACCCTTTTACTGGCTCGCAAGAAATTTTCAGAAACATACCCCTTGTTCCATCGCATCGTGTTTCAGGCAAAAACCAAACAGTTTTGGTGTTGTCAAAGCTGTAAACATGTCAAAATAGCATGTGAAACCGAGATGAAAGATGAACTTGATCGTACTCTATTGATGGATTGCCTGGTTAGCCTTCTTTCGTTGTTGAAACGCCCATCGGATCGTCTGGTAGATTGTTTCTAAAGTGTTAATAGTACGGTTTTGTATGGTTATGCGAGTCGAGGTTGTGGGATATAAGATATATATATATGTACTACTTCGTCCTTCCTATTGTTGTGAATTACTTGCAATTATATTTGCATTCTTACACACGAATATATTTGATTGAGAAAAATTGAAAAGATGGGGAAAACAGAATGGCTGGCCTGTTCAGCTCTTGCTGCAATCTTGGTTTACGTATTTCCACAATACTTCATCGTCGACCGAATTTCGAGATCAGCGATTCGTTTTCTTTTAGTTGATGTTTCATTATTTTCATTTTGGCGCATGTTCATCTATCCTTTCTTCTTTAGTCCTCTTCGCAATCTACCTGGTCCAGTGGTGAGTTTTTTCGATTCCTCAGAACTTCCTTCAATAATTAATTTTCATATTTAGTCCCATAACTATCTCTGGGGTAATGGTACAGCACAATTTACCAAACCACCTGGACATCAAATCAAGGAATTCGTTAAAAATGTACCGAATGATGGTTTGATCCGCATTCGATCCTTTGGCAATATTGAAAGACTTATTCCAACATCTCCTCAAGTATTGAAAAGTATTCTAGCGGATAATTCATACGATTATGAAAAACCATATGGAGTTCGGAAATTTCTTTCCTTGATCTTGGGTGAGGGGCCTATCATGTCAGAAGGCTCTCTACATAAATTTCAACGCAAACATTTACTTCCCGCTTTTCAAGTCAAACATATCAGAGAATTATACCCAGTATTCTGGTCCAAAGCTCTTGGTCTTGTCGAAGGTATCTCTCAAGAAATAAGCGAAACAAGTACATTTGAAAAAAGAAATGAATCACATATCGAATTCAACGAATGGGCCACTCGTGTCACATTAGATATCATTGGTGTAGCCGGTGTGGGTAGAGATTTCGGTGCTCTTCGAAATCCGGACGATCCTCTCGTACGAGATTACAACGAACTTCTCGAACCCACATTTAGTAAAGGTATCTACTTTGCAGCCAACATCTTCGGTCCCCAAGATCTCATTCAGAAACTACCTTTTAAACATAGCAAAGTGATCGCCGAAACAACCGGGAATCTTCGAACATTTTGTCGCGAAGTCATTGATAAAAAACGACAAGCCGTAAGCGAAGGTAAAACAGTCGACGGAATGGATATCCTCAGTATCCTCGTCCGATCCAACGATTTCAGTAATGAGGATCTCGAAGACCAACTCCTTACATTCCTAGCCGCCGGTCACGAAACCACATCATCAGCACTCACATGGGCCATTTATCTCCTCGCCATCCATCCCGAATGGCAAACCAAACTCCGTCAAGAAATCCACGCTGCAATTCCTTCTCCCAGCGATCCCAACTCCCCACAACCAGATCACACAATCATTGATTCTCTCCCCATCCTCAACGCCATGACCCAAGAAACACTCCGTCTCTACCCCACCGTTCCTATCTCCGTGCGCAAGACCACCCGCGCAACAAGCATCACGCTCCCCAACTCTGCACCCATCTCTCTTCCCCTCGGAACACGCGTGCTTATTTCCCCGCTCGCCATCAACCGATCTCCGCTTCTCTGGGGCCCCAAAGCTGACGAATGGTCTCCGGAACGTTGGCTCCAAGACGGATGTGCGAATACCGGTGGGGCGGAGAGTAATTTTGCCAATATGACGTTTTTTCACGGGGAGAGGAGTTGTATTGGGAGAGGGTTTGCAATAAGTGAGTTTAAGTGTTTGTTGGCGGGGACGGTGGGGGGATTGGAGTGGGAAATGTGGGATAAGGAGGAGGAGGTGAAGGTGGGTGGAGTGGTGACGACGAAACCGGTAGGGGGAATGAACGTGAGGATGAAGGTTGTGGAGTGGTAGAACTGTTGGGGGTTTGTTGGGACTCTTGGGGTGGATGTTCTTGGGAGGTTTATGAATTTAAGGGGTTTAATCTGAACATCCCGCGGTACAATAATAGGCTTTTGGTGCAAGGCATTGATAGTTAAGATAATGAACACTATACAACCTTAAGTTCTGAAGCAAGAGTGATCGAAAGCAAGTAAACGAAACCATCATCTCATCAGAAATCCGAAACCATCCAAAAACAATAACCCGAGCAGTCCTAAGCCACCCAGAATCTCTGTATCATCATCAACTCATCTAGAATCTTGAATCTCAAAGTGTCAGGATTACAGAATAATAGAGTATTTTTCTTACCTGACAAGCGTGATGAAGTATGTAGACGACCTTATGATTTTGGAACAACCCCGAGAATATGATGAATGATTTCAAATCGTCAATCCAAGTTCTACCTTACCTCCTTTCATGAAAGAGGAGATCTTTGGGTGAATATCCTCCTTGAGCTTGAGAGGGTCTTAAGGTTTATGTTCCTTTCCTGTTGAAATGATGTGTGATTGAGTGAGACAGATGACTGAGAACAGGTGGAGATGCTAACCACGATCAGACGAGAGAGCTGATCTGGAGTCGACGACAATGCTAGCAAAGAGTAGATAATATGCTGATCTGGAGTCGATGACAGCCATAAAGCTTAAACTCACTGCTACGTAACACATAATGCAGTGTAAAAGTTCTTTGTCTATAATCTAGAGCCAGTTCTTGTGAACTGTGACTTGAATTACTCTTCCAATTTTCCCCTATCCCACATCTCGAAGCGAAGCTTTAGCTTTCTTGACATCGAAATCTCATAATCACTACTTAACAACACATCAAACTCTTGAAGCGGCTTCAGAACAGTCACATTCATTTAAATCTCTCAAATTTCGCTTTCACTTCCTTATCATCGCCCTCATCATATTCAATCATAGTCGCCTATCCAAATTCACTATAGAATACCAAAAGTCAGCTTTGAATGTAAGCGAATGAAATTCCGATACGGTCAGTAAGGTACTGCAGACACCTTGTGGTCCTCTCCAAGCCTCTTTTTTTGCACTGTAGCCTTGATTGAAAATAAATTATCCTCTTCTCTTCCTTAAAAAAGTAAATCTGATTCTAGAAAATAACTTACAACCATTACGACCTGCGTTACCACCACCATATCGACGACTACAATCAACACACACGATTACTACCATACAAACAATTAGAACTACAACTAACAACCACGATCAATAAGCACAACTAAATAACTATACACAATTGCGTATTAACAATTCATACATACCTTTACAATCACAATGCTTTCTTCTCAATTAAACACACTCGCTCCTTCAACTCCCATCAAGATGCACCAAAAAATTGTTCATAAAACCCTAAAAGGTAGAGTTGCGAAGAACATAAAAAAGACGGTAACGTCTCCCAAAAAGCAGGTTTCTAGCCCAGATGAGATGGTGTCTAGCCCAGAGCCAACTTCTGCGACCTCTCCTAATCATCCCAATCGACTCATTCATCGTCCCTTGAGCAAACAGCAAGCAGCTTTGCTTCGAGGAATAAAGACTTCCTTGGAAAAGTCTAGCAATCCCGTCGAACGCGTCGAACCCAAGCAAGATCAGATGGATCTTGATAAAAAGATCGGATATCCTATCCAGACGAAGACATCTGGCAGAATTCAAACGAAAAGGTCAGGAAAGTCAAATAAACCAGTATTCAACTCAAAATTCACCAGAGAAACTACCTTTAGCGGAGTTGTCAAAAACAAGAAAGAGGCAAAGCCGGTGCTCCTCCCAAATTTTTCGAAATGTCCAAAGTCTCCTCTAGCTATCTCGGAAGATCGACTCTTGCAACTTCCAAATGGCAAGGGTTTTGTTGCCTTGGGTCGGGAGGTGGTAAAATTCGGGGTTGCGAACGTGCTGAGATCCCTTGAAAGCGATGCAATGGATACTGTCAGTATACACTCTTGCGTGCCCTATAAGCTCCTCGTTGTATCTCTCGTCTATCTAATTGACTTGCTATCATCCGTCTTTTAAAATCGTTTGACCATCCAGATGCAATAAACTAACGATCCAATCAGAGAGAAGATTATGACTGGAACTACGACGGGTTCAATGGATATCTTTTGGAAGAGCACAATGCTAAATGTGCACAATTCCCAGAGATGGATTTGGAACCCGAGACCTTGATACTTTATTACAAGGGAGAAGTCAATGAATATGGTATTGCTTGAGGTACCGTAGCCCGAGATTCTGGCACAAAATTGGAACTTTGGAAGGACTCGTTGTTTGCTGTCCTCTTTTGGATTGGATTGGATTTTCCTGGGCGAATGCCCGCAACTGACTTTCTCTTGAGAATATGGCACTGACAGCTGCTCATACCTGGGGCCGAACCAAAGATTTTGAAATCCTGACTCTTCATCGAGTTTTCCATAAACTTCTTATTTCACGAGTCTCCTTCGTTGTACATCGAGGTAAGATATCACGTGCTAGATGAGAACTAGTGCCTTCTCAACTTCCATCACCAAATTCGCGTCTGCTAACATTCGCGACAGATTTATTGTGAACTTCACCCGTCGATTATCAATTTCTTTACTGGTCGAATTTTCTTCAAACTTGCGGCAATTAGAAGCTTTTCTCTTCGCGATTTCAATTACTACCTCCACGATGCAGGTAATGCAAGATCCCTCTCAAGGGATTCATCGCGACTTGGTATGTTTACAACTTCTTCCAACTTCAATTGTCAATAATAATCTAATTCATTGCGCAGTTACATCACGTTCATCTTCTCTCTACATATCGATTTCCAATTACACCTACACAACTACATCCCGAAAGAGTCGCAGAATGGCTTATGAACGGACCCAAAATTACTCGCGATCAAGCTCCTGTTTATTGGACTTACCTGGACCGACCGGTTGATGGCACAGTCTTATTATCATGGCAAACACCTACACTGGGTCAGGAATTCCCAAGTGATGGTTACGTCTGGGCTCCTGGAGAGACAGCTTTTTCTCTCGAAGTTATGGGCTGCGTGAGTTTATGTGAATGTGATTTGGGCAGAATTTAACTGACCTCGTTTGCTCTCGCAGACTCTAGAAATTTATTATTGCAAAATTGGCTATGGTACTGGAGAACCTATCGCATCTCATACTCGTCGCCGATATCGACTTTTACCACCACGAATTCCAAACCAAAACCCTTCACCTGATCCAAATCTATGGATTATACATTATACTCAAGCTCCTCCCGAGGATCGTCTCCCACCACATATGATCCCAATCAATCAACAAATCCAAACCATTATGAGTACACGACAATACCTACATCAACAAGGTCAACTCATTCACAAGGAGTTCTTACTTCATGACAGAGCAAATTGGGCAAAAATTGATTTCCCTCGTGGTCATCCAAGAGGAGCTCCAATGTATGCAGCAAGCATTCCGCCAAGAGTTCCCCAATCAATGGCATATCCTACTCATCCTCAACCTGGTCCACCATCGAAACGCGCTCGTACAGCAAATGTTGCTCAGGCCGCAGTCGCAAATAATGCTGCAGCAGTTGTCGAAGAAGACGAAGAAGAAAATTCTCGAGGGGATTGGTTTGATCTTACAACACCTAGAGAGATCAGTTATAGCAGATTTCTTGCAAACTATGAGTGGATGGAGGAAGTACTCTCTTCACCCTACGCTATCAACCAAATTGTTCCCACAGACCTTGGCCTTGGTCTCCGTGGTGAATTAAGCAGTCTCACTGAAGGCATATTTAATGCTCCTCTCAAAGAGACTGAAGAACCAACACTTAATTATGTTGGTCGTCTTGATCCTGGAAAGGCAGATGAGTTCCGTAAAAGAGCTCATGATACTATTGCCCAAACAAACAAGGATATTGAAAAAATGAAAGCTAAGCATGCAAAGCGTCTTGCAAAATTTCAAAGAGGTTCTCTTATTTCTCAAGCTGAGAAAGAATTGCGTACAGCTGTCGATAACCCTTCAGATATTGGTCCCGAATATTGGAGACTTGAAGGTAAAATCGACGAAGAAGAGAATGAAGAATCTGAAACTCCTATCAAGATTCCTTCAAAGGTTGATGATGTTCTTGCAAAAGTTGAAGCTTCTCTTGGTCGTCATGCAGTTGCGATTAGTGAACTTCGTCGTATTCAAGATGGTGGATATGAAGAAGTCACTGCACGAGCAAGCCCTACGCCATCTCAACCTTCACGAAACAATTCTCAACAAAGTGGTGTTCTTATGAATGACACCGATGTTGGTGATGTTGATATGACCAATTCTACTGCTGGTTTACTGGATCAATTCCACAATAGTAATCCATCTTCATCACACGCAACACCAGCAAGTGCCAGTTATCCAACTCCTGGTCACCTACAACATCCTTCTGCAGCAACTACACCAGCTGGAGCTTTACATATGGCATCTCCACATCTCTCTCAAACTATGGGAACACCACAAATTACACAACAGAGTCAATCTCCCCCACAACAGGAACAAAATGATGTTCACATGCAAGATTCATCTTCAACGGCAGAAACTCAGCAACCTATGACTACAACAGCGCCACCCGCAACCGGTGCTGATACATCAGATTGGGTTGTTGTACCACCAGGGGGTGTCTCACCTACAGCAGACCCTTCTAACAATAATACAAATAATGATGCACCAAATCCTCAAAATCAAAATCAGAACCAACAGTCAACATTGTCGGATTTTCCCAAGCCATCTTCCGATAACAATACATTGGAACAACCAACAACTTCTACCTCCTTACCCGAACCACAACAAGAACACCAAGAACACCAAGAGGGACACGAAGAAGAAGAACATCATACTGAACTCAATGAAAATGATTTCGATCTTGAAGATTTGGACACAGCTGGTGATGCTTTAGCTTCATATGATGCTGGTGACGCTATGGGAGATGATGGACATGGGTTGGGTGATCTCGTCGATGATAGTGCATTTGGCGATGCCTTTCACGGCGTCGATCATCATAATGATAACGTGGATGAAGATCATCACGGCATGTAAGATGAGCATGGTTCATGGATGGCATTGGCAACCATCCCGACTTGACGGATGATACGAGGAATCTCTCTGGAATTATTACTATAACGGGATTCGCTGCACCATAACTAAACGACTGACTTGAGGATTTCAAACTTCACATTTCTATAATTGAAAACACTCCTACTTTGTGAGTGAGGGACTTCCTCCTTGGATTCATCCTTGGGGCATGATAGAACCTTGAAATTGATAGAACTAGTGGTTTGGATATTGAGATGGAAGATTGGTTTTTGAGTTGGTGATATGGGTACTAGTGAATAGGTTGTAGGGATTTCGAGATTTTCTTGTGGCTTGCCTTGAATCGGTCCGAACTGAACCGGAGTGGTCTTATACGAATGAATGGGTATGTTCATGGAGGAGATGAAAGGAGGGTAGCTCTAAGAATCATCATGGGCATTGGTGGACATGGTATTGATTGTGAACTGTGGTGGAACTTTATTGATGGATGAAGATTGGTGGATGGATGAATTCTCTGCCAAAAAGATTCAAGCGTTGATTTTCAGATTTGTTTGCTTATTGTTTTCCTATTCTGCTTGTACGATAATACTATGAGTTGTATGAATAGAGATTTACTGTTTTTATCTTACCTAACTTGATTATATCCCAGCTTTTGTGGCCAATATGATATGTGAGATTGATGGCAACATACACTGAACTACTAATAAATAAGATCTTCAACATTTTCAGGAATCTTCAGCCATAAGATCTTCAGTAGCAGAACGATTGAAAATGGTAATGGCTCCAGTGTAAACCCCAAAGCCCAAAACCCACAACGTCAAGGAACAATTTCAATCACATGTCATGCCCCTCCAAAATGCGGGGCACATTTTCCAGCGATACAACATGCAAGTCCTCAAAAAAGTTGGCAGCGCGTACCACAATGCCACTTTCAATGTCATTCTCTAGATGACTTTGGTTTAAACCGCAGAGACATTCTTTTCAAAGATTTCACACGTCTTCAATAATCTGTTGTTTCAAGATGGGAGACAACACAAATACCTCTGTGACAGATCCATCCGTCATAACCATTGATAACATTTCTACCAGAATGCCCCCTCATGATATCAATGGCGTCGAGAAATCCACAGATCATTTATATGCTTTAGTTGACATGGGAAGGTATATTTTCACTGTTCCTAAAGCTTCCACCTCTCATCTCACGCCAAAGAAAGAAAGAATCCCCTACTAAACAAACCCTAGCAATGGAATTCGCTTTTCCATCTCCGATCTCTCACCTCCTACCTCCCGTCTCCTTCCCTGCATCTATCGCGATCGGGCTGCCATTTCTCTTTACGACGCGCTACACTCTTCGCTTCCCGGGTCTCGAGAATTCTACTTCGATGCCGACACGATTTCGCGCGTGGCGGGATGTCTTGCGGGATTCAAAAAGATATGCGATTCGTATGGTGTTTTGCGGAAGAATATTGGGGTGTTTGCGACGGAGGCGATGCGCACGGCGAAGAATAGGGAGGAAATGACGAGGGCGATTAGTAGGGAGAGTGGATTGGAAGTGGATATTTTGAGCCCGCAGGTGGAGAGTTTGCTAGGGGCGTTGGGGGCAAGGAGTGGGTTTGGGGGTGTGGAGGGCGTGATGATGGATTTGGGGGGTGGGAGTGTGCAGATGACGTTTATGGATAGTGGGGGTGCTGTGAGGGGGGTGGGAGGGGTTGCGGAAATAGAGATGGAGGGGGAGAAAGAGGGGGAAAGATATTGGACGAAAAGTGCGGCGTGTGCGAAAAGTATGCCTTTTGGAGCAGCGAAAATGACGGCGAAAATGAAGGGGGGTGATATTCATGATATTCGCACTGATATGCGTTCTCGATTTCACGAGACGTTTCAGGGATTATGTCACAGGTTTCCCAAACTTCAAAAGCATGTGAAGGATGAGGGTGTGACGATATATTTCTGCGGTGGAGGATTCAGAGGTTACGGAAGTATGTTGATGCATACCGATCCCATCAATCCATATCCCATCCCCTCTATCGCCGGCTATACAGTATCCGGAAAACGCTTCAAACAAACGAAAGAAATGCTCAAAGTAAATGCCGAGGAGAAAGAAAAGATCCATGGCATGAGTAAGAGACGTCGGGAACAATTTCCCGCCATCGTCGAGGTGGTCGAGGGAATCATAGCAACCGTTCCCAATATCAGAGAAGTGATATTCTGCGGCGGAGGAAATCGCGAAGGAGTTCTATATCTCAAACTTTCACCTCAAATACAAGAAACCCATCCTCTTCTTCTTTTCCCGTCTCAACTATCCAGCACCCCTGTCCAATCCGGCGCGATTGCACAAATCCTCTCTTCCGCTCTCCCGGTTGCTCAGCCGGGCACGGAAATCTTCACCCCTGAAATTTTAGAATATGTGGGAAAACATATGGGTGACAATATGGCGGATATATCGAATCTCAACGCGGCGCGCGCATTGCACGCGCCTATTTCCGGGGCGATTGCAGGAATGCCCGGGTTGACGCATGGGGTTATTGCGGTGTTGGCATTGACGATGTGTGCGCGGTGGGAGAATGATGTGGGGAAGGTGGATCGAGGACTTTTGGAGGGGCTGAGAAAGGTGTTGGGGGAGGAAAAGGCGTGGTGGTGTGAGTATTTGGGGGCGGTGGCGAGGGTGGTTTGTGGGGTTGTGATGGTTCCTCGGATGAGCGGGGAGGGGGTGCGAGGGTTGAGGTTTGAGGGAACGTGGGAGGAGGGGTTGGGGAAGAAGGGGAAGAAGGAGGGGGTTTGTTTGAGGGTCTTTTGGGAGGGGGAGAGAGATGTAGATTTGGAGAAGTTGGTGGGGAAGGTGGGGAAGGGCTTGGGGATGAAGAGGAGAGTTGATATTTCTTGGGGATAGGAAATCGTGCGTTGAGTGAGGGTTTATTGCTCTAGCTTTAGAGATGAGACGGGGGGGGAGAGGATAGAGGAGGGGAGTGGTAAGGGGAGACGTTGAAAATATAGAAGAGAAGACGAGAGATTCATCTGATATGATAATGATAATGATACCCCAACTCTATACTTACACACACGGTCATACATATATACATACCTAGGTAGGTAGTCAAAGTTAAAGTCAAAGTCAAACGATATCCAATCAAGCATTTCTACAATCTTTATCCAAAGAAACCAAATATCTTCATACGCATGCTAGCTATGCTTTGCTTTGCTATGCTATGCTACCAACCCACCCTCCAACCAACCATCCATCTATATATTACCACCCAAACCCATCCATAAATGACCATGTAAGACAGTGTATCTAAGTACCCAAAATGCATACAGAAAAACGCCGGGTATCCCCATCCAATTTCATGCTATCACCTGCTTTCGTTGCATACCCACAATACGGGGTTCATATTTATATAAATATATACCTCATCTCTTCTCTCGCCATCTCGCTCCTCGTGATATGAAAATAAATATCTATACTGAAAATGCGATTGAACCCAACTCAACCCAATTCCATGCTCCCACCAATCTTCCCATCAATCAAACCAATCAATCAACAAGAAATCAATCACTCAAATCCTTTTTCGAACTCCCACCCACCAAAGGTGCATGTTCAGCTCTTGAGCTTTCCCCCTTCTTAACCTGGAATCTATCCGGATTTGGTAGCACATCACCATCACTCGTAACATAACTGCCTTCCTGACCATCCCAATCACTTTCCGCATCTTCTCCGTCCGCATCACTCCCGCTTTCTCTTGCTCTTTCCGTCGCTTCATGAATTCTATGTGCTTCATTTTGAGCATCTTCTCTCATTTTACGGATCTTGATCCAGTTATATGCTGCGATTGCACCTATGGTAACGAAGAGACCTGAAATATTGATTGGGGTGAGAGGATCATGGAAAACCAACCCTGCAGCTGAAATTGTTACTACTTCTTTAAAGATACCTGCGATGGATAGAGTAACGACGGATGTACGCTGCAGCAGAGCGAATTCAGAAGCCGTCATGCAAAATGCTATGCAACCAGGGAATAGAAGAAGTAAAGGACCAAAAACCGGGCCTTTTACTTCTACTAGAGCTTTAAGACCCTCCCAAAGGGCGGGAAATCCTTCTACGGGGGTAGCGATGACGAGAAGCGAGACGAACATGATTGGAGCTAGGTAAAAAATCGAGGAGAAAGGATTTGAAGTTGCTGGATTGCGAAGAAGAAGGATTTGGGTTAAACCCCAACGAAAACCGGAGAAAAATGCGGCAAATATAACAAGGACGAAGCCTTTTGTCGAAAAATCCACTTCGCCAAATACCATCATTACAACACCAATTGTCATTGTGAATATGATGCCGACTAAACGCCATGACGGGATTTCGAGACGAAATACGAATGCGAAAAGAAGTACAAATGCTAGAGCTGAGGATTTGCACATTGCTTTTATATATGTTAGCATGGAAGTATTTGGAAATCGAAAGGGAGTACAAACTATAAAATGTAAGGGTGATGAATTTCAAAGACATATTTCCAAGACCGATATCCAATCCTGTTGCCATTCCACATGGACCTATGCGCGTAAAGTAAAACATTCTCGTCATTAACGGTTTCTTCGAATCCACCTCATGTTGAGCCATATCTGAATCCGATACATGTGTATTATGAGGGTTGGAGATGGAATCGTATCGAGGTCGGAATTGAGGAAGAAAGTAAAGGACGAGACTCGCGAGAGAGAATTGTACTAGCATATGCATACATGTTGTAAATAAAGGGAAATGGAAGTTGAGATGTTTTGGGTCAAACATCCATTTGTTATACTACTTGAAAGTTAGAAATATCTTTGAGATGGGAGATGATGAACTTACTATAGATATTGATAGGGAAAACGTATACCAAAGTCCTATTAAAACTCCATTCATCAAACTCTTCCTTATAACATTCCAATCCGCTTCTTTCTTCTCATCTTTTGTTACTTTGATTTCTCCCGCGATTCTATGATCCATTGATTGATGCCGTATCTTCTTCTTCTTTCGTTTCGCTTTGGATTTAGCAGTCAACCCCGTTTCTTCATCGTCTTGTAAGTCACCCTCTTCTGAGAAATGGTTTAATTCCATATCATCACTAGTTGATCTCGAATCGTCGTCTGACACTCTATCACCGGCTTTCGAATCGACTCCAATTGTCGATGTTCTGGGTGATCGCTTTGCTCTTGGAGCTCGTAAACTTCCATCTAAATTGTTCATCATGCTACTCCTCCTCCGCCGATGACCCGAAGGTTGTGAATCCATATTTGTATCTGTTGGATGTAAATCTGCGAGAGCTGTAGCAGCATCTGGCTCTAACAATTCTTCTTCCGACCGCGCCGATGCTTCAGAGATTGAGGTTCTTGGTAAAGTTTGTATGGGAAAATGGGATTGTGAGGGTTGATTTGACCGGGACTGTGCTTGGGATTGTAATTGTGATTGCGAAGATTCGAGTGAAGTGTTCGTAGTGGAGATTCGATCGGATCTGAGTAGGGTATTTGAAAGCTCCTCTTCTTCTGCCGCTGCTTCTTCTTCCCTTTCGAATTGTGAATGATGTTGTGCAGGATTCTCGAATCTCGTCTCTTCTTCTAAGGCCATGGTAATTACTGAATCAGGGTTGATTTGCTAATGTGCTTTCATTATTTTTGGGCCTGTAACCTCTCGAATGGTGTAGTAGTGTGGAGATCAGACCCTCACACTTTAACTATGTTTACTCGCTATACCGTGATGAGTTGCGATTTGATTGCGATTTATCTCCGATTATGGATAAGTTTTGGATCTTTTGGTAATCTTGGCAAGCATCAGGGGGTTCGAAAAGAGGGTCAGAGAATCGTACAGTGTACAGTGTCCAATGTCCAATGTCCAATGTCCAATGTCCAATGTCCAAGGTTCAAACAGTGCAGAAGGATGAGTTGTGTTACTAAGTGATGGCGAGGTGTGATACAAATGCGTGTGAGCTTTGTAGGTGTATGGTATGAGGTACACGCGACTGGTTTACTTACTTGACTTGGCGATTGATTTGAGTACGAATGAAATGTTGTGAAACGAAATTAAAGGATTTAATTTTAATATGTGAGATTTTATGTATTTTTGGGTTTATTTTCTGATATTTAGAATTATATATATCTACTCATATATACTTGTCTATTTGTCTGTTCAATCATTCATCCATTGATTGCTAGGTACATTTCATAGGAGTTGTCAGTCCATACTACCTACATGATTGAAGACTCGATGAAGAGGTATATCACGTACATATTTGGATGGACTGGAACTGGTGTATTGGATTGAGTAACAAAGATATTACCACCCTTGGGGACAATAGCATAGCAACGGGAAGGTAATCAGTCCTACCTACCTACCTATCTACCTATCTATCTACAGCTAGGAGTTTGCTTTGACCTCAATTGTCCACTCGAGTCTCGACTTCTCAACATTATGATATCAGGTTTCGTAGGTTTTATATTGGTTATGGATCATCGTCTTGAATTATCTACATATATATATTTCGTCTCTCTTACCCTCCTCCTCTCCTTCTCTCCTTCCCTCTTATTAGCCATAAACACACAAATACACTCTTGACCGGACAATGCGGACATCCGTGATGACTTTTCTGCAAAGTATACTCGCTCCACTCCAGTTCCCACCGCGCAACTAAGTACCTGGTATGTTGAACTACTTCCGCCCCGTTCCGACAGCTATCATCTGAGTTACATCCTAGTCTAGACATGTATGATCTGTCGTTCTAGAAGTGAAAAGTTCCTGAACATCTTGGACATCTTGAGCATCCTTCATGATTCTTCCCACAGATCGTCAATACATTCTAGGATGAGGTGAAAACGCACAAATCACAATCATGATTAGCCTTAGGAGCCAAAGTATAATAGACTGACTTCCTGTGAAGTTAACAAATAGAATGTTAACAAATGTCCAAGTCCAAGAAAGTATCTGATCTCGAATGTTGACAGGATTTCTGCATTGACAGGTTCTTCACACTCACACTCCCACTCCCACTCCTACTCCTACTCTCAACACTCCAAACCCTCTGCTCTTAATTTTTATTAAATAGTTCAGCTATCTTGTTGACCGCTTATGTTGTGTCAGACGATGAAGCCATAAAAGTCATCTTCTCATAGCGATTTGTTTCACTCAATTAAGCGGACACAACATATCTTCTTACAATTATCTCATGTTGTCCCTCTGATTCTTTTGAGGTTCTTGGTGAAACCAAGATAATGCTGGGAATTTCATAGCACCCACCTTGGGTAACGGGACATCCCTATCTACCTGGTCTCGTACCTACTCGAGTAGTGTCAATTGCTAAAGTCAACCATCACATGTCGTCGTGTGGTCGGTCGTGTTGTTGCTAAAGTTACTAAAAGAGAAAGGGACCTGAGTTGGGTTTAGTTCTAATTCTAACGGAACGTCGGAAATGTCAAGCTTTCCCCTCACATCCCGTCCCGTCCGTAACGTAGGTATGACGAAAAGATTGATCGCGTTTTCTCCTCAAGCTTCTCTCGTGGCTATCCGAGATTCAACATATTAGCTACCCAGTACTCATTTTAATATCAAGGTATTATTTTCCTGTTTTCAATCCTACCTGCAGCAAATATAATAAGCCATCATTCTTATGGCGACACAAATAATCTTATATCTTGTGTAAACTCATTGACGTATCACAATTCACCAACTTGTAGGATTGACTTAACTGCAATAACATCTCCTTTTCCTGCAATATTTCGTTACACTGTTTTGATTGCTTTGTCCATTTCTCTTTTTGGAACCGTCTACTATTTTCTCGCCATCTCTCATCAAAAGGCAACCTGCATCAATCATTTCGACAAACGCGTGCCTTGATCTATCAACAATGGCTGTCCCCGGTATTGCGCAAACGTCTCGTCGCCATGACACAGGATATTTGCCAATTGAAAACTATGGTCTCATTGGGAATATGCGAACTTGTGCGTTGGTAGGTATTGATGGAAGTATTGATTTTATGTGCTGGTAAGCTATGTTTTGCAATCGATAGAGTATCTCTACATTCTCCAGAATACTTATCATCTATAAATCCAGGCCAGACTTCGATTCTCCTTCAATATTTGGGCGACTCTTGGATAAAGATAAAGGTTGGTTTGGAGCTTCGTTTGTAATGCCGTCTCCAAATACTGGGGAGATCAAGCTACCCCTCATTTATCTATCCCGCAATGAGCTTCATCGGTTACCCCAGATTTTATCTTACCCCAAGTATCATATCTACCAATGCTAACTCTGCGAATACCTCAGGTGGCCATTTTTCCATCTCACCTGCGGATGGAGTTACTTTCAATACAAAGCAACAATATCTCCCATCCTCCAACATCCTACAGACTCGATATATCCACGAAGAAGGAGTAGTTGATTTGATCGACTTCTTTCCACGTCCAAATCATAGTCATGTTGCAAAGAAAAGTTCCATGCCTTTCCGGGAGACTACAAAAGTTCAGGGCGAGTTAAAGAAATGGCTGGTACGACGAGTCGAATGTATTCGAGGCAGCGTCGATTTAGGTGAGAAAGATCCTGAACACGGCGGTAGTCATCATATCTCACAACTTTGTTTAGATGTGGAGATATTTCCAGCCTTCAATTATGCCCGCGATGAACATGATCTAGAAATTCTCATGCCGGAACATCCTCCGGGAGCACTGGAAAGTAAAACGGTCACCTTCTCCAGTAAAGATTTGAAGCTTCAACTCGATGTGACTATTGATCATGGTGAGGAGAATATAGATTCATGCCCTTCCCTAATATTCCGCCGAGTAAGGCAGAAGCAAGGTAAAGGTAACGGTGTTGTTGCAAATATACGATTACAAGAAGGTCAAGCTATCTCATTCGTCTTGCGTGATGATATTCCGGACCATATTACCAGGGACGTCACTACCGAAGTTTTAGATACACAACAACACGATACCCAGAGATACTGGTCAAATTGGATTGGTCAATGTAAATATACAGGTCGTTGGAGAGAGGTTGTGGCCAGAAGTTTAATGATTTTAAAATTATTGACTTATGAGCCTACTGGTGCGATCATTGCAGCACCAACATTCTCTATTCCCGAAGACATTGGAGGAGTTCGGTAAATATCCTGAGATCTTTTATAGGTATCTAGCTAACTTTCTAAGCAATTGGGATTATCGATACTCCTGGGTACGAGATTCTAGTTTCACTATTTATATTCTACTCAGGATGGGATTTGTCGATGAGGCAGATGCATACATGAATTTTATCAGTGATCGATTTAGATTGTCAAGGGGTCCAGATGGTGCTTTACCAATCATGTTTACAATTAGGGGTGAGACTGATATCCCGGAACTTGAGCTTAGGTGAGTATTTGGGATATGTTTCCTTTTCTTCCATTGACTAACCATTCATAGCCATCTCTCTGGTTATAGAGATAGTGGACCTGTTCGTATTGGCAATGGTGCAGCTTTCCATCAACAATTTGATATCTATGGTGAGCTTATGGACGCTATCTACCTTTGGAACAAGTATGGAAAGCCTGTCACTTGGGATCAATGGGTAGCAGTTCGAGAGATTTTAGGTATGTTGTTCCATGGCAATCTTTCACTAGTACCTTATGCTAAGAATTTTTAGATTACGTTCTGAAAATTTGGCAAGATACCGATATGTCAATTTGGGAAGTTCGAAGCAGGAAACAAAACTATACATATTCCAAAGTCATGCTTTGGGTAGCATTTGACCGTGGAGTACGTCTTTCAGAGAAGCGTTGCTTGCCATGTCCGAACAAATCAGAATGGTTGAGGGTTCGTGATACAATTTACGAAGAGATCATGCAGAAAGGTAATTTACATTCATATGTTATAGTTTAGGACAACTTGAGCCAACTGATAAATTTGTAGGTTACAATACCGAAAAGCAAATGTTTGTCCAAAGTTATGAATCACGCACTATGCTCGATGCTTCTATTCTCATCGCACCACTCGTCTTCTTCATCTCTCCCAATGATCCTCGTTTCCTGAACACAATCGATAAAATCCTTCTTTCTCCCGAGAAAGGAGGACTCACAGAGACAGGCCTCGTCTTCCGCTACAATACCTCTACATCTGAAGATGGTGTAGGTGGTCGCGAAGGTGCATTTTCTATGTGTACTTTCTGGTTGGTTGAAGCACTTACCAGAGCGGGTGTTTATGATAGAAAGTATCTGGTAAAGGCAGTTAACATATTCGAAAACATGTTAAGTTTTGGTAATCATTTAAGTATGTTTAGTGAGGAAATTGCGAGGAGTGGTGAGCAACTGGGGAATACGCCACAGGCATTTAGTCATTTGGCTTTGATTAGTGCAGCATTCAATTTAGATCGGGCGACGAAAGGCAAGAATTAGGAAGATGATGAAGTGGTAAATGGGGGAAGAGAGATGGTATTTAGATTGATTCTGGGGATGACAACTAGACTGTTACGACTTTTACGATAGGGGTGAGAACGAAAAATTCGGTATGGAAAGCTAAGAAAGGAAAACCTACAGTATGAGTATGGCATTCAGGTTGGTGCAAAATTCGAGCTTCTATATCATTTTTCCGCATAATACTCAACTGCTTCCATTCATCCAATAGGTACAACCTACCTAGCTTTTCACAGATGTTGAACCTCTAAAGGGCCATGGATGATATTTACAGACGCATTTATCGCTACACCTTTCACAAGTGATCAAGTAGTAGACATATTTTATGTGCAGCATTACATAAAACAATTCTAGATATACGAAAGGCATGAATATTCCATTTAATCAATGTCTTTGATTCCTGCACTGAAGTCTTGACTGATGTTATGTATGTCTACATTTCTGCATCGATTGCTCCTTCCCCCTCCGTTCTGAGAAAGGAAAGACCCTCAAGGCAGCAAGCTCGTGCTTAATCATTCACTTTTACTTGCACGAATGAAATCATTTCCCAAATCTCATGTTTTTCATCTCCATGAGTATTTGTCTTCAATTCAATCAAATCACTCAAGCCATAAACTTCCATTTCTTATTCGAGCCATCTCAAATATTTGGTAACCTTCGCACTGGTAGGGAACAGTCGTGTCACGACAGATACCATCCCAACTTCTCAACACATGAATTGATATGATATTCATGAGTGGCCAGTGAGAAAAGAGGGTAAAGGAAATAAAATGTATAGCCAACTCCGCTTTCTGTGTATTCTCTCGACTGAACCGGTTTTTGTTGTAGTTCTCATTCTCAAAGGTCGCCCCTCAACAGTCCAAAACGGCATCATCTACATCCTCGTCCTTGTCGTCGTCACCACCATGCCAAGACTTCCAACCAAAAATGAGCAGATCAATCTGCTTCGCATGCAACTTGAAGTAGAGCAAAAATCATGTGCTAGTCTCCGTCATACCATCAAGGCTAAGCAAGCTACCATTGAAAGTACTCTTGCGGAGTTAAAGGACGCGAAAGAAAGTCTTATCCAAGCTAGATCCACTTCACCTTTCATGAGAAAACTTCCTACCGAATTACGTCTCAAGATCTATAAACTGCTCTTGGTTAATCCTAAGCTGAGTGAAACCGAATCTATTGGCAAGGCTGTCGAATATGGAAAATCTGTCAAGTTCGAACTCACCCCAGCAATTTTATGTACATGTAAAGCAATTCACAGCGAAGCGGAACCAATTCTGTATGGCTCAAACACTTTCATCATCGAATGCATCGGTGGTTATGGTCCGGTTGGCTCCCTTCATGTCCCGCAATCACCACTCACCAGATTTACGGATCCTAGCTTCGCTGATTTTGATGATAGTGATTCAGAGGATGATTTGGAGCGAAACTCGATGGGATATTCTGGAACAGAGACTCCTTTTGAGTTTTCAACATTCAGTGCCTTGAAGAAAGTTAAGCGCTGGAGAATACTCACTGGTGCATACAGACCGACTCCAACAAATCCAGTACCAGCAAAGTCATTCGTTCACTTTTGTCAAGCACTATGTCAAGAAGCTCCAACACAACCACAAAGATCTCTCGAGATCGTCCTTGCACTTGCGAGAGCCAATAACGGTATTCCTACGATTAGGACTGAGGATACACAATACAAATTTTCTCAAGATCAACTGAAATATCTGCTTCAGCCGCTGAGGCTCTTGAGAGACATCAAATTGGAGTTGAACATTGCGCAATTTAAAACAGACTTACCACAATCTACCCATTTGTGCGGAGCTGGTCCGGAGTATTACTTTCCTTATAGCGAAGCCCAGACAGTCGAGGTCAATCTCGTGAGATCTATGAATTTGGCATTGCCTATCCTCCAGAAATACCAAGCTATTGTGGAGGATCTTTCACCCGTTGAGAAGGTATTCAAGATGTATGAGCGATTAGAGCGATATGTAGTGTCATTCGAAAGATCTGAACGATTTACATTGGACTTGATCACTTTGCAAAGAGGTCATGAAGGGAGTAGGAGAGAAACTCGTCATTTTGGTTGGCAACTTCCTGGTCCTTCTCTTGGCAACCCTTTCAAATCTCGCTTTCCTATATCGTATCATCCAGTGGAGCTCGCCTTTTCTAGTAAGTCAATCTTTATTCTTGAAGCATGAACTTACTTCCATGCCTGAACGATATCTGAAGCAATATTTATCTGGAAATCGCTGACACCTAGGACAGAAGCCATCGTAGCCAAAGATAAGGAGGATGTCACAGAGTTCAAAGCTGCTAGAGCTTCCGTTTTGAAAGAACTAGATCCTCAATACAGAAGAATGGTCGATGCATCTAAGAAGTTGACAGCTTTCGTCGAAAAAGAGAGACTTTCGGGAGTATTTCATGAGTGTACTGGTTGTGGTGTATTTCATCAATACGAAGAGGATCCATACGAGAGCACTCTTGGAGAGGATTTGGATCGCTACATCTATGAGCTCGATAAGATCGCCAGTTTATTGAATCGAACTATGCCAGATCATATTCAAATTCAAGTACAGAAAGGAATCACAATGTATGAGGCAGCATACATTCATTTGGAGAGAGAAAGACTTTTCCGAAAGTTACGCTGGATGCAAAAGCAAGACACCGTTATCAAGAGCCCTTCACAAATCGCTAAATGGACAAAGCGACTTATTGAAGATATGTGGGAGCACTGTCAACGTATTAGCTGGCATAGAGAGTGTCTTTTCAAGGATGATATTACAGATATTGGTTGTAAAATCAATAAAAAATTGGGACAGGGATTGATGGAACAAGAATTGGAGTGGCTCGAGGGATTTGAGAGTGATGATGAGGAATTTCATGAATTGCATTATGGAGATTAATTATTTGGCGAGGAATCAGAGATGAATTTTTGAAATGGACAAGGAGTATTTATAGATGGGGAGAGATACTAAGTAGTAGCTGTTGCAAAATTTGCTGATGGGAAAATGGAATGGGATACATAGCGATGATACATGTTCTAATGGCTTAGCTGAGCGTAGCATGTTATGGCGATATGGGATTTTGACTGACTGGCTCTTTTGGCTCTTAATAATATTTCATTGTAATCTTTACTATCCTAGTTTGTAGATGTATTGTGCTTGTGTGATTTATGATTGCCTCTTTCATTTTTCATTTTCATTTTCATTCCTTTCCTTCTCTTCCGTCTCTTCTCCTTTCACTTTATTTCGGACACTAGAAATTTAAAACTCGTGTGGTTAGTATCCTCGAGTAGTAGAGTATCACGGGGAGATCTCGGATAGAATTCTGTGCTTTGGTCGAGTGTTAAGAATGGAATGAAATGAAATGGGAAGGAAGAAATGCTCATAGAGGTACGCGGGCGGAAGAGGGGAGAGGGGGAGAGGAGATAGAGACAGAGGAGACAGAGGAGACAGAGGAGACAGAGGAGACAGAGGAGACAGAGGAGACAGAGGAGACAGAGGAGACAGAGGAGACAGAGGAGACAGAGGAGGAGCTTTTCAGTGCGAGAAAATCTTTGCAATGTTAGAAAAGATAGATAGAAATACACAGAAATAGAGTAGGGTATATTGAGCGGTAGCAAGATAGCTGGATACCGAAGAGGAGGAGAGTTCGATGGTATGGTATGGTATGGTATGGTATGGTTTGTATAAGAGAGGACGAATGGGATGTGAATAGAGTAAGAAGTGTAAACATTCTCCGCATCAAGAATATAGGGAGAGCAAAACGAGGTTTAGATCCACAGCTTGGCCATCAAAATTCTTCGAATATAGGTAGGTTACTGTTAGGAAATGATATGGATGGTTATACGATGAAAGAGTTTAGTGGGTAGGATAGAGTGGTGCGGATGGAAGTTGAAGTTGAAGTGATGAGATGATATGATATGATATGAGATGATATGAGATGATATGATATTGGATTTTCAGCTGGAGATATATAGATAGGTAGGTAGATCTTTGAAAGAGTTATCTTGAGGCGCAGGGGGTTGTTTTTTGTAAATATATACTAGGTTGGTATGTATTGGGATGGAATGGATTTTGAGTTATTGTATGCGGGATTGTATTGGTTCTATATGGGGAGAGTTATTAGAGTTGTATAATCATGGAACTAAGGAGTGATGAAGATTGAAGTTCGCTCTTCTATGTTGTAATTGATGGTGTGGATAGATTGATAGGTAAAAAGAAATATTGATAGCAACTAGAGAAGAAACTGTTATTCAGTAGCAGGCATTCCATGATATCCCCAACGATTAATATCATCTTGGAGGGAGGATCTTGAATAAGATGCATCCATTAGTGCGGTGCAGTCCACAATATCGAATTGATCCTCCCTAGCAGAACAACTTCCTCGACGCGATACGAAGAGTAGGTAGCATTGTAAGATCTTACTTTCCAAGCCACCCATCGATTGATGGAAATACTCCCGGATGTGAGCATTCTCATCCCCATCATTTAGAGACTTAACACTTGTATTCTCTTATCTGAAAAGGATGCGTAATTTCCGCTGCTGGCACGAACGAAAGATATGAAATAAATAATCATGATTGAAATTCATAGATATATTGCGCAGTGATGGCTAGCTACAGTTAGGAATATCATAACAGGTAGTTTTCCTTCCGAGCTGTGAGATTATTTCTAGAGAGAGGGAGGATTTATGAAAGGGGTCTTTGATGTTGTGTGAAATGATCAGACGAGAGAAAGGAAGAAAGTGTGTAGTGATGAAGTCACGATTCCCATTTGTGAGGATCGGGATGATGGTATGAATACTTATTTCTATGCACTCTTCAATACCGTATGAACTATACAATGATCGAACGGACCGTCTCCCGTCTCTACGATCTCATCCTGAGAAATCAAAAACACTTTTTTGATATTGTGCAAGCACGGTGGTGGAGATGGTAGGATAGATATCTCACTAACTATCTCTTGCTCTCAAAATACCTTGGAAAGCGCTGGGTAGTAGACAGATTCTTTGCATAAATGTTCTCGAATACATACATTTACACAAACATTCACACATACCATACCGTATAATCAAGTCAGCCTCGAAAGTTATCTCGTCATTATTCATCATCATCAATCAGATGACCATCATCCCCTGTTCCAGTCAACACCCCGAAGTTTATCTACTCCCCAGAGCAACTATCCTCCACCATCCAAACAAAGTACAGGTGTCTACCTACCTACCTACCTACCTACCTAGGTATCGAAAAGACCCCGCACTACCACATACTTCGTACAAACCTTGCGATGACGGCATATGCAACGAAGCAGATAAGGGGACAACCAATACTAGCACTTAGGAGCGAGCGATGGTGCGATAGCTGAATGTTTAAAAGCGAGATATGGAGACGCGATGATGAAAGAACGAGAGGGGAAGATAGGGGACGGGGGAGGTGAGGAATCTGATTGGATATGCGATACGAATTCTTATCCCGTTTGGAGGAATTTGGAGAGAGATCTCGAGGAACTAATTGGATAAGCGAAGGATTGGATTTTCTTCGGTCCGAGGCGTCCGATGTTGAACCTTTTGGTGAAGGTGTTGGGGGTGCTGTATGTGCTGTATGTACCAGAGTAGATAAGGCGAGGTGGGATTGTGATTATGTGCTTGACGGGATTCAAATGCGAAGGGGATGGAGGAATAATTGGATCTTGAGAGGGAGAAAGAAAGGAAGGAAGGTGGTAAGATAACAGCAAGGTAATTGTAGCAATACGCAACAGAAAATCATTCGTTCACACAATCACATCGTCAAAGATTATCAGTTAGCAAGCGGTACCCATCTACCTACATCAAATCAACATTTACATCATTAACAGCATCCAATCAATCCTCAAAAATAGAAATAAAATCATCATTTTCCTCAAAACCAAAAAAAAAAAAAAAAAAAAAGCTAAAAGAGAAGCCATTTATTCTTATTTCGTCTCAAATAAGCATCAATAGTATGAATGAATAGTGGATCCTCCAATCCCAGATTTAAGATCTTTTTCTAATGAAAAAGAATAGTGAGATATAATTATCCCACCCACACGAATCCATATTCTTCCTAGCACCATCCATTCGCAAACTTGGAGTCTGTCCCTCCCAAAACTTAAGCTTTGAATTGGCAGATAAGTTTCGAAATCTTAGCTGGGAGAGTTGAGTTGAGTGAGGGAGCTAATTCCAAACCTGCGAGTCTTGTTTCGTCGTCTCGTCCCGTCTAGACTTATTGTACGTAGGTACGAAACTTGTCAACATTCATATTACTGTCGGGAGAGCATAGCTAGCATCTCTGGATATCTCACCAGACTCTTTCCTGCCAAACAAGACAAACACCAGACCAGACCAGACCACACATTTCACGTAAACGTAACCCAAAGTGCCATCGCTATTGGATGAATGGACGAGAACGAATCTCGATAAGTCGATGAGAGCACACCTAGTAGCTGCCATAGATGCAGATCATGGTGCATCCATCCCATAAATTTACATACAGCAGAGACCAAGCGAAGAGCGACGACATTTTTAAATTTTTTCGTGAAGATCGATCTTTGGCGCAAGTGAGAAAGTATATCGGATTCTGGCACTAATGCTCTGAGCTACCCTCAACTACTTTCTCTAGCAACTTGTCACATACCGTCGATCGCTAGAATTCTATCCTATACCTACCTAGGTAGGTACCAGATCTTTAATTGTGTGTTGATGAGTATCGAGACGGGAAAGGAAGTCATTTCTCTTTAGAGTTTTCGATAATATGATGAAGAAGAGGAATAATTACAGTAGTCACAATGATATTAATGATTCATATTGTTCAATTTTTGAGAATGTGCAAGATATCGTTCTAGAATGAGAGATCGATACGATGGATGTTGACGGAAGAAGTTATATTTACCCCTTGCATATAAGTTATACATACGTACCTACATACCTACATACATAACTATGCACCTACGTATCTTAAATCCTCACATGATGGTACACACACACATACATACATACATACATACATGCTGCATAATCCCATCCAAATACTCCATTCCCCCAACTCCCGATATGAAAATAAAACACGGAAATGCCAAAGCAAAGCAAACCCAGCACAGTCCCTCGCGCGAAACTTTCACAGCCATGAAAAAGTCCCACTCCGCATCCATCCATCCATCCATCCATCCCCGTCCCTCAGCGGACTTTCCGCAGACACACACTAGGCCTGAGAGTGCGAGTGCGAGTGCGAGTGCGAGCGCGACCCATTCCTCGGATGCAGTGCGCGTGTTTCCGTTTCCATACCTCCCTCACACGATACCGGTACCTCAGATCTCTCACACCCGACTGACACCTGATACCACGACATCCCCATTTCATTGAAACTTTGTTTCGTCCTTTGCGTTTTTGTTTCTCCCGGTGTCAACTCGTGCTTTGACTGACACTTTGGTTTGGTTTGTATCCTTGCATGTTTGTCTCTTTCCTGATTTGCATGCATCGTTATTCATTTAGTGTTTACTACATGTATCAATTTCTCAATGTCTCGTAGATATGGATCCATGTGTATCTCCGAGTTTTCCTACTCCAGACTCCAGACCCCAGACTCCTCCTCCTTCGATACTTCATGCTAGTATACCATACCATACCATACCATATCACATCACATCACATCACATCATGCTTCACCAAACTATATCATAGCATACTATACCCTATAAAATCTACGCCATCTATCCATCCAGCTACTTGCTCATGCAACTAACAGACCCAGCAGCACGCGAAAAACAAAGCCCCAAAAGCAAAACCCCCCAATAATACAAGTCTTGCGATCGATCTTCTTTACTCGGTATCACGTACCGTACCCATCTCATCAATGCCAATCCCCCAGCTGAAATCTACCTAAGACTTTCTTCCATGCTAAGGATCCTTCCATGTATACTACGGTAGTACACTACCTATCGCAATGACACACATAGTATGCTCGGTACATCGATTGTAGTTCTTGTGTTGTGTGTGTGTGTTTGTATGTGTGTATGCTTCTCAATTGATGAGTTTTGCAAAGATGATCTCTGAGGTGTAGTTGGTGTGTTTGATAAGTTTGGAATGCTTGGCTTGTTGCGGAGGTGTGGAGGTGTCTGTGGAGGATGTGTATATAGTTTTGTTTTTCGAGTTTTCTGTATCGGTATGTATGTATGTTGTCTATCTACTTGTGTCGTTGTCTAGCTTGTCTATCCCCATCTATCTATCCATCTACCTCGTGATATGCGCCGAGGCTCCCATCTCCATGCTCGTAACGTGTAACGTGTAACATGGGGCGGCTTCACATCATCCCTATCGAACCATGTGCATCCATGTCCCTTCATTCCATTCATTCCATCCACCAAGCCACTCCTTCCACAACCCCAGCATTCCAAGTTCCCAACACCGAAAAACGGGGGTCCGCTATGCAGGTATGGGGAAGTGCGGTCCCCGATAAACTACCTAAACACTTGCGTAAGTTGAGTAAGTGAGCAAGTAAGTTGGTAATCTCCCAATACTTGTATGCACATAGATCATTTACCCAAACCAGTAATAAATCTAGTAATAAATATACTCTGTGGTTAGTTTGATCAATCCCGCAAGCACAATGCAATGTCAAAGGTGCACCAACCTTACTCCTTACTCTGTAGTATTTTATTTCCAGCATCACAATCTCCCTCTCCATCACCAGGCTTTCGACGGCCTTCTCGATTGATTGATTGATTGATTGATTGATCGATCGACCAATAATTCCCATGAAGAGATGCTCTCCGCATTGCTCTCTCATGTCATCTGCAAAGTTTATTCACACACTATGACTTTAGTTATTTAACGTTACATACTATTAAGTATTCTCATATCGTAAGTTTTACGCATATTAAGCTTGTTTGTTCTATTAGTCATACAGGGGGGTGGTAAATTGAATTGTAATACGGAATCGTGTTTGGGATGAGATGGGATGTCCGGTATCCGAGTTCCGATCACGTGGGAGGAGGAAGGATAGGTTGGGATACGATACGATACGATACAATACGATACGATGCGATATTCAAGTACCTACCTAGGTAGGTAGCAGGTAGGTAGCAGGTAGGTAGTAGGTCCTTTTTTCAAAACGTTTAGTTTCATACAAAGTAGACCAGAGAAAGGAAGGACATGACATGTACATGTACATTGACCAAATTGAAGAATTGAATTGAAACTGGACCGAATATTGAATACCCAGATACCTACCTACCGACCTATCTAGCAGAGGATGGCTCAGATAATACAAACAAACCCAGATACGATACGAGCAATTCTAGAACAATATCTCGAGACATACCTATCTAGTATTCAAGCCTTCTTTTGCTCACCAGGGCTTAGATCGTGATGAATCGAGAATCGAGAATCAAGAATAGAAAAAGGGTCTGCTACTTATTCTTACTTGAGTAGGTATGTTTGATACGTGTATCATATCATCATACCGTCCGTATTCTCTGTCCTAAAAATACCTATTTCTCTACTTGTGTACTTATTTATGTACTTATCTATGTACGTACTATCCGTCCCGAGAAAGAGTACCTACATACTACATACTACATACCTGTTGTACCAAAGAGATAGAAAATCAACATTCCATTCCCATCTCCCCAAATCCCCCCAAATCCCCAATAATATAATACAATTTCATATAATAACCTTACAATACAATACACTATACAAAAACAACAACAAAAAAACCCAACCCAACTCAATCCAAAAAGTCCGTGAGAGAGGACTGTACCGGTAACGTAGTCTTACAAAAAAACAAGCCAAAAACCCACCCACCCGAGCCACCCCAAAAAGATCTTCACAACTTAATTTAGAGAAAAACCATACATGTATGTATGCTTTGACAGCGCAGTGATGATCACTACCCAGATTATGAGGGACAGACAGACAGGAAGGAAACATTCGCGATCCCCGGGATGTGGTAGGGCGGTAAGTGGAGAGGGAGGTAGGTAGTGTAAGTAGGTAAAGTAGGTAGGTAGGGAGCTAAGGGAAGTTGGTTTTCATATTTTGTTTTACCTTTTTGTTTTACCTTTTTGTTTGGGTTTATTTGGGGTTATTTGGGATGGATGTGTATGTATGTATATGTATGTATGTATGTATGTGAGTATGTGTATATGAGCATAAGTCAACTACCTGATCCTGATCTGAGGATATATATATATGTATATACACACAAATAAACAGCCAAAAACTACGCATCCAACTCTCCAAAGGAACCATGGAATAGAACAAACCCACCTAATACCTCCCCTCCCATCCAACCATCACCATCACCATCACCAACCCTAAAATATAATAACATCATAATTCCCATCTCATCTCATCTCATCTCATCCCATCCCATCCCATCCGATATAGATCTATCTCATCGAGGAACATGCGTCCCTGCCTACCTGCCCAAGCGTAAACAAAAATCCGCAAAACCAATAAAAATAAAATCAATAAAACATACTTCTTTTCTTTTTTCGCTCCGTGGGTGGTGAGTGATGTGATGTGATGTGATATTATTATTATTAATAGTGAGTGATAATTGTCTAGATCAAACAAACTAGATCTCAACAGTGAGCACACACCCACATACACACATATACACATACACACATACTACTCCAGGACGGACTAACACAAAGTACAATGGATGTGATATTGAATTGTATCATACTCCCAATAAGTTAAGTTACTTGGAACATAATATAATTTCTCATTAGCATAAGGCTCGGTGGCTCGGCTAGAATGCTTTTGGAAGGGTTGATGGTTCAAGGTAGGATCATAATGCTTGCATGTAATGAATGTACCTACCTAGGATAAGTATAATTTGGTATTAAGTATGACGGAATTAACTAAGGACTAATATAATAAATCATAAAATCTAAATTACCTTATTTCATAATCCGCTCGGTATTTTGATTTTATTCTCTATGCCCTCTTTCTCCCTCCCTCTCTCTCTCTCTCTCTCTATATATAAGATCCGAGTCTTATCCATATAACCCATAATCTTTAATCTATAATCCATATCCATAACTCTTATTACTATCATGGCTTGGGCTGAGGCGTGGGCTTAGTATCCATAAAGTGTGTCCACCATCCGTTGTCCGCTGGATACTTATCTAGTACTTCCATCCATGATCCATATTCATCTCCATACATGCCACACACACATACCACAATAACCACAAATACCACAAGACCATAAGTAAGCCGTCCTCCTTTTTATTCATATATCTATCAATCATAGTCACAGCATGATCCCGACCAATCCACCATTCTCCATCATCCATTATCCATCATCATCCGCCATCCGTCATCCACCCTCATCCACCCTCATCCACTTCCTTGCATGACTTTACCCCAGGATCTCAACAATTTCTTCACATTTCAATTTCACTATCCATTTTAGTTTATGCTGATCGTGCAAACTTATAAAACAGATTTCAAATAACTCTTATACTCATCAAAACATTTTGCGAATTCTTTCATACCCGTTCCATCCATATATCATACCATCTTTGCGATGCGAATTTGATTTTCGTCTCTGAAATTTTGACGTTGGGATTGTATCAAATAGCTCGAAAAACCGTTAAGCTACCCCAACGGATTTTGTTAGTGTGCGTGTTAGTACCTAGGTATCATACCAATCAACACCAACACTCACTCAGTCAATCAATCAAATCTCACAAAGGAAATTTTACTTATATTTCCTTCACTCGGCCACAACTCTTAAATCAACTTATCTTTTAATGTTCATACCGAACTTGGAATCCCCTTATCAAATCAATAACAATCAACAAAAGAAATATGGATCTCTCGAGAGAAGATGAATATTTCGAGTGGGTGGATCGAACGGATTTGGTCGATGTTGCGCCGCGAATAATTCGTCAACCCGAGATATCAGCCTTGAAAGTTATTTGTATGGACGATGCCGATGATGATGATGAATTCGAATTTCCACGGTATGACGATATACAATGGAACAACAACAACGAGGATCAGGTTCCAAAGGAGGAATATCACGCTCAAGTCGACTATTACCTCCAATCTCCCTCACTACAACCGACATACCTCGAAGATGATGTATCATTGTGCAGTACTCCAACAACCCTCTCTCCTTCAGATCAATCGCCAACATCCGAACTTTCGGAGCTGCCGGAACCCACTGAACCTTGCGATATCACCGAAACTGTGGATGACTTGGGTGTCCGAGTGAAACCGTCACATCATGTAGATTATCTCGCACACGATTGGCCAGAAGAGGATCTATGGGCGTCCTGGAAATTCATTCAATCACATCGTACCGCATATGAAAATAGCAAAAGATTGGAGAATGCGTCTTGGAGAGGTTGGGCGAAGAAACGATCCAATCTGAAAACAATCGACCCATCAACATTTGGCTGGTATGCACCTTTACTTTGGGATTTCTTGTCAGCGCAATGCTAACACAATATTAGGGAAAAGGACCATGATACAACATGGCTATATGGACCACTCCACAAGCCAGAATCCTCGCAATCTCTATTTTCTTCTCCCATGGATATGGATTGTCGACCGAAATTGACGAGATCGTTATCATACGCAGACGTCAATGTAAAGCCGATTCTTAAACAACGAGGAATATGCGATGTGTTATTGAAACGTTCATCGTCGGCTGGCTTGGAATCGATGGAATCTTCTCTGCCTTCCCTTTCTTCCGGCAGATCATCCCCTACATCGACCTCTTCAAGAAAATGTGTTCGCTTCAACGATGAGGTTGAACAATACATCGCGGTGAATAGTTCATATGAGGAGGTTACCGATTACACGACGGGGAAATCGAACATGCGCATTGTCGCCAAACTTCCAAACTCGACTCTCAAGAATATTGTCGAGGTTGATAATATTTCCGCCGTGGCTTATAGTCTACAACAATCTTTGATACAAGATCATTTCGTCCTACCGAGGTTCGAATACGAAGAATACGCCAGTGCTGCGAATGGTGATGATGATGAGTGGGAGCTTTCGATGATAGGGATGGATTTCAAGTCGTCGACGACTTCGATTTCAGTAGGAGGTGTTTATTAATCTGGGTAATATTTCACACTTAGCATGGCGTCTGGGTGGAATAAATAATAGCAGCATAACAGGTGTTTTGCATAGCATGTTTTGAGGAATTATGGGATGAATGATACCACTTGCTACTCGGTGCCCTTGGTTGGCAACCTGACTGGCTGAAATTTGAAGAGGAACGTCATGTCCTCGCCGGTACTACAATGTCCGGCATGGTTTTGTACCCATAGCATAGCACATAATGAAAGAAAGAAATTAAAACTCAAAACATGAGGATATTGATATGATACGATAGTTGACAGTACATGATTTCATGCTTTGAAAGGAGGAGGTGATGAACGTACGTCGCTGGCAATATGTATATGTATATGTAGGTATGAATCTATGATGAGGGGTAGCTTGGAATTTTCACTAGAGTCGCGTGCGTGATTGGATGGGGCAGAAATTCACCGCTTGGGATATCACCAGATTATTTTGAATAGAAATGATTCGATGATGAAAGAAGGAAAGAAAAGAAGAAAAGAAAAAGACATGTGAAGTGAGGTAAGAATGAATGGATAGGTGGGTGGATGATTCAATATATAGTCTCCTATTTATATATCTTCTGTTTGAATGGGGATGGAGACGAAGATGATGGGGATGTGAAATTGGGATGTGAAATTTCAATGGGATTGGGAATATGTGTCTTATATCTGATATCTTATATGGGTAGCTATAGGGGGGAACTGGTCCGGTACTCTTGGAAGTACTCTAGGGAGTAGGGGAGAGGGGAATAGAGTAGAGAGTAGGAGGTAGATTGATCGGAATAGGGCCCGAGTTTGACAGGGGGAGGGGGTGGAAAGGAGGGATAGGAGGGAAATGAGGAGGTAGGAGGGAGGGATGATGGAGGGGAGGTTTATATGTAGGGAGGTAGGTCTGTAGGTTTGCGGTTTGTGGTTTGTGGTTTGTGGTTTGTGGTTTGTGGTTTGTGGTTTGTGGTTTGATATTTGATTTTGATTTTTGAGAGGGGAGGAGGGAGAAGGTACTGGGTAGGTAGGTAGTTAATTTGACATCAATTTATCTGATTTAACACTCTGCCGGTAAGAGATACCGATAGGTCGAATGAACAACAAAGTAGGGTTTCAAGTGCCCTTAGAATCTACCGCTATCGAACGAAGGAGTTCGTAGTCCGAAGGGCTTTGTGTACTCGACTGACTACCTATATACACGTAACCAAGACACGTGCAGGCTCGCACGTGTTCGGCGAACTTCCTTCGAAGTTTGGTCGGAAAACTCACTCGATAGCATCTCCGAATGCTTTTCGAGACAATTAATCATCCCATCATTTTTTTCCAATTAAATTAAATAAAGCCTTGCATACGCCTGCATCGTCGCCTTCGGGCGTTGGATTGAATCACCTGCCCACCTGGGTAAATTCAGGGTTCTCATCAACCTCATGTCTGAAAAACAAGTTGTGATGCCAGCAGATGGTTACATTCTATATCTACTTCTCCAAGAAACGTTTGTTTGTTTAAATTATATCCCACTTGCATTCACATTTTAATTCTCAATATGAAAAATAGAGAAAAGTCTTCGGAAAATAAGAAAAAGGAACTTTGTGATATGTGCAACAACATTCCAGCAGTAACATTCTTCAGTAATGGGAACCCAGCATTAGGATATCAGGGGAAATATGGGTCGACAGAATTGTATCAGCTCTTTGAAGGTCGTAACGCACTCATAGAACTAAGACTATCTGCAACCAACGGCTGTAGTCTTTGCAAATTGTTCCAGGATGCTCTCGAATGTTCTCATCATCATCCCGACGAGCATCTTCGAGATTACCCGAAATACTGCGACTGGGGAATTCGGCTCGAAAGAAAGCCAGAACTGGAGATTACTTTTGGTCTCTATTGCGATATGATGCTTGATTACCGGCTGATCATCCATACGGACGAGGCCACAACCAGGTCCATTGAGCCTTCTTCATACGTAACCGAAACTGAGTCGGATTCCCCTGCTAATTTTGCTCTCGCTCGTTCCTGGCTGGCTGAGTGCCGCATGGAACATGAAGACTGTAGAGATTTACTAGAATCCGAACTGCCTGCACGGCTGCTGGATGTTACGGTGCCCTCAAAACCAGGCATAGTTCGCCTTTGCTTGACATCTGACTTTCCCACCGAAGGAGTGGACTACGCAGCGCTTAGTCACTTTTGGGGTTCCAATCACCCTCCAAAGACAACTAAGAACAACTTGCAAAGTCAGCTGCAAGGGTTTCCTGAAAATCGACTTCCTTAGACCTTCTACGACGCTGTGCGCACAACTAGGGAGCTTGGTCTTCGATACCTCTGGATTGATTCATTGTATATTGTGCAGGACGATCGAAACGATTTTGAAGTAGAGTGCGCTCGAATGAACACCATATATACCAACGCTCTATGCACAATCGCTGCATCTGATGCCAGAGATTCCAGAGATGGGATTTTCCAATCGCGGAAGATGAAACCAGTTCGACTGACTTACGAGAGCGACGGCCTCGAACCAAAGTTAACAGTAATAATCCAACCTGCGTTTTTTGGATGTTGGATGAGGGATTACAAAACCCTTTGCAGAGCCGTGGCTGGGTGCTACAAGAACGACACCTGTCTCCGCGTATCATTCATTACACGAAGAAATGTTTGATGTGGGAGTGTAGAATTGCTATCGCATTGGGATATCAAAAGAAGATGCGTCTCAAAACCGATGCTAATAAGACTATCGAGCTGGAATCCTCCTCTCATCGATTCCTGGATGAAGGAAGATCGAAATTCGGATCTTTTGGACGCGTATACGGATTCAAGAAACTTCGCGACCATTGGTATAGCGTTATACAACAATATTCGCACTGCCGTCTGACACACCTTGATAGCAAGCTACCAGCATTCGCTAGGTTTGCTGCAGAGTGGAAGTGAATTAAACCAAATGACGTATACCTGGCTGGCTTATGGAAAAGTGATATTTTTAGGGGACTCGCGTGGTTCCCTGGCTCTAAGCAAATCTGTGTCGATCGCCGCCTGCCTGAATTTGATGTAATTTGGCCACCGTCGACCCCTTTTAGAGGCATACCATCCTGGTCCTGGGCGGCGTTCGACGGCGCTGTGGTTCACGTTGAGGAATCATGGTCGGCATTTTATGATTACGACCCGAGTACTTCAAAGGAAGAGCAGAGCTTTTCGATTAATTCTTGCACTCCACATCTCCATAGTGCAACGGCAACGACTGTTGGACGGAATCCTTTTGGACGGAATCCTTTTGGACACGTGAGTCAAGGCAAGATCACTTTATCAAGTTGGTCGATTGTCGTTATTTTGAGTGAATTAGAACTTTTACCCTACACAATATTGTTAGGGGAAGGCCCAAAGAGGTACCATCTGTCTCCAGATCGTAGTGTGCAATGTGGAGTGGTGTATTTTGATTACGATCCTTTCTGTCTCCCGAAGATACAAGTACGACTTCTACAACTCGGTGGGGGCACATTTTTCCATGGGAACCAGGCATGGGTATGTGGGCTGGCTTTATTAATGCAGCTGAAAGGTAAGGAATTGACTACGACCGAAGATTTGTATAAGCGAATTGGCATATTTGAGATCGATTGCGAGTCCTTTTGGTTTAAAAGGAGAGAACGAAAGGTTATTACAATGATTTGAAAACAATTTTCAAATATTACATCTAAATATATGTTACTATAAGTTTTAGTCGCCTACCCCGCTTTCTGCTATTTCTTTATCCCGAACACTTTCATTTTCAAGACTAATTATTTTCAAAATTCTTATTATATTATACTCATTTATATTTTCGAGATCTTTGATAGACAGGAGTATCATCTACCTCCCTACCGTTATTAGTTAGCCCTATCATGTCAGGAGGCACGAAACCGAGATAGTCATTTTAGTAATTGTAGTATTCCACCAAGAGGAAAAAAGAAAGCAGGAATGCTTCCTTTTTTGGATATGGCTAACTATCCATAGGAAGAAAAAACAGACGGAATTTGATCATTTCTATAATATCTTTATAACTCAATTATTCCTTCTGAAAATCATATTGTTGGTTTGAGAAGAATACAGATAATGTAGCGCCTACGATGGTAGGTCCTAGATGTTAATATTGTATTCTGTCTCGAGAGCTAGCTGTGTATACCTAGGTAGAGATAGTAGGCTTTTGAATCAAGGCTTCTGAAAGAGTGAGATTCTTTCGCATTCGCTTAGGTAACGCAGTAGTTACAGTATAATGGGTTGAAGTTATTCATCTACGTTCATATGGAGATGAAATAAAACTATTACATATTGCTTGAATATTGAGAAGTTAGTATTTCTTCTAGTTCTGTCGAATTTATATAAATTATTTGTGATCGATTTTTAATTCAATTTATTCACAAGATGTAATAGAAACTTAAAGAGTCAAATTTCGCCTGTTTTTTTTCTCCTTGAACATCATCGGTCGTCGATCGACTCAGATACATCATTAGGTTTGATATCCGAACATCAATGCTACCCATTGGCATTATATTCTCAGTACCTGGGTCCCTAAGATACAAGTCTAACATAACATGTCCCCTTATTTTCCCTACATCTTAAAAATCTTCCCGAACCTCATCGTCGAGACAACTCATCTAATTTCTCCTTCAACTCTCCAACTGCAGGACTCACACTCTCGCTACTCTTCAATGTCATCACCGCTCCCTTTTGTGCAATCTCGATCAATCCATCTCCCAACTCACATCCTCTCGCTAATCCTGAGATCAGGACACCCATAAATGTATCACCAACCCCATTCACACTAACCACATCACTCTCTTCCACCTTCTCTGCCGCTGGAAATAATCTCATATATACACCACCCACTTCTTCATTTCCATTAGTACAACGTGATAGAATGTATGGAGCATGATCCGGATCTCGAAGTCGTGGATCGGTAGGCGATAATATAGAAGTAAGTAAAACTCCCTGAGAACCTAGCTTAGTGAGAATAGTTGGGATGTAAGGAAGTAGTTGAACAGCTTTGACGGGAATCCCTTGGTCAGTGAGATCTTTAGATGTCATCTGGACGAAACGATCTCGAGCACCGGTGCTAGGAATACCAAGCGCGTCGATTGTGTGCCACCATTCGTCGGTCTCGAATTTACCGTGGGTCGTGGCGGCATCGTGCATAGCAGTGAGTTCATGCTCATTAGGAGTTGCGAGATGCACACTATTCTTCGGGAAGACGGGAAGTTTATTGGCCTTCAGAGATGAGCTGGTAGGGCGTTCAAAGAGACGTGCAGATTTAATGGTTGAGACAGGTTCATATGCGATCTTGATGGAAGACGAAGATGATTTCGTGGCGCTCAAGAACTCTTGGATGACTTCTGATTGCCAATTTGCGTCTACAATGACCCATTTTGTGGAAGATGTAAGAGACTTCAGTTTACTGTGAATGGTTCGAATTGATGAGTCATTGGATGGCCTAGCAAATATATCCATATCGGCCATGGCTATGACGAGGTCTTTCTTTCCATCATTAATGGCAACATACTGGGCTGTGCGGTAGTCAGTATCTTTCGAACATATTGTGATATCATCGGTATTGAGTCCATTGCTTTGTAAGCTTTGAAGTATCGATTTTCCGGCCCTAGAAGTATCAGAATCTATTGATGATACGATTGTGGGCAACTTACTGATCATCAGCAATAAACGTATATAGACTGACTGGCTCCTTGGTACTAAACTGAGCCGCACGTAAGACATTATAACCAACGCCACCTATCGATGTGTGTATTTTTGCGATATTCGATGTGTGCATCTGAGGAGAAGAAGCCCCGGTCGATTGGGTGGTAAGAGGAGTATGGTCACAAGCGAGATCTATAGCTATTGAGCCTACAACGACTATGCTGGGCTATAGGAAATAAAGAATTAGAAAGTAGTAATATTATAAAACGTGGCTTACTCGAAAAAACATTGTGAAAGGCGAGGATTATTGCAAACCTTTGAAGTGGAGACACTGGAAGAGGATAGTTCTAAGCTAGGGTGATTTGGGTCTATCTTGTTTGTATTGGCTGTAGAGTAAGGCCGTGTGAGGACTTTACTAGTGTTTTCCCTATGAGTATCTATTGAGCCAATGTCAAATGTTTGATCCCACGCTTCACTGACCAGCGTTTGGATTCATCTGTTCTTAACCTAGAAAGCTCAACTGCTACTTTTGTCGCCATTTTGACGTTGGATTCTATCAATGCCCGATTTGCTGCAGTACTATTGCCCTTTGTAAGTTCTTTGATCCTTGCCAAAATGAAGGGGGTATTTGAATGGCCATGGAAACCCTGTTCGGCGGCTTCTTGGACTGCTTGATCGATAGCCTTGTCAATTTCAGACTTGGGAAGGGAGAATTCTTCAGGTATTGGATTTGCAAAATGAAAACCACTAGCAGATCTAAAAAAGTCCTGGGCATCTACTATTGTTAATCATCGCTTACTATACGGAGATTGACGAGGGATATAGTCCAAACTTACAGATAACGGCAGCAGCTTCTTCAGCGTTTTGAACAACCATAGGGCTTTTAACACCACTATCACGAGTGAAAAATGCCGGATAGTCGATCGGTCCAGTACGTCCATCTGCAAATGTGAAGACGCCGGCTCCTTGAGTCTCTAGATACTCCAACGTCCGAGGAATATCTAGAAAGCTTTTACAGCCACTGCTGATCACGGCAACTGGAGTACGTCCAAGTTCAGTGAGGTCGGCAGAAATATCCATACTATCCTGACCTCCACGATGAACGCCACCTAGACCACCAGTTCCGAAGACACTGATTCCAGCTTTACGTGCTAAAATCATGGTACCAGCAATTGTAGTACCACCAGTAATTTTGCGTCCAGTGATCCCCTAATTACAATTAGTCCATTGTCAGTTTTACCCAGAAAAATTTAGTTTGTTAAAAAGGACAGATCACCACAGAAACCACTACTTACCATTCCCAAAATATAAGGTAAATCTCTACGAGAAACCTTCATAGTCTCCGGTTTACCAGCGGCAGATGCAATAGCAATCAACTCCTCCTTGTTTAATCCCACACGTGCAACACCGTCCAAAATTCCAATTGTTGCTGGAATTCCTCCATTAAGACGAACAACATCCTCTAAATCGAGGGCCAACTTGACATTATCAGGATATGAATATCCGTGAGTATAAATGGTGGTTTCCAAAGCTACAACTGGTTTCTCATACCTCGTGGCCTCTCTCACTTCCTCAGATACCTTGAAGAGTCTACTCTCAGCATCCCCAAAGCCCGGCCTTTGGGATCTCTTTTGATAACTGACACGCCCTTGATTAGACGGGTTGCTGAAATGGCACTTGGATAGTAAGGTGCTGGTTGACACCGAAGAGATTCGGATCCCACGTGTGGGCCGGAGTATGGAATTCATGATGTGAGGTACTTTAACATGTAAACCGTGAGGATGTAAGACGAAGGATTCAATTATGTACCAGTAAATGAGTCAATCATGAGAAGATTATATACAGGTATCTTTACGGCCATCTGTTGACCTTATAACATCCGAGTGTATTCACCAATGAGATGTACGGTAGACAAGATAGTGAGTGGGGTGTGAATAGAAGCCTGTTAAGTTTATTGATAACCTTATTTTCACGTGATCAATATGTGATACCTCGGAAGGTTTGGAAGGATTTTTGACAGATGAAGCGCCGTCGAGATGCAAATTCAAGCAATGCAATATATTCGATACAAGCCAAGTCTCAATCAAACTTTGATTGGACTTCTTCTTTGAGATTTCGGATACAGTAGACCGAACCAATCAATTTGTTGATTTGAACACTGTTATGCATAATTTATATTAATTCGTAAGGAATATTTCATTCAAGAGATTGGAACGGAAATTTATGCCCTGGTCGTTATTTCGTATATTATCATGCTGATATTACTTGTAAAACCAACTGCCCGTTCTTCCTTTGACATGATGTATTCATTGCTCCTTCGATTTTCTGTACATTCTGGTTGCTGAGCATCTTTTCGCTATGGCGGCATTACAATCCATCATTCTTTTCATTTGTCTCTGCGTTCAAGGTATTTCCTCTCAAGAAATTGTCAATGGACAAATTTATACTCCTGGTATCGCGATAGTCGATGCGCCGCAACCAAATACACCACTTGGAGGGGGTAAGTTCTAGTGAAACCCTGACTTTGGATGTTGGATGTTTTCTAATTGTTTAGATTTCCTACAAGTTGCGCTAGATGTCACCTCAGATGGACAGCTTCAACTTCCACCCTATCCGAAGAACGCTGTCTCGGAGATCTATAATATCACCATGTTTCTCTCCAGTTATACTACAGGGAAAAACTTTACAATCTCAAATGGAACCGCGACAGCAGGAAATGCGAGCTTAGGTGAGATCATGGCTCAAGAATCAAGTAGCACAGTCAAACATGTAAATTGGGTTTGGCCGGATTGTCTTGTTGGTGATGGCACATCAGATAAAAACACTGCAAGGGGGGCATATAATGTGCGTCCTTGATAACCATCCTATGCTTGTGAGTCAACTCTAACAGTCTTGTAGATTTCCATCCGTCAAAATTTCCGATTGAATGGAACTGATCAGTACACAATTTTCGACCTACCAATTCAAGTCACCAACTCTATACCTGAGCAAAGTGATAGACCTTCTTGTGATTCGATCAACAATGATTTGATTCCCTGGGCCACATTAAACGCGTCGGCAAATAGTTTTACTCGTATTGCAGGAACGGGCATACAAACTACTGGCTCGTCGCAGAATGGGATTGGTGCCGGAAGCTCTATCGATTGGAGAACTGGTGTACATTATATATGGATGGGAAGTCTGGTTATGATGTTCGCGCTATAATTTCTAGAACATCGAGTCAAGGGTTAAGGGGGATAGATTCTGTACTAATTTCCAATCTAATTTAAGTTTCATAATCCACCGACGCATCCTTAGAGTCCAGTTTCCGTTGCATTAGTTAGTTTGAGAGCTAACAACTAATTAGCCTACAGCTTCAAGTGTCCTTTAGTTATATCCTCCCATAGTAAGGTCACTTAGTCTCCCACAAAGTGCTATTTCTAGACAGCTTTATTTTCTGTATATTGCTGGGTAAGACTTTGGGGCATTCGATTGGAGTCGAAAGAAAACCCGAAGACTTTACCGATGGTAAAATCCAGGATAAAAGCAAAAGACGAGAAGCCTGCTAAGTGTTATCACATAGCCCCATAATACCCTACACCTCTCATGGAGAAACCTATGCGCTAGACCCCGCTCCCCGCATTTCAAAACTCAAATCCTTTCCTCGGTTGGCAAACTTCATTTATCCTGATTGGCCAACATGTGCTTCGATGAATGCTAAGCCGGATATCTGGAATATTGTAGTCAAGTCAAAGGTAGTGACATTCCTGTCAAGATGTTCTCTTTTCTCACCTTTCATTCCATTGAAACTTCATTATCAATTCGTCTCATCGACAAATCCTCATAACTATCAATAACATTACACAACAGCCGGGAAATATGCCAATGCATAACGGATGGCTTCCACGCGAGGGTATAACCTTAAACCCTCTCTGTACTCGTAGCACCAAAGCTAACACAACATATAGGTTTCCGAAGTGATTCCCTTGGTAGCCTCATCAAGAAAACGGCATTAAATCCCGCTTTTACATTAGTCTTCCTCATTCTAGCTCGTTACACTAAACGGGGAAATGATCTTTCGATTCTTCATGAGACGGCCTTTTCTCGAATTCGAAAACTCTTCTATTTTGGGGTTGTCAGACTAGTGTCCAATTATTTGGAAAGAGGCGTGCAGAATAATTGGGTAGATGATGTATATGATTGGAAGAAAGAAATTGTATTGATCACCGGTGGTGCGGGAGGGATCGGTGGTCAAGTAGTAAAGCTTTTAGCAGAGATGGATATCACAGTTGTGGTACTAGATGTGATCCCTATGACTTTCGAGACGAGTATGTTGTCCACCTATGTATTGCGGAACCTTTCAATTGGGTAATGCTAACTCTTGCTCAAGCACCAAATGTGCATTACTACAAATGCGACATCACCTCCCCATCCACCATCGCCACAACCGCAACTCGCATCCGCTCCGAAGTTGGTAATCCCACCGTCCTCATCAACAACGCGGGTGTTGCGCGCGGAAAAAGCATCCTCGACTCCACCGAAAAAGATATCCGCTTTACCTTCGACGTCAACACGCTCTCGCACTATTTCACCACCAAGGAATTTCTCCCCTCCATGATCGACAAAAACCACGGCATGGTCGTCACAATCGCCAGTCTCGCAGCCTATCTCCCCGTCCCAAACATGACCGACTATGCTTCTTCCAAAGCCGCCGCTCTATCTTTCCACGAAGGACTAACCGCCGAGCTCCTCACCAAATACAACGCGCCAAAAGTAAGAACGATAGTCATTAACCAGGGATATACGAAAACAGCACTATTTCAAGGATATAAAAATGATGCGACGTTCTTGCTTCCGACGCTGGAGGTGGATACGGTGGCAGAGGAAATTGTGAAGAAGATTTTGAAGGGGAAGAGTGGGCAGGGCATTTATCCTGGGTTTGGGGTTAGTCTCACGTGGTTGAGAGCGATGCCGGGGTGGTACCAGAATAGAGTGAGGACGAAGGGACAGGATATTATGACGAATTGGAAGGGGAGACAGGTGGTGGATGTGGATGAGTTTTATGAAGAGAAGGAAAAGGATGGGAAGGGAAAGAGGAAGGGGCTTGAGGAGGAAAGCGGGTAAGTTTTCCCTTTTTCCTTCATTTGTTTTTTAGGTAGAATTGATGGACTAATTGATTTAGGTCCACGGTGTTGGTTAATCCTTGAGTTTTGACGAATGACAGTTTGGCTTGTTGTGTTGTTGGAAAATCAAAGCTATTGAATCGGATTTGTATTTAAAGTCGTTGACTTTGAATTGGCTTTTTGAGTACCTTTTTGAATGGAGCAATGGAAGCACCACTCTAGCTATTGGCGATTAGCATTACGAATTACAGAGCAAATGTTTAGACTATTCAAGTCTACCTACATAGCCGTACATGGCATCTCTCAACAACCTCCTATAACACCACGATTCTCACAACTCTTTGTACATGAACCTCCTATGACTAGGACATGGATGAGCAAGATAGCATCGTATGTGCGGTCAAGACAAAAGATTGAAATCACAAATAGCTTCACTCATTACCCGTCGAAGACCGAAGCATAAGATATCACTCAGACGGAATCATAAGAATATCATTAAATACAGAATAGGTAATCATGAACATTGTGAATTTTTATTTATACGTTTGAACACTACTCAATCACTTATCATCACAACTCTCAAGTTGCACGCCCATATAGTACCCAAACAAACCCCAATCATCAATCAGACTAGGCATTGAAGCTTTCGTATAACACCCAGGATATCAACACTCAAACGCCGGATTCATAAACTAAGAGTTGTGCCTACGACAAAGATAACCTTGACGCCAATCGCTGGACCAGCGTTTCCTTTTTCCTTAAATGCAATAATGTACTCATACAACAACATATTTTCTTTCTCAAGCAGAGACAGAGACCATTCTGGATGCTTCTAACAAAGGAGCAGTAGCTGAGGGACCGGAGACATTCTCCTCAGCAATTTCACCACCAGCTTCTCTTTCAGCCCAGGCGCCCCAAAGACCTCGTTTGCCTCTAACACGGATTGGCCCTCCTAGAGAGTTTTCTGGTTGCTCAACCTTAACAGCATCCTTGGTTGCGAGTACCAAAACTTCAAAGAACATCTTGGTAGCATCAGCTTTGCTTGTTGTACCTTCTGGTAATAAGTCCTGGAAAAGAACGCTGGCCTTCTTGCGCTTGTCTGGGCTGTTGGCTGCCTCATCACCAAATCGTTCACGGAGAAGATGAACAGCGTGAGTGGTACCGAGCGAGACAGGGCCGCTATCCGCAGGGTGTACAAGAGGTGCGATTGTCTCATCGAATTGGTTGCCTGGACTTACGCTGCGAGCGTCTCCTAAACCGGCGGTAGCGTTGTGTTCGTCATCGTCAATGTTGATATTGAATTCATCATCACCGCCCATCTCAATGATTGTACCATCAGCAGCAATCATCGTGTCATCCCGACCTAAACCAGCATCGCCAGCAAGATTGGCACCAAGATCCTCTTCCTCTCCAAGATCCAAGCGTGGTGATTTGTTAGCACCTGGTTCTTGTTCACCATCCACATCAGCAGCACCACCATCACGCTTACGCTTCAAGTCTCCTGTCCTACGAACAGCATCGAGTGAAAGCATTCCACGAAGCTCTGGTGCCCAGCCCATACTTCTTCCTTCACCCATAATGTTGGAAACAAAGCCACCATTCTTTTGCATTTCCATTAATGCCAAGAGTTGAGGATCGCGGGGAAGGAAAGACTGAGGACGTAAAATAGCCTCGTGATTCTTCTGCAATTCTTGAATAGCATGCTTAGAGATGGTAGTATCATCGTCAGGCATCAAAGGTTTGAATTTTCTAGCACGTTGAGCTGGTTGGCGAAAGATTGATTGTTCCGTCTCATCTTCTGGTGCGAATAATCCAGATCCATCTCTTTGTTGCTGATTTGCCTCGACTTCGGCAACAATGGTTTCGTCGATATCTGAAAGTGGCGATTCGGAAATGCGAAGGCGCTCGAGTTCTGGAGCACGTGGAAGAGCAGAGATATCTGGTTCTCCACCAATGTTAAGCATGTCAATATCCCCATCATCATCACCGATGTGGAATCCAACATCATCATTACCAAATCCGAGGTTGATTGAATTTTCACGATCTCCATCATCAAAGACATCCTTTGCTCGTGGTTGAATATCCAATTCACTGAGTAAGTCATCTTCAACAGCTCTTGCTGCTGGTGCATCTCGTCCGAATTCAAGACTGATATCAGCTCCAGATCTATCAGCTCCAGTAGCCTTGGGATTGATATCGTCGAGTCCAAAATCAAGACCCAAATCAAGATCGTCGTCTAATGGTTCCAAAGCAAGCTCATCCTCATCTGCATTGTTATCTTCGACACTATTTTGTAAGAATTGACTATTGTTGAACTCGTCCTGCAAGTTAATGTCACGGCTAGCACCTCTTCGTTTGCGACCTAATGCCGATTCTTCGTCCAATTGGGAAAAAAGGAATGATGCATCAGGCATCGGTGGCATTTCGAGATTATCTCCTTCAGTAAGCATATCAGGAAGCATAAGAGCATCTCGAGAAGGCATATGTAGTCCGGCGGGAATATCATTGTTGCCGGAGAGACGGAAGGCCTAAGTTGGAAGGGTCAGTATTTACATTGAAGTTATCGAAATATTTAAACGTACCATTTTAATCTTTATGAGAGCTTCATTACAATCATCCAGTAAATAACGCGCTTTTCGACTATAAATTCTGACCACTCCTAGCAACAGTTGACCACTTAGACGTAGAGCCATTGGTGCTTGATTGGGTGTGACGATAGCTTCAACACTGTCCTTGACGCTGGCTTGTAGAATATGATTTTTTGACAACTTGCGCTCTAAATTTGCCGAAAGCCAGACACGAGCCAAAGGCCCTGTCTTGCTCAACAAAGTCTCTGAATAAAACATGATGATAGCAAGAAACGTATGGCGCCCTCGCGCGAGGAAGTATAAGTTGCGTTAAGTGAATTCAATAATAAAAACGCGTTTATATTGCCTATTGTTGTCCGTCGACTCTTTCGTTCGTTTGATGGCGCGTCGAGGAAAATGATTTTGCCAGCTCTGGATGAGTATTTGTTATGAATTAAGCGCGTCGCGGAATTAAATTGTAGCAAGAAACCACAGGTATCGAAAGAATAATATAGCAGTCGTTGCAAAGAATTGACTGTAGTGCTTTAATGCGATGCGACGACGACGGCCAGGTGATAAAGCTTAAGAAAGGATGGGGGAACAGGTGGGTGGGGAGATTAATGTTTGCGCAATGAAGATTGAAGAAGAATCAAGAGGCTGGGATACATTTTGGAAATTTAGCGCTAAGCTATCAATGGCTAAAAGCTTCGTCAACAAGTGGGTCTGGAGCCTAAAGCCGTAATCTACACGTGATATTTTATATCTTTTTTACATTTACTATGGATCTATTCAATACCATATGTTCGAGTAAGAGAGAAGAACAAAGAGGGAAAACTTCAATCAATTGATATGTGAACAGAGTGTGAAGTCTGACAAATAAAAGAGTAGTAACGTCTATCTAAGCGAGCTGGGTAATACTGACCTGACCTACCTCGAGCCTGCCTACTGGGTACAAAGTATGGCGATTTGATATATGATAAAGTCCCTACCTGGTACATATATATTTTATAACAATTCACTGGTGGTTTTTTTGACGGAGCAACGGTCTTCTTGGTTCTACATCTTGTTTTCCCTACAGAGTATATGTACCCAAGTAGTGCTTATTCAAACTTTAAACCCCCTTCCCAGGACTTCTAGATTCCAATTCAAGGCCTAGAAACCCCCTTTGAGAAAGTCCCGCCCAGGCATGCGACCTAACTACAGGGGAGGATATACCAAAAAACCTAGACCGTGCTCAACTCACTGGAGAGCTGATTGCCTACTGGGTATAATACCTGATACTGGATACTCTTCTACTTTTTGAAACTGGTAGAAAAAGTTATTACGGGGAGACGACACGTAATTCGATAATTACTATGGATCAAAATCTAAAAGACTATCAACCAGTTCTGTGAGAAATACAATTACACTACTTTCAAAGATCAATTTCTCGCATGTTGGAGTTGGAGGAGCTCTCTTGTTTTGTTTAATGGGTGGCTTTTACTCAATTCTTAACTTACCACATTTCCTCTTTCGTTTCGGCCAAATTCGCATGCCTCAGTGATAGGCATCAAGCATAACGACAGCATATACTGCTGTTCGTTACTTTCGCAGACTTTAAAAGGGCTTTCTGAATAGTTCAAATCGAAGCTATGTCGTGGCCGCGCCCTGCAAGACCTGGTAGTCCTTCGGGATCTTTATTGCCCATGGTCAACCTTCCATCGGCGAATGGTAGAGAGCCAATTTCAGAGCCATCTTCGAGACCAAGGTCAAGGGATAGGGCCAATTCAAAGAGCAGACACACTCGATCGTCCTCAGCGATGGCCAAAGTTAGTGAACGCCCAATTTTAGCTGAACCAGAAAGGATCCCGACTAATACGACTAATGCGCAACAGTCAATAGCAGATGAATTTTCCGGTCTTACACCCGCAGAAACCGCAGAACGATTGCAGACCTCACTCACGTCAGGTTTGACACCCGCAGAAGCTCTTGCTAGATTACACGATCAAGGACCGAATGAACTTCCCCACGAACCTCCCGAACCATTATGGCTTCGATTTGTGAAGCAATTCAAGGAAACTTTGATTCTGTTGTTATTGGGTTCAGCTGTTATGTCAGTAATAGCTGGAAATAAAGATGATGCGATCAGTATTGCCGTTGCAGTTACGATTGTGGTCACAGTAGGATTCGTACAAGAGTATCGTTCTGAAAAATCGATTGAGGCATTAAACCACCTGGTCCCCAATCATGCGCACATTATACGAGGAGAAATGAGAACTACAACCCCTAGAACACCTGCATGGCCCCCTAGCGCCCGAGATGTCCCAGAGACGGAAGTGTTGATGGCAGAGTCTGGATCTGACGCGGATTCTAGTATGGCAGAATCCGTATCACAAAAAATGATGGCATCGAAATTGGTTCCTGGAGATCTCGTTTTATTTACTACTGGAGATCGTATACCTGCCGATATTCGTGTCACAAAAGCTTCGGATTTGACAATCGATGAATCCAATTTAACTGGAGAAAATGAGCCTGTCCGAATCACTGCGGAAGCTAGACATATCGATTCTAGACCTGGATCTAGCTCACTAGAACCACCTACATCCTCCGATTATGCCTCTCCCGCTAGTGGAGCTGTAGGTGCAGATATCAGATTAAACAGCACGACTAATATTGCTTTCATGGGAACACTTGTAAGATCTGGGCATGGTCAAGGAATTGTCTATGCAACAGGTGGAAATACTCATTTTGGAACAATTGCTGCAAGTGTTTCGGAAACAGAGAGTCCTAGAACTCCGCTACAGCTTTCAATGGACGATTTAGGGAACCACTTAAGTCAAGCTTCTTTCGTCATTATTGCGGTAATCTCTTTAGTTGGATGGTTACAAGGAAAAGCATGGTTGGATATATTCACAATTTCGATATCCTTAGCGGTTGCAGCTATCCCTGAAGGTTTACCAATTATTGTTACAGTCACCTTGGCTCTTGGCGTACATCGAATGGCACGACACAATGCTATAGTACGAAAAATGCCGAGTGTAGAAACTCTAGGATCGGTCAATGTTGTTTGTAGCGATAAAACAGGTATGTTTAATAAATCATAACTTGTTCGAAATACTGATTTTCCTCCAGGTACCCTTACCATGAATCATATGACTACTGTTAAAATGTGGTATTCTGATGCCGATGCTCCATTGGATGTTGATTCAGATGATGAGACGGTAGAATCTAAAGCTGATACTGTGGCTCTTCGTATTCTTCGCATCGGAAATATAGCTAATAACGCACGTCTTACTCATCTTCATGCTCCATCAGCATCGTCAGTCGCTATTTTATCCTCTACTCAGGGTCGTGCTTCAGGTCAAGTCTTAAAAAGCAGGTGGGTCGGTCAACCGACTGATGTTGCGATGCTTGACATGCTCGATCGATTCAGAGAGCACGATGTCCGTGAAGGCTTGGGTCATCGTATTGGGGAAACCCCATTCAGTTCTGAAAGAAAATGGATGGGTGTTACCATCGGAGATCGGGGCCCGGAAGGTACATCGAGTCCAAAAGAACATGCTTATATTAAAGGAGCTATCGAGCGAGTTTTGGAAAGGTGTGATACATATCTTACAAAAGACGGTCGTGAAGTTCAGTTGGATGCCGCAAAGAGACAACAAGCCTTACAAGCTGCCGAAAAGCTTGCCTCTGAAGGACTTAGAGTTCTTGGTTTTGCTAGTGGCCCAGTTGCCAGGCACGCCAAGTCGTTGGCTCCAACAAGCCGAAGCGCAACACCAGTCTCGAAATTGGACCACCACGTGTCTCACAGCGAAGATGTCTACAACGGTCTCACATTTGCTGGATTGGTTGGTATGAGTGATCCTCCACGAACAGGTGTTTCGAAATCGATTCGACGACTCATGCGGGGCGGTGTTAAAGTGATTATGATTACTGGAGATGCTGAAACAACTGCCCTCGCTATTGCAAAGAAGCTCGGCATGCCTATTGCAGCACCACGTGCTCATTCAGTAAACTCTGTAGAAGTTAGACCAGTCTTACGAGGTGATGAAATAGATGAGATGACCGACGAAGAGTTACAAGCCGCCATAGCCAATACTTCCGTATTCGCCAGAACCAGTCCGGATCATAAGATGAAAATTATCAGAGCACTACAAGCTCGTGGTGATATTGTCGCAATGACAGGTGATGGTGTCAATGATGCACCTGCCCTCAAGAAAGCTGACATTGGTATATCTATGGGTTTACAAGGAACAGATGTTGCCAAAGAAGCCGCAGATATGATCTTGACTGATGACGATTTTTCGACTATTCTCAAAGCAATCGAAGAGGGCAAAGGGATTTTCAGTAACATCCAAAATTTCCTTACATTTCAACTTAGCACAAGTGCTGCGGCACTCAGCTTGGTTTTAGTCTGCACGTGTTTGGGATTCAAGAATCCCTTAAATGCGATGCAGATCCTTTGGATTAGTAAGTTAATTTCGGGTTGTGTCACATATTTGTACTAACAATCTCTCTAGATATTATCATGGATGGACCCCCAGCTCAATCATTAGGCGTGGAGCCAGTGGATCCAGATGTCATGAACCGACCACCCCGAAAGAGAAATGCTCCTGTACTTACAAGAGCATTGATCACTCGAGTCCTCACGTCCGCTACCATTATCATGTTAGGCACCATGGCCGTCTATACTCATGAAATGCTTTCAGATGGCAAAGTCAGTAAGAGAGATACAACCATGACCTTTACCTGCTTCGTTCTCTTCGATATGTTTAATGCGTTGAACTGTCGTTCAGAGTCAAAGTCTGTCCTCAGAGGTGAGGTCGGGCTGTTTTCAAACAAGCTATTCAATTGGGCAGTATCGTTGAGTCTTGGTGGGCAAATACTAGTTATATACTTCCCCTGGCTTCAGGAAGTATTTCAAACAGAAGCTCTGGCACTTACAGATTTGGTTGGCTTGGTTATTTTAACAAGTTCTGTATTCTGGGCGGATGAAGCAAGAAAATGGTGGAAATCAAGGGGTAGGAGAAGGCTTGGTAGTGGGTATAGTCAAGTCGTATAAATGAAATATGGCTTTTAATGCCTATTGTATACATAGATTTAGTATTGCATAGATTCCCAAGCGTGTGCATTGTAGTAGATAAAAGCAAGGAGAATTCACAATGATTTGATCAATCACACATAAGAATTAGCTTTGGATATGATTAAAGTGATGGGACAAATTGTTGATCAAATCGTCAATATAAATTCTCGCTTACCCCACACCCAAAAAGATGACACCTAAAGATGCACCCGACCTCAACCCAGCTTCCCCAAAGAAGAGCTACCCATGCCTCAACCCACCCAATGCCTCCACCCGGCCTCCCAAATGGCAGTCTCACACCTCTACTCACAACACCGTCTCCAGAATCAGCTCAATCATCCATTCACAATGCCTCCTCCCTAGCCTCTATCCAGAACATCCTCTCAAACCTCCATACCCGCGACGCAGCGATCACTACCAGTCTCCAATCCCTCATATCTTCTCAAGCCTCCCTCTCCCGCGATCTCGGCCGACTCGATCTTCTACGCGCGCATCTTGGCACAAATGTTATAAATACCAGGGCGATTTCAAATGGAATGCTAGATAATGCCGCCGGCACGGCCGAGAAATTGAGCTCGAAAGTAAAGGAATTGGATTTGGAGAAGAAACGAGTTGAGGAAACATTGGCCGTTGTAGAACAAGTCGCGGAATTGAAAGCATGTGTAAATGGTGTGGTGGGTAGTATGGGGGCTCCGCAGGACTGGGAAGCTGCAGCGGGATATATTGCAAGAGCGTCGAAGATCCCGGCACATATTGTTGAGGGCAATTTTGCGGCAAGGACGGTTCCAAGTGTCGAAGTACCGGATGCGCCAGGTGTGACGATTGAGGAAGCGAAGAAAAGCTTGTGCGGATTGTTTTTGAGAGAATTTGAGAAGGCAGCTGAGGAAGGGGATGGAGTGAGAGTTACGAGGTTCTTTAAATTGTTCCCATTGATTGGGAGGGAGGAGGTTGGACTGGATGTCTATGGAAGATACGTTTGTCAAGGAGTAGCAGGAACGGCGAGGAAGAACTTAAAGGAGGGGACGAAAGGGGAGAGAGGCAAAGAAGGATTCTTCTACGCGCAAGCGTTGACGAGGTTGTTTGAACACATTGCGCAGATCGTGGAGGGACATGGAGGGTTGGTGGAAAGACATTATGGGGCCGGGAAGATGGTTAAGGTGATAGAGAGATTACAGGCTGAGGCAGACGTGCAGGGCGGGATTGTTTTGGACACATGGGGAGACGAGAAAAATGTCGATAGGAGATTGACAGATGTGAGAAGTTATCCGTTTTCTTTCTTGGTGCAAAGCTTTCTACCGAATCAAAGACCGATTGGTATTTCGAGGACAGGCTCACCTGCAGTTGGAGCGGCTGCTAATGGGAGAGCAAGTGAAGATGAGGGTGTGGATATGAAAGAAGTAGATGGTCTTTTGAATGAGATGGCTGTGATGTTAGGCCGTTGGTCATTATATACTCGATTCTTGAGCGGCAAATGCAGGGTAAGTCCAACATCAATGCCAGCCCTTCTGCAAGCCATTTCTAATCCATCACAGGATCCAGAAGCCAGCTCAGATGATCCTCTAGTCATTCCAGAGCTATTAGACAAATCAGCTCTTAGTCGAAAAATTTCAAATCGTCTGAAGGATCCGTTTAATGTTATGACTACATTTTTCTTTCGACGATCTGTTGAGAAAGCATTTCAATTGGATGAATCTCCTACAGGACTATCTCTCAATCTATCAAATCCCATAGATGGAACTGCTCCATATATAATCTCTGCTGTTGATGATGTTATGTATATCGTCAATGCAGTGCTTAAACGGTCCATCTCAACATCACAACGCGGTGTAATCGAATCTGTTATTCCAGCAATAAGCAGAGTTTTGGGAACCGATTTTGTAGGAATGGTTCAACGCAAAATGCGAGACGAATCTTACCCAAAACCACTCGTGCAAGGCGGATTTCCACCGGAAGATAGAATTATCGCCTTTATTGTCCTGATCAACAGTCTTGTTGTATCAAATGACTATATTTCCAGAATTGTTTCGAGTCATCTTCAATCTCCCGAAACAAACAGCGCATCTCAAGCTAAAGGTGCACCACCTGCTCCAGCTTTGAAAGACATGTTCCCCTATGGTCATGATTTCAATTTCGTTTCCAATTCTCTTACAAGTCTTAATACGTCATTTTCATCAAAGAGCAACGAGTTGATCAGCGAAGGTCTCCAAGTAATGTTCAATAATGTCATTAAACCACGGCTTCGTCCTGTTCTAAGCGAAACCTTCCGCGACGTAGATTATTCCCTTACCACAGAAGATCTCGCTGAGATGGCCCGCCAAAATGATACTGATGATGATCCTCAAGAAATACTACAGGACATGGTATCTCGTCGTTTCGAACATCACTGGGATGCTCTCATGAAACCTATTCAGAGAATCATGTCTATGACACCATTCAATACCCTCCTAGAGCAAACCGCTCAATATCTAGCAAAAGTTCTAGAAAGAAGAGTTTGGAATTATAGCGGGAAAATGAATGCATTAGGAGCAACTAGAATGGAAAGAGATTATGGGGGGATTGTAGGAGTAATTGCGAGAGGAGGAAAGTATGGCTTGAGAGATGTTTTTGCAAGGGTGCTGCAGGTTGCCATGGTTGTCAATATGGATGAGGAAGAATGGGAGGCGGTTAATGTTGAAGGTGATGGATTAGGTGAAGAGGAAGTAGAGATGGTTTGGGTTTTGACGGTGGATGAGAGGACAAGGGCTAGGGGTATGGTTAGGGAGTGATGTGATAAGGAGGTGCCCTGTGATTGTGTTGAAAAGGATATATAATTGCCCTCGCATATGAGGGGTTCAGGCGTTGAAAACTCCGTGCATCATAAAAAGTATTGAGACGAAGGGGAATTTTGGACGTCCCGCGACGGCAGCGAGATACTTTCTGGGAGGGAGTAGTATGGGATAAAATAAACTAAATATAGCATTGATACCAAATCAAATATCGATTCGAATTCTTGACCTCTTATTTATATTGTGATATGCATATTAGCAAGAGTTTGAGGCAGAGAATATTTTATTCTTTTCAATAACATGTATCGACCCAAAATAATATGACGAATGAACTGACAAATGATTCAGCCTACTTCCTGATGCAAGGTAACATATCATCGCACATTTCGAATACATACAACAAACAGGACACAACCAAGAGAATCCATTCTAACGTACTAAGCCAACTACTGTCCAACCTAAAGCTCAACCCCAAGCCCCACAAAGCCAACCCATCACTTAGCCCCCGCCGCTCTCGCCGCTTCTGCCAATTTCGCCTTCTTCGCCTTCTTCTCCGCCTTCTTCGCATCCTCCGCCCTCTTCTTTCTCTTTATCCCCTCCTTCCACCTCGTATCATAATCGTGCCACATTTCCGTCGCTCCCGCCTTTGCCAGTTCCGCACGTCTCTTCGCCACCAATGCCTTCCACTCATCGGTTTCCTCCTCCGGCTCAGGCGTCTTGTCCACTTCATCCGCCCAGCCCAATCTCTCAAGCACCTCGACCAATTCGCGTCGGTTCAACTTGAGTCCAAACGGCATTTGGATTTCTTCGAGAAAATCAATACTGATGCGTCCACGATTACCTTCGTAGTCGCGCACGAGACACACGGTATCGTCGCCGGTGAAGTGGCCGTAGACTAGGACGATTTCGCCCGCATCGAAAGGAGGTTGTTTTAAGGGGGTTTGGGATGTAGGTTTTACTGGTTTCTGGGGTTCGAGAACACGGAAGAGAGGGAGTTGGACGGAATCGAGACGCAGCTGCGCTTCGCGTTGGTAAAAATCGGGGGCTTGGATTCCTTTTTGTAATTCGAGACGGTTGATTCGTTGAATTATTTCGGAACGCTTTCCTTTGGTGGGAAGACCGCGTCGTCGGGCTTCCCATTGGAGGTCTAGACGACTCATTCCTCTGGGATTGAACGGTAAGCGATGGTTATCCCGAAATTGTTCATTGGCCCATATTTGCACGGGCAGCGAGCCATCGATTCCCCATGGAAAGGGCAATTGTTGTAGATTTCTATATTTGACACGTCCTTGATCGAGTCCATATCCTTCGAGTCGTGTTACCAAGGGTTGATGATTCTGCATATCATAAACGGGTTCGCCTAGATCGAGAAGAAAGTCTCCCCAGTGAGGAGTGAAATCTCCGACCCAGACTTTATCACCAGAGAGCCCTCGTGGTTGACCATCTATTGTTATTTCTGGGTAGGGAAGTCCACGTTTATCAGTTGGGGGAACGAAGCGGTAGACGCAGAAGTCGAGGTTGCGCCATGGTCTCTCGAGATATTGTCGAGCTGCGGCTCGTTCGGCCCTTTCTTCGCTAGTCAAGATGCCGGCCATGGCTGCTAGAGGGTCGAGGTATGTAAGTATATACTGGTTTTGAATATGGATATGATTAGGGTTTCATGAGATTAGAATGGGGATCTCTTTGAAGTCTCCTGGATGTCAAGGTTCCAACAGGAAAAAAATTAGAGATGGGAACTCGAGATGGGTTTTGGAGCTTGCTGTACAATGGATTAAAATATTTCGGCGTTCAAAGGGTATAAAGGACAGTTGTGGGCAAACAAGCGACACGATCTTTCTCCTTTGATCCTATGGCAAAGAGGCTTTTGAATGACGGATCCGGAGGGCGAACAAAGACGTATTCGAATAGCGCTAAATCGAAGCGAACTTATCGAGCTGAATTTCAGGAGAGCTTTGTTTCTCTGTGTATTTGGCACTTGAACATTTCGAGGATGGGACTAGTATTGCAGAAGCCAACTGGAAAGAAATATAATGACAAAGACAAATCGATTACTAGGAAATAGAAAATTTCCGAAGTAGCTCTTGTCATGTCCTTGAATAGGTCAGGCAATTGATCAAATAATAGAAGTGCCTTAGGGATAGACCACTGTATTAAGTCTGAAAACCACTTACATGGCTAGCTTCCCTTCCAGAACAAATTTAGCTTTTGAATTTGGCTACAGAAGCTTTTCAGTATCAGACAACGCGCACTACTTTCAGTAGTGCAGAGCTCTCAATCTTAGACTGTCCTCTGCCGAGGGTTTGCGTTCCAGTACAGCATTGTTTTAAAGCCCAACTCACTCCCATAGAATTCTACTACGCCATTCTGGGCCAATCCCTTCATCTGTATTTCCATTCCCATCTACGATGCGCTAGAACAGGTGACTCTACCTGGCTGACGTCGAGCAGAAATACCACTGTGATTCCGTTCTCACATTCGCCATCTCTGTATTCATTGATATCTTATGAAAATACATATAATCCTGCACAAACTTCCCACCATACAGGCACTCGCCATGTCTCGTGTGCTGCTCAAGGTGATGGAGTAGAGCCTATTATCGTATTACACAAACTTAGAGACGAATTAAAGGATGATGTGTTAGACACATAGCAGTGCCTACGATTCAACACCCTGGTAATAGATGTACTAAATTGTTGTAGAAACAGAAGAAAATAAAGGCAATTTAGGGCAAGATGGCTTAGATAGAGGAATGCAGAGTTTGCATTGAGGTAAAAGACATTTTACCTAGCTGCTACTAGTAGTAGGAAATGAAGCATGACATCTACAAAGTGCGAATATAGCGAATGGTTCATATACATGACTGGTAAAAATTAGAACTAACGTTCTCTCAAACATAGTTCTGTTATACGATATTTCAGTTGAAAATCTTGATTGTTCGATTTGATATCAATATTGAAAAGAGTATGTATTCCAAGTGGTGTGTACTTGTAGTTTATGGAGAGTGCAATCGTGATAAAATCCTCGCTTTTTTTACCAAACACACACCTTACACGCAACTTTCGAATCGCGGCGCGTGTCTAGATGCACACCACATAAAATACTAGAAACAGTCACGTTAATCATGTTGTTTTTGATCCCTGTACAATATCCCTGCAAATTTATTCTCTATCAGACAAAAAAAAGTTGATGAGAAAACGGAATATACTTGAATAAACTATACAATCACCCACAATGCCTCCCTTACGATCAAAAAAGTCTGCCAATGGTAGCGCAAAACCAAAAAAAGATGCGCGAACAATTCTTCAAGAAAGTGAAGAGAGTGCCAGTGACAATGGGAGTGTGGACATGATGGATAAGGATTCCGATGAAGAAGAGTTAGACAGACTTGTATTGGGAGATGGTGCAGGATTCACGGCTCAATTGGGTCAAGATATGGACTTCGAATCGGATGACGATGAGGAAGAAAAGGGTCAAGACGAGGAACAAGAGGATATTGGAATTGAGGGAGTTGACGATGCAGATGTATTACTCCGCCGTCTCAAATAGAGATAATAATCACTAACTTTTTTATAGCTATTTTTTCTAGACTCCGGACCATCCACCGTGCCTCAAGATGCATTAATACCACGTCCACAACCTGAAGACGAAGAAGGAGGAGATGCGCTAGCTTGGGAAGATAGCGACGATGATCGACTGAATGTATCTCTAGCTGGAAATTCTCGATTGCGAAAACTTAGAGTCAATGAAGGAGAAGATATAGTTAGTGGAAAAGAGTACACACGGCGACTACGAATGCAATTTGAGCGTCTCAATCCTGTTCCAGAGTGGGCGCAATCTTCTAGGCCGACAAAACGACGTCGCAGATCATCTGCAGCCTCCGATTCTTCATTGTCTTCGAATGACATGGACGTTGATGATTCTGACCTTTCTACATTACCTCTCGCAAGACTTCTTCAAGACGCCGGAGCTCTCACAAAAGAAGCACCCGCAACCTCAAAAAGACCAAAACTCAGACCTGAAGTCCTCGACATTCAAAGAACCAGGGATATACCCAAAACTCAACCATCAGCCGTCACTTCTCTTTCCTTCCATCCAGAATACCCAGTCATACTTTCTTCGGGCCCAGCATCAACTCTTTATCTACACCAATATGCGCCTACAGCTCATCCACATCCACATCCACAACTTACTAGCGTTCACGTTAGGAAAACTCCGATTGCTACATCCGCATTCCTTCATCCTGCCGGAGACAAAATCATTTTCGCTGGTCGACGCCGTTATTTCCATATCTGGGATCTTCCTTCTGGAGAAATCAACAAGGTTACGCGAGTTTATGGTCATAAGGATGATCAAAAGACCATGGAAAGGTTCAAGCTCAGTCCTTGTGGCCGATACATGGGATTGATCGGTTCATCGAAGAAAGGAGGCGGTCTTATAAATATTCTTGATGCAACCACAACACAATGGATTGCATCAGCTCGAATTGAAGGCAAAAATGGAGTTGCTGATTTCGCCTGGTGGAGAACTGGAGAAGGATTAACTGTTGTAGGAAAGGGTGGAGAAGTAGGAGAATGGAGCATGGAAACTAGATCTTTTGTCGCTCGTTGGAATGACGATGGTTCCATTGGTGCTACTGTCCTTACACTCGGTGGACCAAATGGGCCCAAACAACTCGGTGGGGATCGTTGGGTAGTGATTGGATCTCAAAGTGGTGTGGTCAATATTTACGATCGCAGGAATTTCATCTCAGGAAACGATATAAAAATATCCGAGAGACCTGAGCCAAATAGACGACTTTTGCAGTTGACGACACCAACAAGTCATTTGCAAATTAGTCCCGATGGGCAATTATTGGTCTTGAGTAGTAGGTGGAAGAAGGACGCTTTGAGATTGGTACATCTACCTAGTTGTACAGTATATAAGAACTGGCCAACATCGAATACGCCATTAGGAAGAATTTCATCCGTGGCATTTGGTAGTGGAAGTGATGTTTTGGCGGTTGGCAATGAAGCCGGAAAGATCAAGTTGTGGGAAATTAGAAGTTAGTGGTATAGACATAATGAATGATTATAGTATCGGATTTGACAAATTCTGTCGAAAAAATTCCCGATGTCTTTGGTTGAGAGTCAAGAGTTCGCAAAACTATGTAAGTCGAGCTTAATTCAAATTTTTTCAACGATGAAGTCATCCATATCATCCTACCTATTCAAGATCTGGAATTCACAAAAGTAAGATCTTCAAACATCCACAAATCTTTCAATTGCCCTCTGTTATTCATTTTACGCATTTCATCCCTACTCTCCCCCATAATCTCTACTCCCTCCTTCATCCCATTCCTCCATCTCCATCTATCCCCTCTTAAAAAGTAATCCCCTAACCGGTCCCCCTCTCTTCGCCTCACTCAATGGATAAAACATACGCTTTTCGATCGTATACGCAAGAAGCCTATCCCTATCTGGAAAAATGCGCACTGGGACGCCGGTCTGATATGATTCCAATAGTTGACAGATATTGACGTGGACATTGGCGAGCGCCTAGAAGGAATAAATAGGCGTATTAGTAACGGGAAATACAAGATGCAGGATAACTGACGAGGGTATGTGAATAAAAAAATGAAGAAGTAAAAGTATGGTGAGTGATAATCATCAGACTCCAGTCTCCAAGCCTACAAAATCCCAACTCCAATCCCAATCACAACCCATCTTCTCTTCCCAAACAACAAAAACAACAATCAAACCCACCTTTCTACAAGCGTTAATACTCCTCAAATGCCACGCCCCAGGAATTTTCACATCCGCGCATAATTGCTGCCAATTTCGTAGATCGCTTACGTTTCCGAAATATCTATCAAAGTCCCCGGCGATATAGGGGCGACGGCGTGGCATTTGGGGTTCGCGGGTGAGGTGCTGGGGGTGCTAGTATGATGCGAGCACACGCGGTGGATCGGGGAGAGAGGTTATTTTTGTGTGGGAAGGGATGAGGGGGGCGAGTTGAGGTGGATGTTGATTGTGGAATATTTATGTCATGGTGGGAAATTCAAAGCATAGAATACATGGGATGAATGGGATGAATGGGATGAATGGGATGGCTCGGGATTTTTGGCTATATCTTTGTGCATGGTTGTATCTTTGATGGGAGTGCAATTAATTTGATGCCAGGAGTTATTAGAGTATGCAATGGTGCAGCAATACAAAATGAGAAAGGAGTGGAAGGCTGCAGGTAGAAAGCTTCATGAAGAGAAGAAAACGATAGAGAGCATCAGAACAAGGGAGAAAGAGAGAAGAAAAATGATATTAAAGTAAAAGAAATGAAAGCAAACGAGAACATCAGAATAATGTGCAAAAATGCTTGTATATGCGTTGTATATGCAGCTATCCACACTCCAGGCCATTACTGTCTCTCCCAAACGCAATCTGATGAACGCAATACAAATCTCATCCCAATACGCTATAATTATCCCAACCATCCATACTATCCAAACCCTGATATCCCAACCATAAAGTCAAATTCCCAAATGTGTCATCCGTTTGCTCATAAAATCGTCCTTGCGTAACATGTCAGAAGTGACGCCTCAAGAACCTCATTAAATCTGTTCCTAGCGTCCATAAATGTGCGCCAATAGAGCTCTAGCGGGACCGCCTTCCTTAGCCTTAATCTTTGGGTAAATTTTGCCAGTGTTCAGTGTATATGTAGCAAGTTTACGTTCGCTCGAGTATCTCTTGACTGGTTTACCTTCAGCTTTGGCGTCGAGGAAATCGAAGATGTTAACCCAGACTTTTCCTAGAGCCTATAGATTAGAGATATTAGCATCATAATGAGACCATGGGAGAACGTGTATCATTTACCTTGCGACACTTAGTAATACTAGTAGGTATCTCCTCCAAGCCAACATCGACGCAAAGTCTTTGCCAATTTGCAAGCTCAGTTTCATTTCCAAAGTAATCTTCCCACAAGCCGACTACAGTCTTCTTCTTGGTCTTGGCAATCTTTGCTTTGACAGAAGCATCCTGGATTACTTCTTTCTTTGGTGGCTCTGGTTCGACATATTCCTCATAGGCTTGATCCTCTTTGAGTCTCTTAATCAACTCACTTGCCGCAGCAAAATCGTCAACATCACCCCATTCAAAACCATGACCTATCATGAAATCTTTCATGTCTTTCCATCCCGCATCTTTGAACCATTTGTAGTTGGATGTTTCAACCCGGGCTTGCTCTTCCTCCTCAGCTAGTCGAGCCTTGCGCCTCTTCTTCCTCTCCTTCTCCTTTCTGTTCTTTACAGCTTTCAGATTGATCTTCTCTAACTCCAAATTGTTTGTATCTTTGTCGGAAACTGCAAGGTTCTGGAGGGAATCGGTGACATTGCTGACAGCAATATCTGCGGAAACCGATTTTTTGCTTGAAGAACGATTTCGACTTCTACCCTTCTTCTTTTCATTCGTAGAGATATCCTTGTCTACCTCTTGCTCCAGCTGATCAACTTTGTCTTGCGCAAGATTGACGTTTTGAAGTCCTGTAATCACATTGTGGAGATGGTTTGCATCCGGGACGTGAGCTGAGGCCGAGAGACTATCATTAGACTCTGTTTCGAGTGGTGTATAAACGGGAGCTCCATCGTCGTTGCTGGAGTCGTCAGAAATACTTCGAGGTGGGATCGGAATGGAGTTCTTCGATTTTTTGGCCATTGTGACAGAATCTTAGCAAGATTTGGACGGATTTAAAGGTTGTAATAACAAATGGTGGATGGTGGGTGATAGCACTGTGGTGGGGTGGGAGGGGTGCAGGTAAGCAAGTTAATATAAGTATCTGGTAGTGCACTGTACTTTAGCAATGGTGAATACCGAAACCTTGATATACTTTATTCACATATTATATTTGGATAGCACAATTGATGATGATTTATATATGGTGAATGATGGATGCACCATATGAATGAAGTGAAGTGGCTTTGCAGTGAACAATCGAATAATCGATCAATCAATTGGAGGCTATGGTGTGGTTGGTTTGATACACAGGGTTTATGGGAGAGGGGAGTGGGTATTGGTATGGGATATGGGGTCATTTTTGGGGTCCGCTGAAATGGTACTAGTCCCCACGTATTACTCAGCCTTGCGCTACTGCAACATTGCGATACTCAATGCGTTCAAATTCCTGCAATTCCTTCAATCAATACCTTCACTATCTCTCCTCTGACCCCCGGTGCGACGGTAGGCAGATTTTTGTAACTTTTTATCATCTCCTATTATTCTTTTGCTCTTGCCACATGATGAAATAGCCTTCCAGGTGAACATGGTACTCACAAGGCTTTCGATGTTGGATACAATGGACCCTCGTCCCATCAATAGAGCTTCTCGATGATCGTATCAAGTCTGCCTGGAACACATGCGTGTTCCTGAGATACTGAACTATACAATGTGTCTCCGATAGCATTGGGAAAGGGTTCCCGTATTGGATACACTGGACTCGGTTCCGACAAGAAAGGCTCCTCGACAACCTTGTTAACAGTGAAGCCCACTTGAAATGTATCTGTTCCATTCCCCTTGTTCGAATATGTTGGATTTCCGCCTGCTGCAAAATGTCAGTGGCAAGGACAACATGATTTCAATATTGTTCTGCTGTTGGTCGGCAATGTAACCTGCAAGTTCCCGACCCGCTCTGCTAGAGAAAGCAAGGCTTCTCGCAAAGCATTGCTCATAACTGTATCTTCACATCGACTTGTTGAACTATTGCGAGTGTAATAGTGATTCAAATCATCTTTATGAGAATCTCGTGAGATTATATTTCGAATCAATTCAATTCGTCGGATCCGGCTTATATTGATTGATTCACCACACAATGATTACAGTAGGTTACCGACAGCTGAGAAACGTAAGCCAGAATTTTCTGTCCGGAAATATTCGGATCCGAAGGTTGAACAATGATGTCAAACTCAACATTTGTCTGAGATCTTGTGTAAATAGCTGCCCGATGAGATGTTCATGGACCCTTTTGTTTGCATGTTCAGTAATCTGCAACGGTTTTCAGATAATTTCTTTCTCGACAAATTCTTAATTTGCTTCCAAATACAATCATTCTTCTTCGAGATTCACTGCATTTTCATCATTCATTTCATTCATTTCATTCGAGCAGTACCAGGAGTAGAACAGAATGTACCAAAACCCAGTTTTAATCAAATATTGAGAGTGAGAAGGACATTTGCGCGAATCGCTTCTACTCATGATTCGCACCACCAAACCTCATCATCTAGAGGCATTCTTTTAAATTTATCAAAAATATTGCAGTCGACTAAACGCACCGTTATCTCGATTATAGATACATAAAGAAGTCTCGTTCAATCAATACAAATGTTGGAAGCCCAAGAGCAAGGACACACGCGAATGGCTAGATCTGAGGAAACGTTGTATGGATCAAATACATCATATACGTACTCTGTAGAAAGAGTTCCTACTGGCAGCACTCATAAGAGTAATGCTGGCAGCCACAAGTTCGAAGATCCATCAAATCTCTCAGACATAGCTCTTGTTAATTATCCAAAAGTATGTATTCTGACTCCCGGTGTGTTCCAAGACTAACTGAATATAGGCGGATGTTAAATTAAACGATATTCCCGCAAAAACTAAACCCAGTGGTGCACTGGCACCAGAAACCGATTTACATGCAGGAATTGTTGGTTGGGATGGCCAAGACGACCCAGATAACCCTCAAAACTTTCCTCCAAGCCGGAAATGGCTTCTTCTCGGACTTATTTCAAGCATCACTGTTGTCAGCCCTTTAGCGTCTTCTATGGTTGCTCCCGGCGTGCCTTATATTGAAGAGACATTCAGCAATCATAATGAAACACTAAGTACATTTACTGTTACAGTCTTTCTTCTTGGTATCGTCTTCGGACCTCTTTTCTTATCACCATTATCAGAGATTTACGGAAGACGACCTGTACTATGTGCATCCAATGTCATCTTTTGCCTATTTCAAATAGGCTGCGCTCTTGCTCCTAACCTTACTGCACTCATAATATTTCGTTTCTTTGCAGGTATTGGTGGCTCCGGATGTTTGGCACTTGGTGGTGGTGTGATAGCTGATCTCTTTCGACGAGAGCAACGTGGAGCGGCTTCAGCAGCTTACACTATTGGACCTCTGTTTGGACCTGTAATAGGACCTATATGCGGAGGCTTCATAGCAGAAAGAGTTGGTTGGCATTGGATATTCTGGGCTATATTCTGTGCTGGCACAGTAACAACAATTGGCATTGAGATATTCAATCGCGAGACTTATCCTCCTGTTTTAATTCGGAGAAAAACACAAAAACTTCGGCTGGAGCTTAACCGTCCAGATCTTTTATCCTGCTATGATTTAGGAGGTGATCCTAGTACCAGAACAGTTCTTCTCAATGGCCTTCTTCGACCACTCAAGATGCTATTCATGTCACCAATCGTTTTCATACTTTCGATATACATCTGTTTTGCATACAGCTTACTGTACCTCTTATTCACTACAATCACTCCAGTATTCCAAGAGCAATACGGATGGAGTGTAGGACTCTGTGGTCTTGCTTACATTGGTATCGGCATTGGATTCTTCTCGGGTCTAGCTCTCGTGACGAAAATCTCCGACAAGACAGTGATACGTATGACAGCGGCAAATAACGGTATTTTCGAGCCGGAAATGCGTTTACCGGCCTGTCTTTTCTTTTCATTATTCATTCCCATCACATTTTTCTGGTATGGATGGTCAGCCGAAAAACACGCCCATTGGATTATACCAGTTATCGGATTGATCCCTTTCGGATTCGGCATGATGGGGGTTTTCATTCCTATCCAGACATATATTATTGATAGTTTCCCTCTTTTTGCTGCTAGTGCGACAGCTGCTATGACGGCTAGTAGGAGTC